AGATAGATAGATAGATAGATAGATAGATAGATAGATAGATAGATAGACAGATAATGTCAAACACTTTGGAGCATCATGTGATGGCACAATTTCTAGACCGGGGGTGCCCAAAGTCGGACTCCGAGGGGCCACTGTCCTGCAGGTTTTAGGAGTTTCCCTGCTTCAACACACCTGTTACACAGCAATGCGCCATTAGCAGGCGTGTGCAGAGCTTTTGAGCTGACCCATTTCCTCAGTATCAGGTGTGTTCCTGCAGGGAAACATCCAAAACCAGCAGGAAACCGGCACCCCTGAGGTAGGCAATTTTTTTTTTATGATAGCTCTTGCTAATTTCTACAAAAAAAACATCAACAACACCACTCTGCATGTTGTATTTACACGGTTTTCTAATTAGACAACAAGAAAGAGTGGTTTTCTTCAACCAGACTGGTTTTGTTAAACTAGCCCAAGAAAACAGTGTGTTATACATGCCCCTTTTGTTCACCTTTTAGGATGGGTAGTCAGCTTCAAATTAAACATGCATATCAAAATAAAAGATAAATCAACTACATTATAAAAGTCAATTTGCTGGAATAGGCCTTCATGATTCACCTTTTGTTGTCATTTTAATTTCCCACAGCATCCCAGATTTTTCTAGAAGTCTTAGTTGAATTTGGCCGATAGCATTCAGCAGAAACTATTCATTTTGATTATCTTTCTAACTTTTGTTTACAGGACTGGGCTTTACGCAACAGTCTTTTGGGTGTATCAGTGCGCAGTTTCATCATGTGACACTGGCTGTCGCACAGGCTCCCAGCGAGCGCCTGTTTGTGTGCATAAAATTAGTGCAGCCTTCACACTGACTGTGCTTTTACACAGCAGAGCACATGGCACCTGTTCCAGAGCCACCAGCTATTTTAAGAACTTCTTAATATGGGCACGTCATTTCTTTATTTATTTCCAATCCACTTTTGTTGATGTCAGTTCAAGTGGCACGAAAGCCACATTTCTTTTTCCAGCAAAAGGTATTCACTCAAAAATAGGTAAAAGAAAAGGAGTTATGTAAGTGACCTGTTTATTTGCTGTGTTATTTTCAAGGAGGCTGTTCAGATAGTAATTCAACAAGAAGCATAGGATTCTAGGTAAAGGCATTCAGGGTTTGGTTAGCTGTACAGATGCAACATATTTTCCTTCTTTTCCTTTTTTTTCATCAAGTCAATCCTTCCCTTTTGTTAGCAAAATGACGCAAGCCCCTTAACAGCTTCACATCTTCGACAAACTTGGCAAGCTTCACACAGCCACTGGAGTCAACAAGACCCCCATTAGTTCTGAAAAGATGATGTCAACCATTCCATTCCATTTTGTAACGTTACTTTTGTGTTATTTACAAGTAAATTTCTGTGAAGAAGAAGAAGAAGAAAAAGAAGAAGAAGAAGGGTAATGAGCAAACAGGGTCTTACCAGGACCAAGGGCCAGAGGGGGAAAAGGAAGAGTGTCGAGGGGCTCGGACAGGCTGCCACCACAGATACAACAGCTGTGATAAGACCACCTCAAAATAAACCAGGAGAGCACAGCTCACTGTGAGCAAAGAGAGGGAGGACGTTTCTGTCTAGAACACCTCACTTTAAAAACAATTGATGCACCTCCCGTGTTTGTGGTTTGCGTGAACACTTTGTGCTTGTGGTCTTGAGCGAGCCTTCATTTTATCTGACGCCTCTGCTGCTTCAGGCCAGTGGAGTGCTAATTTTACTTTAATCTGGGTTGCCGTTAAGAGTCATGTAATTATTCAAACAAATGGGCCTGACATGCTGAGTGACTGAGCAGCGAAGAAGGGAGGAGGGGGGGGGCAATCTGTCTCTCTTATTGGCTAGATTTGGGACAGACCTCCCCTCTCAGCACGAAGAGGCAAAGTTGGCATAAAGCACACTAAGATCCCCACTTCTTACATAGATGCTCAGGAGACGCAGTCTCCGGAACCCGGTAGATATGAGTGCGTCAGCTAAACAAAGAAGGCCTGGATGTTGCTGAATACATTCCACAAGGTGAGCCCTATTTTTGGAAGCATTCATTTATTTCTCCTGCTGCTTGTTGTGACTGCAGTGATCATTTTTCACCAGAGGATGTCACTGGTTGGAGTTTCTCCAATTTTTCCTGTTTCTTTCTTGTTTTATTTTTTTAACTTAGCGTCCCTTATCCTGCCCTAAAGACCAAATGTAGCCGATTTAATGCAAAATCCCTTTCATATGAGCCGTTTTTCAAACCGTTGAAAGTCCAGCAGGAGGAAAAGTAATGGAAGCCATTCTTAGGAATCGAGTCAAAATAATGAAATAAGCCGCAACACACAAGCTTGGGTTAGAAGTATATTCTTTTAAAACAATTTTGAATTTAATCTGAAAAAGTAGAGCACCAAACAATAAGTTCCTCATAGCATAAAAGAGGCACTCTGTCTTGTCTAACCAGTTTTGATGCAAATAGCTAAACAACAGATTGGCTACTGAGGTTGTTTTTTTCCCCTCAAAAAATCTTAGCTCAGAGGTAAAATGATTTGTCCTCCGTGTGTTTAACAGGGAATTTCCATAGTCATGAGAGGCACAATGCAGTTTGCTGAATATGAATACACTTTTTGAAAAAAAGAAAAGAAAAAAACAACACACACGCACACAAACACAGTCTGAATACATACTGTAAATGCAAATAAAAGGCTTCACTTTCCTTTCACATTTTTGAGCGTTCCGCAGCAGTTATCATCGCAACAAATACATTTACACCCCCGTGAGCTAAAGGCTCTGAAACACCTTTGGAAAGGGAAACACAAATTTAAAGCAATGCACCTTTCTTAATGTAAACATGAGTGAGAAAAGTGTTTTCTGTTTTCCATAAAAATTTAAATCCACTCTCAGAATGACGACCACTTGAAGATTTGAATATGCTTTTCTTTCTCTCTCTCTCTAAAGATGAAGCATTGTGTTTGCATTCAACACTGTGCCATTTTCCTGCCCTCATTAAGCCTCTGCCTCAATGTCACCTGCAGACATTTTACCTCTTAAAGAGATAGAAATAATCCACATAAAAAGTTTTCAGAATTCAACACTGCAAAAATAGTTTAAATCATAAAAATACATGTATATGTACAGAGAAGAAGTAATGCATTTGGTGAATGGTTACCTACATTTTGAGCTGAAGCACAGTTAATACTCAACCACCTCATGCTGTTCACATCATTACTTTAGTATTACTCGAGTAAATGACAACGATCTATCTGGTTAGACATGAAAATGCAAGAATTTACTGTTGACTGATCATCGAGCCCCTTGGATTTGTGTGCAATGTGTTCCACACAATGAAAGATGTGAAAAACAACTGGAATGTTTCAAAACCACAAGAGAACATAATGTGTTTTACTCCCTCTTTGCCACTGATCAAGTCCGTTCAAACATCGAAGATGTAAGGATGAAAGTGCATCTTTAAAAGTTGTTCAAAAAAAAAAATCCTTATGGTCATCTGTATAAGCTAAAAAAAGAAAACAGCTGTCAGTTTAATCAAAGCAAAGACATGAGATCAAAAGCAATGCCAGAGTGGCTCACTGCATAACTGCATCACTGCTGCATAAGTACAGATATACCATAGAAATAGTAGTCAAATGTTTACCAGTATCAATAAGTGCTTATGTTCTAATATATAAATACATCTTACAGTATTCATAATTACATAATTACTTCCTCTATTTTTGTGCAATAGCAAATCCCATGCATTTTTACCAAGATAAAAACCACAACATTAAGAAAGTTGCCAACATAAGAAATCTTTTCTTTAAGATCGTTTCGCGTAGGTCAAGCTGCATCCGTCCGACGGCAGAATTGACGGAACAAGAAAGAAAAAAAGCTTTTCTTGGAGCAAACTCTCCGAAAGCGCAGCCACTTTGCAATAAAGATCCCCCCCCACCACCAACCCCACCCCCCCACCACCCCCAGCCCCATCCACACTCAGCTGCTGATAAAGAAACGAAGAGGAGCGCACCAAAACAAGAGAAGAAGAAAACTCAAATAAAAACAAAAGGCACATACTCTTGCTGCTTGATCAGAAGCACCAAACTGCACGAGAAGCGTCTACTTAAAATTTGGTCAGACTGATTCATAATAACACACACATTTCCCCTTATAAATAGTCTTTAGTTACTGCACTACTGCATCACACCTTGTATTGATTACATAAACAACAGTCTATTTTTCAAAGTACACACACAGTAAAATACACTGTTTGTATGCATCTAAGAAGGATTACATGTTAAGGACATTTGTACAGGATCCATAAATATAATTTATGTGCAATTGTACGCAAACTACTATGTCAAACAAAGGCATATTAGCATATTATCTTTCCATATTGCACCTGCACCCAATAATGATTCTTCACCTTGCGAAACCTACTGCTGCTTGTTCTTTAGTCTCAAAGGGCCTCTGAGGAGAGGAGCACGTCAGACGAGGGTCGGGTCTCTTCCTCCTCCTGTTGAGGTTTGATGACCAGACGGTGTTATCATATTGCCTCAGACGGGGTAAAGACGTAGCTATGTGCCTAAAGGGCTGATGATGGCTGCGAATAGAGCAAGGCGGCATCTTTTTTTTTCTTAATCAAGCCAAAGTTAGATAAAAAGGTGTTTTAATGAGGGTCTTCTGTGGTAATCTTCAGGGAGGCGATGGCTTTCAAGCAGGTCTGGACGCTCTCCTCCTGCCTGGGGTCCCTGACACTGGAGTCTGAGATGTTCTCCTGCGTGGCCGGACGGCCGTCCGCCTCCTCCGCTCCGGTCTCGGCGCTGTGGACGGAGCCCTCTCTGCTGCTGCAGCGCTGGCTTTCCCCGCTCTGGGGGCTCAGCGCCGGGGACGGGCTGACATCGTTGTTTGGGGAAGGTGGGGAGGGCAGCATCCGGAGCCCTCCGACAGGGACGACGGGGAGCAAACTGTGGGCCTGCTGCTGGGAGTGGAGAGGGAGGTGGCTGAGGACGTTCTGGTGATGAGAACTGGCAGAACCCGGCAGAGCTGAAGCCAAGCCGCTCTTCTGATCCTGAAACGACATACTGGCAGCGTTAGCCCGAGTTTTCGACATTGCCAGCAACATTTCTCATGGGGAAAATATATCACTGAGAAAATCAGGAAGAAATGTGAGACATTGCTATGTCAAAAAGAAAACGAGAGCACCGTTGGACCAGTCATTTCTCCAGTATCAGATTTTTCCCCCCTGTAACCAATGAAAGACTAAAGATTTCACTGTTTGGGCTACACTCTGATCCTTCTTGAAATTTCACCATGAACTTTAATGAATTTTTCAAATTTAAATATTCCAACGGGAAATTCTTTTTTTAGTGATCATTTATATGTTAAATTTTTCCAAATTTTGCTTCATAATAAGACAACTACAAACCATCTGTAGCCTAAAGCAAAACTTATAGAGGCCAAAAACATATATGATGGAAGAGTCATTGCATAGTTTAATAAAATAAAGTGTTACGCACCATTTCCATTTCAAAGGCTCCTTGCTGCTGAACCATCTCCATCTTTGCCTGGTGTCTGCTTTTATCTCCGCTGCCTTTGTGTTGGTGTGAGCCTCTGCGTGGTGACACGGCCCTCAGCACAACCCTCTGCCTGCCCCTCACCGAAGATTCTCGCTTCCCAGCGATCTCCGTTCCAGGAGACATGGGTCGTTCCATTGTGATCGGGGAGGGGTGCTGGATGGACTTGAAACTGGGTGAGGCGGGCCTCAGTGGAGAGGTATCCCATCGTGGAGACGAGCGGCCCCTTGGGGAGATCTCCCGCCTCGGAGATGGATAGCGTAGACGCGAGGGAGAAGGCTCCCTGATGGGAGACTCCCAGCCAGGAGAGAGTAGACTTGAAGAGTAAGGGTCGAAGAGGAGGCTGGTCTGGTCTGGGGACAGCATAGTGAGGGAGTCTTCGTCCACAGACTTCTCCCTGTGTTCGGCCGTGAGGAGAGCCTGATGGTCGGAGCTGGTCCGCTTGCTGGAGGACCTCTGGCGGATGTCGGCCCCGGGCAGAGTGGTGAGGGAGCAGCCGTGGATGGCGGCGGTGGCTGTAACTGACAAAGAGGTAACTCCGCATGGCTGGGGACTCGTGCTTCTCGAACCCAGCTTCGGGGTGGAGTCCCCCTCGTATTCGTCATCCTCCTCCTCGTCCTCTTCGATGTCATCGGCGTCTTCGTCCATGCCGTCGGAGTCGTCAGCATCTGAGAACTGGTGCTTGGTGGTGGATGTCACCTCTGTCTTTGTCTCTCGCTGGATGTCGTCCACTTTGAGAGACAAGCACACAAGTTTAGCCAGATGTGTTCCCCCCATCCCAGCAAACATGTAATCAGCACGACTCGGTCTCTCACCGTGTTCCTGTATCTCCGTCTCATCCATTGTCACCGACACTCCCAGTTCAAGACATTTCTTCATGTGAGCCTTTGACTTCATATGCTTAGTAAGGTTCCCTGTTGGGATAATGCAAATACTGGCTCAAACAAGAGTTTCGTTCCACTCTGAAAATATTAGCTCACAAAGTCCTCATACACCATCAAAATACAAAAGCAGAGAAAAAATTGCAGAAATAAAATTGTAGCTTCTTAAAACATTCTCAAAACAAACCGCTGCTGCAGCAGCTAATATATCTGATCATTTCAAACATCCTACATCTATCAATGCTCACCTTTAGTTTTGAAAGCAAAGTTGCAAACCCTGCAGATGTAGGGTCGCACATCTGTATGGGTCCTGATGTGCTTTTTCAGCATGCTTGGCTTCTTGCAGCGGATTCCACACTCCTCACAGATGTATTTCCCTCGGCCTCGACCTCTGACATACACGTAGTCCTCATTGGACTTGTACCTGGAAGGGAGATTAGATATCGCATTTATATTCCAGCTCCCAAATAGGGGGGAAAAAAGAGCATAGGCCAGTCCTGAAATAGCTGCGGCACTTCCAGTCAGCACAAATGACAAATGTTATGACAACTTAGAACTTGACTGACCCTCCCTCGAAGATCTTAATTCGTGTTGGCACTGCCTGAGTTGTGGAGGCCTCCCTTTCTCTCCACTCCTCCTTGGCAGTTTTCATCCTGCAACTGATGTCTTTCACTTTCTTCCCGTAGCTGATGTCCACCTCTATGGGCTCTGGTTTCCTCTGTAGCTGAAACAGATGAGCAAACACCCTGTTAACACCCATTCTAAGTGGGCACCATATCGACGGTGTAACGGGATGCCTCCAATATTAAGTGTCACACATGGTATTACACAGCATGTTTTGCAAACATGCACTATGCTGCTTGCTGGAGAAAAACTGTGCAGCTAACTCAGTTTTTCTTTTTTTTTTGTCAAGCATCCTGGTGTTAAGACTTAGACTTGATAACATCCCAATACCTATCTGCATGAAGATCTACTTCCAGTTATTTAATTTATCTCTTCTAGATCATGAAAAACAAGCCATGAATCAAAGTTCTAATCAAAGTTAAGCATAATCAAGCAGAAGGCAAAAGCTCTTTCCAGACACTATCCAAAGGAACATTCTGCCAAATGATTAAAGCATGCAGTTTGCCAGTACTCTGTGTATTAACGTCCTTGAAACTTCCCGCATTACAGTTATCTCTTGCTTACACTTTCAGCTGCCAAGATTAAAATCTCCCATCAGAGCTTAAGGTGGAGATTTATCTAATCCCTTATATGAACCTGTGAAATTGGTAAGGCCAGTTAAATGTGCCCTAAAAACAGCTTGGGCCTCAAATAACCCAGCACCTTTTGATTCTCCTTTTAAGTGTCTGCGTTAAAGACAGATGGGATTAATTTCTCACTTGTTCCATGCTCTGTCTCCAGAGGATGAGGGATGAGACGAGCTTCCCCGTGCCAGGCTGACACATGGCGGCCACGGTGTATATAACCTTGTCTCCCCTCTGTCTGGACCGCACCAGTGCCAGGGCAGCGCTGGTGCTCAGATCGGGGGGGTTGGGATTGTGGGAACTCACGCACCAGGCGGCGTACACAGAGGCAAAGGGGGCGTTGCTTTGGGAGCAACTCGGTTTGGTGTAGTTGAGATAACACCAGCTCACACCTGTTGTTGTGCGAAGGCTCGGAAACTGGGATAGGGTTCCCGAAGGCTCGGCGTCTGAGATCAGGGTGTCCTGACCGGCGGCTAGCTGCGCCGCCACATCCATCTGCGCTCGTTCTTTCACGTCGTTGGCTGCTAGCGCGGAGTATGGCGGCGACTTGGCTGCCAGGGAGCTGCTTTCCATTTCAGTCTCCACACCGCGTTCAACGGCTTCGGTCACTTTCTGATAAAGCGTAATGAACGCAGCCCTGCATGCGTCGCCCTTAGCATGAGGCGAATCCACCACCTCTGACCTGCCCCCCTTCTCCTCGTTCAAATGGCATTTCCCCAGCTCCACGGCGCTCAGCTCCTCAACAATCTGCCCGAACATCCTCTCCTCCTTGACTCGCTTCTGCTGCTTGACCTCCATGAACAGGTCGAGGCTGCTGGCGGGGGACAGCATCCGTTTGTTTGCGCCGCCGCTGGAGGCGTTGGTGGTTGAGATCGTTCTGGACGTCAGAGACAGAGGGATGCCCGTCTTGAGCTTCGCGGATGACAAATCGAGGGCTTCGACGGTGATGGCGTGAGCTGAAGGCGGTTTGGTGCAGGCCAGCGCGGTATGCGGATCAGGGTGACCTGACAAACGTGAAGTCTGGCTCTGAGGGACGGACGCGGGGGAGCTCACACCGCCATACTGATTGTCGAAAATCTGCGACACCGATGTGTAGGTGATACTGCCAAGAGACGGCACGTTGGTCTGGATTCTGACGGGGACCAATAGGCTCGGATGTGGGAGCTGGGGAAATGCATTTCCGGTAGAGAATATCGGCAAACCATGCGGCAAAACCGTGGCGACCGTGAACGGAGGGGAGATGCTGCTGAGGTGCTGCGGAAAGACTTGGGATGAGGCTTCAGTATCCATATTCAGTGACTCCTGCCGCACCAAGTTTCCCCTTCGTCTCTCCTTCACAGCACCGACGTCCACGTGTCTAACTTTGGATGTTGGGGAAAGGCTGCCATAGTCAAATGATATGCTGCGTACCTCTGGGAACTCCTTGCGCAAGTTACAAGGTGCCTGCTCAGAGGAGGAGCGTCTCATTTCATGCTGCTGACGCTGGCTGAGCAGAGAGAGTGAGTGCCCACTCCCCGGCACGGCTAAGAGCTCAAGTGGTCTGCCAAATTCATCCTGCCTGGCTGGAGAGACCGATTTCAAGCTTTCCTCCCTGTCAAAGGAAAAAGTGGAGCTGTAAGACAGGTTGCTGTCCTGGCTCGGGCTGCGGGAGAGACTAGTGCAGGCGGACTCAAAGCTAGATTCGCCAGAGGAGTGCTCGATATCAGCTAAGCGAAGCCTTTTCTTCTTTGGCGGGAGCTTCTCTGGGGGGAATTGTGCTAAGGTTTCGCTCCTTTGAGGCCACTGAAACTCCTCTACATGCTTCTCCGGCTCTTTTACCTGCACTTCCGGAGCTTTTTCTGGGCTGTCAGGCTCAACGGTGACCCTGATTTCTGGGACTTGTATGTTGGGCTGCCTCACAAGTTTTGGCCCCAGTTGAACTGACTGCCCTATTCCACTGTCATGTTCCATCTCAAAAGATTCCCCTCTGTCCATTCCTTGAAATGAAGACATACTTTCCAACCTCTGACCATGATATTTGTAAGATTCTGACTTTTCAGAGTGGGGCCTGTTTATGGAGTTTGTGTGCTGGATGACAGAAATGACATTCCCTAAAGTTTTTCGAACTGAAGTTTCAGGGCTCATTGATATGTCCATGTCACACTTATCCAAATGCCCTCTCCCTAAAGCTATGATACCCATTGCAGCCTGTTTTAAGTCGTAGTCCTTGCTTGAATCAAACATGTCCTCGCACTGCTCTTGATGGCTCTCATATTGACCCGGCAAGTCCTCGTCCTCCCTTTTCTCTTTGCGACGCTTCCGTGTCGCCAGTTCCATTGCATGCTTCTGGTGGCTCACACATTGAGCCACAGAGGGGTAGTTTTCCGCCTCAGGTCCTGAGGGGGGGATAGCGCTTTCGCTCATCTTTCCATGGCTGTCACCGTCTGTGTGGCCATCGTGCGCGGAGAGCTCAAAAGCAGCTTGCCGTCTGAGTCTCCTCATGCCCCCGGTGCTCGTCCTCTCATCAAATGAGTGGCTGCCTCTGAAGGCTTGGGGCATAGTCAGACACGCCGCTGAAGACGTCGGCATCGAGTTGCTTCTGACCAGAGGCCCCAAGTCGGAGCCCACGTCTAACTGCGATTCTTGGATCTCCTCCCTTGCGAGGGACTTTGTATTAATTTTGATGGACTCCACCGTGTCTTTCTCTTGGGTGAAAACCCGGGACACGCCTTTTTCCGGGCATTTCTCGGCGTAATCGCCCGAGTCCGTGCTGCCCCCCGCAAAAGCCGTCGCCTGCTTGGGGCTGGGCCGGTAGCACTTTCCGAACATGATTTCCTGATAGGACTTTGCATTGGTGTTTGGGGGGCCGGTCTGGTGCTCGGAGCTCTCCGAGCGCGAAAAGTAGCCGGAGTCCGTGCTGCCCTTGCTGGACTGGCTCGGGAGTGACAGATTGTGCTCGGAGTCGCTGCTTCTTTTTTCGGACAGCCGGAGCGCCAGCCTCTGTTTGATCGTGCAAGATTGAATTGCACGACTAGCCTCGGCTGTGGCAGGAGGGGCATTGATTTCTTGGGGCTGGGATGAACCATCCTGAGCTGACATTGTCGTGGCTCCCTTTTTCTGAGCAATGAGATTTAGTACTTTTACAGCAGTGTTATCTGATCCTTCCATTGGCGAGTCCAGCAGCAGCAGCGGGTCATTAAGAGTGTCCTCATCCGTGTCCGTGCTTTGCTCAGCATCAGAGAATAACTCTCCTTCCCCTTCAAAAGACCCCTGGTCTGTATTGGCATTGTAAGAACCGAGTTCTGAGAATGGCACTGTTCCAGCTTTGACCGAGTGAGCGTGGGACTTTCGGTGTTTGTATAGGTTGCTCTTGGTTTTGAAGGAGAACCCACAGGGGACGCATGGGTAGGGTCGCTCTCCCGTGTGGGAGCGAATATGTTTCTTGAGCACGCTGGGTTTGGCACATGCCCTTCCGCAGTAATCACACACATACTTCCCTAGTTTTTGTGATTTCTGCTCCACCTTAGACGTCACCTCCAGCAGCGAATCGATCCCTGACTGGGAACACTGCGGCTGGACTTCAAGTGTGGCTGGGGATTTCCTGTGAGCTGCCGGACCAGGTAACTGTGCAGACAGTTTCTGCCTGCCAGCAGAAAACGGCTTTGAGGACTGTGCTGGATATGGAGACCCCTCACAGTCTGGATGGCTTGTGGACTGGGCTTGGGGGAGCTGATCTTCTAATTGTAGAGGTTTCCCTGAGTCAGACATGTCTTCGAAACTACACGTGGCTCTGTTCTGAGCTTCTTCTAGCTGTTGCTGCCAGCCTTTTCCCTCTACTTCTGCTGATGAGCTTCTCTTTATCTGTGTGGCCTCTGATATGCCCCTTGTCTGTGCAGCATTTGTGTCCTGACACTCAGTGGAGCTTTTCACCCCTGCAGTAGTTTCAAGTGACTCCATGAATCCAATGTCCCTTCCTTTGCGATCAATTTTCAAAGATATCTGTTCTGTAACTCTAGTGTTAGTAACATGTATGCGTATTGCAGGGAAGGGTCATCTGAAAGAAAAAGAGAGACAGGAGAGTCAGAAAACACATATAATGCAAACTGGAGTCATATAAATGCCCACAAAGTGAACCTGAAAAAAGGGGGGAGGTAAGGGAAAAAGTCATATCTAAAGAGCAAGTAAACAACTTGAAAGTTTGAGCAATTCAAGACTGTTTTCCCAAATCACCCCCTGATTAAACTGGAGTATAAAATTCATAATGAGCTCCATCACAGCATGAATGGAAAAAAATGACCTCTTGCAAAGGTACCTCATGTCAGCCCTGGCAGACGCCCTAAATTTCCCGTAGCCCTGTGGATGTGGATGCCAACTCTGCAGTGTGTGTGTCATAAATGGCTGCACACGTGTACGTGTTTATTTTGAGAATGTGTGTTTGAGTGTGAGAGGACGTAAATTTCAGCATTAACTCCAGAATCGTTTATTCGAGAAGTGGACTGGTGTACATTCCGTGAGGTGGTTAATTTTTTTCCTATTTTAATCCCGACCACAACGCCTCACTTGGAAATTCCACTTATTTAACAACCTTTCTTTGTTTCTTTCACTTTGTTCATATATTCAACCTAGTAAATTTTGTATATCTTCAAAGTCGAAAGCAAAAAAAGAAAACTGTCACAATATTGACTCATTTCAATCAGAAAGACGCTGCTTGCACAATGCATACTCCTGTTTTACTGTTATAAACATACATCATTTTTCAAAGCGCACACACTCATCTTCACTTTGAATGATATCCGCATTTACTGTAGCGACTCCAAAACCTGCACCATCACATGTCTCTTGTTGGAGTTCAACTTTTTACAGCAGCCTGAGTTTCGGCTGCACAGCTGGTCTGCACGGACCCACATGCTGTACCGGCCTGCAAACTTGCCTGAGTCCTGCCAGAAACATCGACCCGTGGTCAGGGTGAACCGCTTCGGCCACCAACACCTTCGCTTCACGCCGTGGGGATCGGTATCTGAGGACGCGTCATTTCCATCTTCTCAGTACCAAAGGCTGTGTCCTCCCTAACGAGGTTATGTAAGATTATCTGGTTCAAACCCTCTGAGTTCCCCTTAATTAGGACATCCTCCGACTCTCGCTGTCCCTCTCTTGCTCTCCTCCTTTCTTTGCGAGCACACCGCACACAAACCAGGGGAAGAGAAACCAAGGTGACTCTCGAGATGCAGTGAGACGTCTGAAAACAGATATTCCACCTTTTTTTCCGGTTTGGTTTTGCAAATGTCCCCTTTTGCCTCTTTATGGGCCGGCAGCTCTGCTCCCAGATGTTTTAAGGGAAACTTCCACAGCGGGATGAAGGGGGGAAAAAAAACCATGACAGTATCAGAATAGTAAGGGGGTGGAGGTGGGGGCTAGCCTGGAAGGACCCGTGTTTTAGGGAGGAAGTTTACACAGATAAACTACATGGAAACCGGGGGGGTCAAATCCTTCACAGGCCTGGTAGGGAGCTCCCTTTCAAGGTGACCTCATTGCTTAGTTTCCATCCTCTGTGAGAGGAGGATGTGGGTGTAGAGTGACAATAAGATAAGACCCCTCAGAAATGATGCATACCTTTGAACTAGAGGGGAACACATTCACACCCTCGCTGAGAATTCAGTCATTTTTTTTGCTTTGCTTTTCTTTTTCTTTTGGGGTTTGTTTGTTTGCGTGCTTGTTTGTTTTTGTTTCCCCCCCGCAAATCTCCCGTTCCTCCCGGCAACTGGCGCTCACCTATAGGAGAATATATGACACAGCAGGAATGACGCGCAACAACAGGAGGCAGGTGGGTGGCGGTAGGTGTGTTTTTCTGCCCGTGGTACAGTACGTCTGCATGGACGGATCTGTGGCCGTGCTGGAGGGGGGGAGGAAAGGGGAGGAAAGGGGAGGAAAGGGGGGGGGGGGGGGGGATGCGTGTTTGAACGGTGAGCAGCAGCGTCGGGGCGCATCCCTGAGCGCTTTTGCGGGAGGATCACACGCAAACAAACAAGCCCGGGCTGTGGAAAGCATCGTAATGCCGCCGCACATTACATCATTAGGCGCTAAGTTGGCCATTAAAGGGAACGGGGGCTCGAGGTCTCACTCTGACAAGCAATCCATAAATATCGCGTAAAGAGACGGGCGCCCGGAGGGAGGCTGCTCTAACATAGCATGCAGAATGAATCAACAGCTCTCCGTGCGTCCGCGGTGACACAAAGCACACGGTCGGGGGGGGGGGGGGGGGGGGGGGGGGGGGGGGGGGGGGGGGGGGGGGAAGCCTCGGCTCATAGAGCAGCTGACATTCAGATATCAAATATAATCCACGTACAAACCTGACATTTGAATAGTCCCCTGTCCCCATATCGGCAGTCACATGTGACATTCCTCATGCTGCATAGTCCGTTTGTCCATTCTCCTCGTGTCAGGGAGACAAGAGTGAAAAGAAATTAGCAAGGTAAAGTCCCATCAGTCACGAAGCTGCTCGCTGACTGGGTGTACATTAGAAGATCTATTGATGCGAGCTAGTCACCAGAGAAAATACCCAACCGTGACGTGCGGACCCAGGCACAAAAATAGCAAAGGGGCCCTGGGAAGGATTACACAACAGCCCACGTTTAAGGACGCTTTTCCTCCCTCTCCCTCTCCCTCTCTCTCCCTCCCTCTCCCTCTCTCTTCCTCCCCTCTGTGTTTGAAAGCACAGCAGCAGCTGCCTGGCTGCACACACAGAGTGGGTAGCCGACTGTCATGATCCAAAGAGGCAAGCATCACTACTTTTTTTCTCTCTTTTCTTTCTCTCTTTTAACAAAAAAAAAAAACTCTGGGCCTTCAACCTCTGATTCAGCCACATTTCCCAACCTGATATTGTGTGGCGTGGATCGTGGCGCACGGTCATTCAGGTACACGCATTCATGAACTCCTCTCAATCCATTTATAATACGCAGTGGAAAAGTGGCTCTGAAAGACTGTAATCACATGCTGCAGCAGCCCTGAATGTACATTTCCCACAAGCGCGAGCCCATTCAGCGCCCGCACTGAGAGGAACTCGAAGAAAAGACAGCATGTGGCTGGATGGGAGGCTGCTGCAGAAATTAGACTTGTTCTGTGAATTCTGAGACACCCGCAGCCTGTTCAGAGCCAGTTCCTCCCGTCATGACAGGATCTGCTTTGTGAATGGAGAGAGTCCTGATGAGGGTGTCATTAACGCCGAAAAAAAAACTGGGACAATAATGGAGATTATGTGCAGCTGCAAACCTCGTCCCGAGACATATGAGTTCATTTCGACACAGCCTTTGCATTAAAGCAAAAGACTTGGAGAGATGTAAAGTTGGTGTTGGCTCCATTTTTTCTTATTAAAAACCCACTACAGTGTCCTCCATTTCAGATTCTTCTCAGAAACTTCCCTTGGTTTTTCACTTGCAAAGCTTGTGCTGCTTCTTGATCAGGATCAGAATGTAATGTTTGCAAATGACATTGCAAATGCTTTTTGTTCAAATTATCATTAACTTAAATGTTATTATTAACTTGGCAAACTTTATTAAAGCATTCGTATAGGCGTTACGATTTTAAGATGCTACTTACAATTAGTTTCAATCACATCTGTCTGCTTTGGAGTCATATTTATAAAGCTAAAACGGTCATAAAAATACAACAAACGGATACTTGGCTTATACCCTAAATGTGACTAACATAGGCACCTTGTAACGTGTTAAATGCAGGCTGGCCATCAATTTGAGCCAGAAAGATCCAACATCAACAAACACCAGAGTGGCTAAATAGAACACTTTGCTTCACTCTGTAACAAAGCTGATCTTTATGTTGGTTTTGTCTTTCCAAAGGTAGATATGCCTCACCAACAACAGCACTAACATTACCAAGAGCAGCCAATGCTTCAGTTTATTTCTGATACAGCCCCTAAGTGTCAACATAATGCTATAACCATAGGGAGACACGCATGAGGGTCCACACGAGTATGCTTTAACTCTCATAATGAAATCCACATTAGAGCATATGTCTTATCAGCAAATGAGTTGTGGTTGGTAAAAAAAACAACATTAAAACTAATGTTATCAGCAACTTAACATTAGTTGGGTTGGGATTGAAAACAATCATGGTTAGGTATAAGATACATTATTTTTACAATGCCACTGGCACTATTATGAATGCCAACTTGCTGCTAGACTTATTTACATGTAAAAATACCCCATTCATTCCTGGCTGGGTTTAGCCCATCACTTGGTCAGGATAACAAAACGGTCAGGCTTCAGACTTTTAACATTACATTGTCACTTTTGTGTAAGACATATAAACAATTCACATAAAGTAGACTTCACAACCACTGGACCTTTGCACCTCTATATTGCTAATAGTAGTAATATTCATTTATATGAATGTTGCTCATAAACATTTCCACTGACCCAAATCTTTACGTGTCATAATCTGTTAAGCAGCTGCCCTAATTATGTGCGTGAGGACATCTAACAAGGTCTTCCCCCTGAATTTTGGATTGATTTATGATCGGTATTTAGTGTGAAACTTTGGCCAGTCAACACAATGTAATTTACGCATCTATAAATTATTCACCCCATTTGACCATCCGCCTCAGCTTCGCTCTGCGCGGCCTGGTGAGAACAACTGGGCACCTCTATGAATAGGAGTCCTTGGCTTTGGGTTTGCACCAGCTATGCTTTACTGCGGCTCAGATGTTTTCAACAGAGCTCCGGCTTTTTAAGCTTACGCAGCAGAACAAGGGCCGGAGACTTATGCAATGACTTATGGCTGAACTTACGGCTGAACTTCAAAATCCTTCCCGAGCAGGAAGCTTTTCTCTGCCGCGCAACAAAGTTGTCATTTCTCACAAAACATTTCCTTCAGCACACAGTGATGCTGCGTGCGTGAAAAAAAAAAGAAGGGGGTAACTGAATAGCCTGTGCATCGACAGTCCCACTACAGTATGGAATTGCAGCGAGCTATAATTAGAAGCGGCCTATAACAAGCCAAAGATGAAGTTGAGGCGAATTAACTGCACTGCTGCTGAGATCCATTATGCTGTATTCAGTGTCTAGAGGAGCGGCACTAAAATGGCTGATACTCTGTGTGCAGTGAAGGTCAAGTCGCTCGTCTCTATAAATATAATGGTCTGTCCCCCAGGATGTTCCACACACTGCCTGGCATTTCCACTATCTACAGCTACACCGCAGCTCTGCTGACCGGCTCAAATCGGCCACGAATTTGCATCCGATTGAATGTCGCACATGCACCCGACTACAAGCAGGCCTCTAATGATATTCATGGTAAAAAAAAAAACGACGGGAGGAGAGGGGAGAGCGGGGGAATGTTTATGAATGGAAGGAATGAGGTTTTCCTCCCTGCCGGCTGTAGTGGCGGTCATATGTTTGACTGAGATATCACTGACAGGGCAAAGCGACGCCTACGGGTTGGACAAACAGCTGATACAAACACCAGAGCAACAAGAGTCAGAGCTGCCCTCCCCTCCCCCCCCTCGGGCCCCCTCGTTTCACCTGATGCACAAGTTCATTCAGAAAACTTCACCCTCTTCCCTCTTTGATTTATCATCCACCTCCTCTTTCATCCATCTCCTACAGTCGGCCTCTCAGGCAGCCGTACTTAGACCATTATCGCAGCAGTACCTGAAAATAATCTGGCATGATTGTGTTTCCATGGCAACCATGCCAACGTCTGTAACAGTTTCCCAGTTCCTGTCTACATATATAATTACTGCCACAGATTACAGAACAAAGACTGCGGAAATAAGCGGACAAAATGAGATTCAGCTGCACAGACCATACAGTCGAATGACGGGGGAGCGTGCACAACTGCGTTTCCTGTACAGATATACAGCTAAATGTAGCTACTTGCAGCATCTGCCAAATGAGAAAAAAGCAAATATCCTCCAGAGCTTTAACATTAAGTACTTTCTTCTTGTTTAGATCAAGGCAATCTGGTAGTGTTGGCCTGTGTTCACAGTGCAAAGGTTATGAGCTGCACCTGACTTCTAGACATTCTGCTTCCATGATGGCAGACTTTTCTTTTTAAATCTTTTAAAGTGGTTTCATGCAGTGGTTTCTCAAGGCTTTCTGCACTCCATTATAACATTTTCTTTAGGCACTGATTGCTTTAAAAAAAAATCATTTTCAGTTTAGTCCTTGTACCTGATTTTAAAAGGAAAGTGGGTTTTTTGTTTATCTGTTTATAGCCACTTTGACACTTCTCTCAAGATATGAACCAGTTTTGTGTTGAAACAAAACAGATTGGATTTTGGATCGCTCAGGGGTTTTTTTTTTTCAATAGCAGCGTGTAACGATGATGCATATTTGTCCCTGTTTGCTGTAGTTGGTTCTACAAACACCAAACTCAGTTTGAATGACATCAGACAGCTTTTCTACCAATAAAGTGATCATCAAAGAGCTAAAAAAGTTTGTAATATCTACATGGTATACGGTGTATTTTCATTTTAAATTAAAGAAAATAGTAAATAAATTACTGAAAATGCTTAAGAGTAAATACAAAAAATAAACTGAAGAACAGTATCAAGTCATGCCCTTAAGAAATAGATTTAAAAAAAGAAAAACCAGCTCTGATGACCTGTGAGATGCATCTGGACCAGTTGACCCACCTACTGTTCACCGAAGCCTCATTAAAAATGGTTTCCAAAGAAGGGTGTCTGTCAGGAAGCCATTTTAAGGGAAGGGAAGCAGGAAGAAAAGGCTGAAATATGCCAAACGACGCAAGAAGTGAGCTGAAAAGCAGCAACAGGTCTGATGGAGAGATGGATCCTCTCCAGAGCTTGGAGCTCAACATTACTGAAGCAGTGTGGGATCATCTTTATAGAGAATGGAAATGAAGGCAGCCAACACTCAAATAAGACCTTTGGGATGTCCTTTAAGAAGCCCGAGGAACTATATCTGAGGACTACCCCAACTAAATGACAGCAAAAGCTTTTTTAAGAGGGTCCAAACTGTGTTGGAGAATAAAAAGGGTCACACCAAATATCAACTTTCACACAGTCCTTGCTTTAGATGCTGTATTTCTGCTTGATATTGCACATTTGAACAAAATGATCCACCTGTTTTTACATTTAAAAAAGGGTGGCTGAAGAGTTTAACTCATTATTAAACAGGTAAATACAGAAAAAGATCTTAAATGGACCTGACTTAATTTATTTACAAAATGCATTTACATTTTGACTGTATTGACTTTATTTGTTTATATATCGATTAATATAGTTGAGCTACTTGTGTATATTGTTGATGCTTTATGGAGAAAATAGTCAAATGATAATGTATCCAAACATTTATCATAAAAAACCACAGAAGTCATTGTTTTTTTGTTAGCATCAAAATGCTTGATTGCCTTCTATTCACAAGCATACAATATTCAATGTTGTCCTACCTTCAAATGTCTGTTATCTGACAGGCTACATCCCAGCTTCAGCCCTCCTGAGCTCACTTCCTCTCCCTCCAAACCCTGACAGAATGCAGAGCAGTGTAAAGTTCGTCCACTTCGATCCGCGTTGGTCTGCACTTTATTTGCATCCTCCCGGCTTGTTTGTTTAGGGGATCAGTAGTCATGTGCGGGTACCAGGCTGGGGAAAGCCTGCTTGAGGACGAGGGGAGGGGAGAGGGGTAGAAGAAGGGGGGGAACTTCATGGACGTGACAACCCCTTGCAAACCCCCCAAATGCACGTCATGGAACATTTGCACATCAGGGACCTCCCACCTTAAAGGCGTGCAACGGAGAGCAGACACAACAGATCTGCCCCTCCACCGGGCGCAGCATCTCGGATGACACCTCCAGCTGCTGAGGAGTCGGCCGAGCGAAAAAAAAAAAAAAAAAAAAGAAGGAGAACGCGCCCGGTTCTGCTTTTCGGGCTGTTGAGCTTTCGGTGCAGCGTCCAAAAGCTGCCTGACAGGCGCATGCGGCAGACGGGGAGGTTCTACTGGGTCGTCTGTGCGCAGCAGGGGAGCATCGATCAGCTTTCAACCACCTGGGTTTCTCAAAATGTCTACATACGAGCCGAGCTGCTGTTCTTGTTACGGACAGCAGGGGGCGATAAAAACAACGTACTGACAAGCCAATGTGGAGAAAACAGAGAGGTTCACGAGCTCCCATCAGTAGAAAGAAAGGGATATTTTTGTTCTACGTATACTATAAATGACTCCGGGAAGGATTCGTGAATTTATTTGTTCATGTACAGAAATAATCTCTCTCGAACGAATCTTAACACCCAAGATAAACATTTTAAAAGTCCAGCGAAATCTAAATTTTTAAAAATGTTTGGATACAGTGGCAACACCTGCCAAGATTGAAGCATTCACACAGCATTACAAAAGAAACTGCTTTACATGAAGAAGAAAAAAATCACTCACACATTCCTCGCGATCACAGAAATGTTTCATCTTGAGTCCCTTATTGAACTAGTAAAAAATGCACTAATGCTACATATACATATATAAAAGTGCAAAAATCACAGACACAGTGCAGTGCGCCCGTGTCAGAATCTCACTGTTGGACACAGATTGGGCTTAATGGTCAGAAAAGCAGCGGCTGCCCCCTCCGGCGTGCTCCTCTGTCAGCGCACGGCTTTCCATCACCTGGCGCCCCTCACCCCCAGAGTCCAGGCCCACTGGCATGGCATCTGACTGAAGGACAGCTGAGGCAGGGTGACCCGCAGTCCGCGGGGGGACAAAGGTTCCCACTGCAGAGGGCCGTGACCGAGGAGGTCCACCTGTTTTTCCAGGGTGACAACGGCACGAAAAACAAGGCCGATGCGGTCAGAGGAAAAGAAACGAAAAGGATAAGGTAACTATTCAAAAGCAGCAATTTCTTGCTCTTCCGGTATGACAATGTGTAGCTTTTTGTTCCTCTAACCCAAGCTTGAGTTTTTGATTATTGCATTATATATTATCATTAAATTTATTATTATAGTAAGAAAAAACCTTTAATTGTTCAGTGATTTTTGCAACTTGAACATCCGTTTCACTGTCATATAAAAAACAGAAAAGCTTGTTCAGCATATCATCCTTGCATTCTAATGTCTTATTTGTCAAGATGTTAAATCTGTAAAACATCCCTAAAAACACATGTAACTGAAAGTCTCTATAAAACCAGAGGATTTGGCATCTTGACTGAAACGGTTGCTTATAAAATCCAGCCAAAACCTTTAACTGATAGTAATTAAAAAACGCTATTCTCAAAATTTGGTCAACATAGATATACAAACTTTTGGCTTTGCTGTAATATCTTCAACATGGCTGCTCTGGTCTTACCTTTGTGAGTCCTGGTAGAGCCACCGGCTCAGTCAGAATCACAGAGCCGTTACCCGGCCATTTCAGTAAAACAGCAAAGACGGTCTTCTCTGTTGGCTTGGAGGTGTACCTGTGGAAGATGTGGAACATTTATCAAGTGTATGGCTGTGCTTGAACCGCTCATCGGTGGCCAAACTGTTGAAGTTCTCTGGCTCAAGCAAACCCGTCAGCAGGGCACAACACAACGAAGGAGGTCGGGAAAAGAAGCGTGGGGCCCACCAGATATTTGGAGTGACGCTGTCGTTCTGAGAGCGCCATGCGGTCGTGTTGTAGATGGCCTCTCCGTTCACCTTCAGCCACTGGCCCATCTGCCTCAGACGCTCTTCGAAGATGGGAGCGATCCTCCCGTCGTGCGTGGGGCCGATGTTCATCAGCAGGTTTCCTCCGCAGGACACAGTCTCCACCAGATTCTGAAACACACACACACATAAACACAGCCAGTAGATAAAACCTCAAGAGAACAGACTACAAACTTGAAAGCAGGGAAGATTTCTTTCAGAGCAAAGCAGCATGAGGGCGTTTCTCTTTTAGGGGGGATAAATCTTTACAAGACAAACCTAAAAAAAACAAGCTGTTTAATGCATTAACAACCAGAAAATGAATGCTCACCAATCATCAAATTTTATTTACTTATAGGTTTTAGCTACTTAATTATTTTTACTGGTTGCCCTCATCTTCCATGATTCTGAATGGCTTCAGATTGACCATATTTAATTCAATTTATTTTGTTTTTTAATTCCATCATCTCATCAAGAAGTCCAGGTCCTTCGTGTCCCACATGGAAGGATATCTGCCTGTAATATATGTCGATGGACCTCTTAGAGGACTAGAACAAACTGCGATGCTCTTTTTATGAGCCGGCGGGGATAACATGTCCCTCGAGATTCTCAGACTTCTTAGTCTAATGAGGCACAAGAAGCTCAGAGGGCAAGCAAGAAGGTTTGAAACGTTTAGCAGACTAATGACCATCTCAGTGTAGCAGACTAACCATGGTGCGTGTCATGTCATTTGGATTTTCATTACTTTCAAATAATCCACACGTTCTCTTTTTCTTTAAGAGTATAATCAAATTTAGCACAACGTATGTAATGTTTTTCAGTATTAAAATACCTTTCTCATTTGAATGAAACAACAAAGATTAGCAGCTTCATATTTTGAAATTACAACAGTGGGGCTGGACTGGAATCCTCCAAGGAGCAAAGTCATTCTAAATAATTGTTTCTGGGCGCTGCACTGCTACCTCACACCATTTAGGAAGAGTTTTATGAAGCCGTTTGCTAACTTAACGCATGGGTGAAGCTGGCTTTGAACTCACAGCCACGAGCTGCTCGATGGTGAGGTAGTCGCGCAGAGGAGCGTTTCGTCGGTAGCCCCACGACTTTGAGTCGATGGTCATGCAGTTCTCCCATTTGTGTTTGAGCAGGTGTCCTGGTTGGTAGCGATCGGAGCAGGTGTAGTATCCACCGTGAGTGCAGATGGAGCCATAGCCCCACCGGTCATTGGTGACCACCGTGTCTCGTACTGGACTGCGAGGAAAGAGGAGGTTCCATTTAGCTCAGGTTCAAGATGGGAGACGAACGGTCGCCTCTTCTAAAAGCCCACCTGTCGTTGTAGAGCCAGGCCAGGAAGCCGGTGCTGTTCCAGTACTTATCAGGCGCGTCTCCATCCCCATCGGACCACAGCACCTCGGGTTTGTACTTGACGATGAGCTCGTACAGCTCGGGCAGCGTTTTCATGGTGGGGAAGTAATTGGTTTTGAAGAGGTTGGCGGCGTCCTGTTCGAAAAGCGGGTTAAACCACTCAAAGAGAGAGTGATACAGCCCCAGACGCAGGTCCCCCTGAGCGCGCACAGCGCTCGCCACTTCGTCCACCACGTCTCGCTTCGGGCCTACATCCACTGCGTTCCAGTTCCAAGAAGTTTTGGAGCCCCAGAGTGTGAAACCTGAAACCAAAATAAATTGATATAGTGCACCTTCTGGGATCCAAGCAGACATAACCAACATCAATACAAACTTATGACAACATGCCAGGGAGTTTAAACCAAAAAGCAAAAGCGCAGGTTTGATTAAAAACTCCGAAAAAACAGACGATGCATGAGCAATTCATACTTATACACCTTCGTGGTGTTTTGTGGTCAGGACGATGTACTTTGCTCCAGATGAGGCAAAGATGTCCGTCCATTCTTTGGCATCAAAGAACTCAGCCGTAAAGAGCGGCGCAAAATCTTGATACTTGAAGTCTGGGGGATAATTCCTCTGCATGAAGTCAACATACGGCTTCTGCTTCTGTTTCTGCCAGTACCACCTGCAGGAAACAACAATAAATAAATTCAAGATAAATAAATAAAGCACAGAATACAAACACAGATACAAACACTACAACTGTGAAATGTATTTCTTTAATTCAATTTTTTAAAAGTGTGATCGCGCTGATAACCGCTAGTTGGCGCCAACGGTCAATATTGGAATTTTGCCGTGTAGGTAAATAATGCTCGGAAAAGTGACAAAAAGCGTATTTCCTTCCGTCTAAGACTCAGCATTTTAGAAGTTTGTTGGAGAGTGCATTCAGGGTTTTAAAATAAGTAAACGCGTAACAGGAGAGTTATTGCTGTTTTCTCTTTAAGAAAAGTCTCATTTACCAAGTTCTCTGTCATATTTTAATGCATTTTCGGGGGAAATACCCATTAATTGCATATTAGAGTAAATCTAATATTTCAGTCATTTTAAATGTTTGATAGTTTTAGGTTAAGTACTTCTTAAGGCATTATTTTTCCACTCATTTTATCAAAACATTCATATTATTATGCTTTTGTGAAACGTTCCGGGTATGTCGTATTTTGTAGCTGCTCGTGCTGCCGGTTTCAAACACCGTCTTTGAATTCAATACAACCTATTGCTGGTAAATGGCAACAATAACGGAAAGACCGTCTCAGCTGAAACTGCTGTCACGGCTTGTGTGCATCCATCCCCAATGCCCCGTGTGAGAGCTCACCAGAACCACTCGCTGCCAAAGCTGGGCACGGAGAAGACTCCCCAGTGTATGAAGATGCCGAACTTGGCCTGGTCGTACCACTCTGGCAGGGGTCTGGAGTCAATGGATTCCCAATTCGGTTCGTACCTCGCTCCGCTGATGCCAATTAGCACTATAAATGCAAGTAAATGGACTATCGCCCCCATTATGGACCGGACTGCAACTAAATGATCCGGTTAGACAACGTGCTATGAAACACAACAGTCATGTGAGCTATCGCATGACTAACTCACCACGGAAGAACAGAGATTTGGACTCAAATTTAAAGTTCCTTCTTCCTGAAACAATGGGTGAGTTGGATTTCATTCATATGGTTCGCCGTTTTGCAGAGAGAGATTTAAACTATATCAACACCGCCCGGCCGGGCGACGCAGCGTCATGTCTCGCGCCGTAAGGATTCACGCATGCGCAGTCTTTTTCCATTCAGGAAACGGGGAATGTTTTGGTTTTGAAACGCAGCGAGGAGCACATGCAGGGCTACGTGGACTGCCACTGTCATATCTCTGCAAGGGATTTTGACAAGGTATGGAAGAAATTAGGTTCCTAATTAATGCAGTTAGCAGTCGATCAAGCTGTAACTCTTCTTTCCTTATGTTCAGGACATAGGAGAGGTGATTGAAAATTCAAAAAAGGTGAGACCCCGCATTTAAGCCAAAAGTCAAATAGAGTATGGTGCAATCGCGTTGTTGTAAATTTCACTAGAATGTTATTGTCCCAGGCTGGATTAGTGGCAGTGTTGGCCGTGGCCGAGCATGCTGGAGAATTTCACAAGATTATTGAGCTCTCGGAAAGGTAAGAACATCTGTTTGGGTTATGTATTTGTACATACATTTGGCATGTGTTTGTAAATGTAACGTCTTTTTCACTTTAGGTTTCCAGGTTTTATTTTCCCCTGTTTAGGAATCCATCCTGTTCAGGAAGTTACCCCAGAAAAACAAAGGGGGGCTACTTTACAGGTAGGAATGTTCCAATTCAAAGGTTTAAAATATTTTTCAGATTTTTACTAAGACACAGAATGGGGAAAATAGACTAAAAATAAATCTCACAAAGACCCATTCATTATTAGTTATTATCTTACTGGAATATCCGCAGAAAAGGTGTATGATCAATGGAAAGTGATTAATTATAACAGCTAGTACAAACAGCATATAACTGAACCCTAACTGATGCAGTAAGTACAGTCATGGCCAAAAGTATTGAGAATGACACAAATATTATATTTACACATGATCTGCTGCCCTCTGGTTTTCATGTGTGTATGTCAGATGTTGTCATCACATACAGAAATACAATCAATGGTTGAATTTTGTCAGAATTCCTAGGTTTTCGTTTTTACACCCGTCTCTTGGTGATTGACCATTAGTTTTCAATGGGATTAAGATCAGGGGAGTTTCCAGCCCATGGACCCAAAATCTCTATGTTTTGTTCCTTAAGCCAGTTAGATATCACCTTTGCTTTATGGCAAGGTGCTCCATCATGCTGGAAAAGGCCTTGTTCCTCACCAAACTGCTTTTGGATGGTATGGAGAAGTTGCTGTCGGAGGACATTCTGGTACCATTCTTTATTCATGGCTGTGTTTTTAGGTAAAACTGTGAGAGAGCAGACTCCCTTGGCTGAGAGGCAACCCCACACATGAATGGTTTCAGGATGCTTTACAGTTGGCATGAGACAAGACTGGTGGTAGCGCTCACCTCATCTTCTCCGAACAAGCCGTTTTCCAGATGTCCCAAACAATGGGAAAGGGGATTCATCAGAGAAAATGACTTTACCCCAGTCCTCAGCAGTCCACCCCCTGTACCTTTTGCAGAATATCAGTCTGTCCCTGATGTTTTTCATGGAGAGAAGTGGCTTCTTTGCTGCCGTCCTTGAGACCAGGCCTTGCTCCAAGAGTCTGGGCCTCACAGTGCATGCAGATGCACTCACACCTGCCTGCTGCCATTCCTGAGCTAGCTCTGCACTGCTGGTAGCCCGATCCCGCAGCTGAAACACTTTTAAGAGACGATCCTGGCACTTCCTGGTCTTTCTTGGGCGCCCTGGAGCCTTATTGGCAACAATGACGTTGAAATGGGTTTTGGGGGATAAAGTTCATTTTATGGGCAAATATTGACTTTGCAATTAATTGCTGTTATGCTGAACACTCTTTTTAACATTCTGGAGTATATGCAAATTGCCGTAAAAAAACTGAAGCAGTAGACTTTGTAAATATTAACATTTGCATCATTCTCAAAACTTTTGGCCATGACTGTACATCATGCGATAATGGAATTTGGCACAGTTTTGCAAAGGTACGCCTCTTCTTTGAGTCTGTGGGGGCACTACGGAGCTAACTGAATACACTGATTGACCAGTTTGTGTCCTTGCAAACGTCAGATTGTGAAATAGTGGTTTATGGGGCACGAGATGTAGTTTTCAATCATAGACCTGACCCCCAGACATTAAGTTGACCCACCAAATCAAACACTGACCCCTTTCATACAGCCATCCATCCGCTATCTCTACAACCTTTTTTTTTTTTTAAACAAAGCAACTGGTGCGAGATATGGTGCAAGACAATGATATGTATAAAAATAAGTAATTACATCAGTTTGATTTGATTGAGATTTTAACTGTGTTTATGTGTGACTTCCAGGATCTCGAAGCAGCTCTGCCCATCATAGAGAAATACAAAGACCGTCTTGTTGCCATCGGAGAGGTAAAGATTCCTAATTCCACATTATTAGATTTTTATTTTAAAATAAAATATGTCATCATCCAATTTAGTGTTTTCTCACCATCACACGAATATCTTTTTATACAGACTTGTTCAGGCATTTGGATCCGAAGATCTTGCTGAATCTTTGTGTATGTTTTGTAATCATGTCCGATGTGTAGTGAATGGAAAAGTCAGTTGGAACGTCATTGCAGCTTTTCTTGCTGTTGCTGCAGGTTGGCTTGGATTTCACACCCAGATTTGTCAGCGGTGAGGCCGATAAGGAAAATCAAAGGCAAGTCCTCATTCACCAAGCACAAATCGCCAAGGAGCTGGACCTCCCTCTGTAAGTTTGAATCTGGCTGACTGTCTGTGAGTTTCAGAAATCATTTTTTTATTTTTTTATGGTCATCAAAAGGAGAGTATTTAAAAGTTCAACGTGCTGCAACACAGCTGACACAACACATTCTGCGGCCAGAAGACTTTTAGGATATTTCTCCCTATGTTTCTTTTTGTAGAAACGTTCACTCGAGGTCAGCAGGAAGACCAACCATCCACCTCCTGAAGGAGCAAGGTGAGCAATTAAGATTCTCCTGTTTGCCTCCTAAAGTGTTTCTGAAGTTAACTGCAGCCCCTCCTCACTGACGGTAGGTGTTGAAAAAGCCCTTCTTCATGCTTTTGATGGAAAACCGTCAGTTGCTATGGAGGGAGTTAAGGCTGGATATTTCTTTTCCATCCCCCCATCCATAATAAGGAGTGAGCAGGTACAGCCGAGCACCCAGTCCACTCACATTAAACAACTGATGTGCTATTTATCAGGTGTAATGTAAACGTGTGATGAGTTTTTTTTGTTTTTTTACCAAGAAGCAAAAACTTGTGAAACAGCTGCCACTAGAGAACATCTGTCTGGAAACTGATTCGCCTGCTCTTGGTCCAGAAAAGCAGGTAAAATGTCTTTAATTTGGGAGCAAACGACAGGCTTTATTGTCAATATTTAGTCTGTTAACTTCAAAGCTGCTACAGTTTTAATAATTCCCTTCATTCGTGGGATCCAGTTTTTCTTTCACTCACTACTGTTGTTTTGCAGGTGAGAAACGAGCCAAAAAACCTTCTCGTCTCGGCCGAATACATCAGTAAGATAAAAGGGGTGTCACTGGAGGAGGTTATGGAGAAGACGACGCAAAACGCTCTGCGACTCTTCCCCAGGCTGAAGTCCGCCATCCGACCATGACGCCATTTTCCTATGAAGAAATACCTGAAATGGCTTTACAATCATTTTTCGGCCATCGTTGTACCTTTCCAAATTCAAACCGTTGACTGAATTCCCAATCAGTGAAGTGTAAATGAATAAAGTCCGTTAGATTAATTAATTAAAAGCCCAAAAATAATTGTTGACACTATCTGCATGAGTGGTTACTCGTCTCCACTGAAGAAATAATTACTGACAGAGTAGCCCTTGAGACGGAACAAATTAGTTTTTAATAAGTTAAACAATATAATATGTACAATATAATTTAACTTTATCCATACTGTAAAGTAAACCACAAGAAAAAACTTCACACTTTATTTAATACAAACCATTGTGTGTTCATCACTTTGAGGAATGTGGTTACCCGATATGTTACCATGCGCCATGGCTAATTGTAGCTATGCTTGCTTCCCTTCTCTTACTCTCAAGCCCTAAATAAGTAACTGAGACGATTTTATTGCCAATTTGGGAGTAAGGGCAATATATCTTATTGCTCTAATCAGTCTTCAGAAATATTTGCATCTAAGGTTTATGCAAATTCCACCTCCAGATTTATGTACTTAACACAGATATCAACAGTCTTCTTGTCCACTTGATCTGGATCTCTCAATAAAATGGAACACACTCTATGCTTTACTGCAATCCCTATTTTTAAGACTGGCCAAGGCTTTGGAAACATTTCTTCAAAGGCATTTTCTTCACAGAAAATAAAATGATTTCTTTACTTAAAGGTTGACCTGCTGCACAGTCAATATTAAATTTGACTGTGCACCTCTTTAACACTTGGGTTCACAACACTTTTGTAAGAAATGGTTTTGTATGTATTGCAACAGTCATGCTGTGGTGACATAGTTTAGCTCATTTGTAATATGTATGCATGTGGTATATTTGGTTTGGCATAGTGCTGCTGAAGTAAGAAAAACACTCTGGAGACGCCTCTTGCTTATCTTTTCTGTAATACTCTTATTATATTGACAAATGTTACTGATCCAATAACAACAGGTAACAAAATGTTCCACTGCTGTTTATTTCATTTAGCATTTCCTGGTTTAGAATGAGGAAAATTATATTGTAATATTTTTAAATCTTAACAATTGAAAGATCCTAAAAACAACGTGGGATTTATATATCAATATGCAGGAGACATGTTGGTGAATATAGGAAATCACTGTATTGATCAGGTGGTGTTCCACGTGATTTTTGTGTTTAAGTTGTGGAAGTCTGATGAGATTAAGCTGAGTCAATGCTGACATGCAGTCTCCAGAAACGAGTGGATGACTTTATCTCTTTTAGATTACACTACTGTAATGGACTTTATTCACGCTTCCCTAATATAGTGATAAAGGGACTTCTAATGATTCAGGAAGAAGCTGCTCAACTAATATTTCAACAAAACTGAAAGAGGTTGAGTATACCCAAACATTCCTCAAATCAAGTCTGACCGGTCAGTCACAGAATTTATGTTATTATTGCCTGAATGGTGTTGGCCCATAGTACACATCAGGTATAATCACTCTTTTAATTATTGTACTTTATGTAAAAAAAAAAAAAAAAACATTCTCTTTATAATCCCATATAACTAGAAAATAGCAGTTGAATATTGCAAATTTGGTTGATGAATTGATCTGAAATAAGGTGAGCACCTCCATAAAAACAGGTTTTGGGCAGGGTGCAGGCATCAAAGTATGTCTTAACACAATGTGAAGGACGAGGCTATCTGTAGTAAAGCCTGAAAGAGACCAAGTCATGCAAAAGAACATGATCCCAAACAGCAAAAATGCATCAGAATGTGGATAAAACAGTTTGAGTGTTGCAACGATCCTGTCAAAGTTCAGACCAATTTGATTGGAACACTAGGTTGGAAGTCCTCCACAGTGTTTTGAGAAAATGATTACATCACACAGAAAAAAGAAACTAAAGTAATTTCTTGTGGTGGTCTTTCCCATGTTCAAATAGACAGACAAACAACCACACACACTGACCTTCACTCCTTGGGGCAACTCAGAGTGTTCAATTAATCTAACATGCATGTTTTGGACAGTAAAAAGAAGCCAAAGCAGAAAGCCCCCTGATTACCCAGGGATTTGAACCAGGAACCCTCTTGTTGCAACACATCTTTCAGAGTATAGAATAATAATTCACCCAGGGTTTTAGAAAGTCATTATTGCATTAAACTACTTTAATTCGGTTTCCTGGTCAGCAAAACGTCTGTTGTTTTCTTTTTCTTTCTTTTTTTTTTTTTTTTTGGTTGTTTGAAAAGTGTATGGAATCCTCAAAAAAAAAAAAAAAAAACTTACGGGCGGGAAGCCCCTGAATGCAACGCGCGTGCAGTTCACGGTCCGCGAGCGGACACGTCATCGGTCACACGCAGGCATCGTGCGGCAAGTGACAGATTCTCCAACCAGTGCGAGGGTTTGTTGTTAGTCCAACCTAGATGCTGAACTTTGTCTCGTTCGACCGTGTTCGTTATACATCGTTCAGAAGCTCATCGGGGGCGAAATTCGTGCATGCGTGCCGCTCGTCTCGCAGCGGTTGTTGTTTTGTCTTCTTTCTAAGGGAATTGTGTCAAGTCAAAGCAAGGTGAGCGTGGAGGGGGGTTCGCTGCACTCGCACAATGCTCACTGTACAGCCTGTTTTGTGAGCGTGGAGGACGTGTTTAATGCTTCTTCTGGTGAGTGGAAGTTCCCCTTTCTTCCCTTTGGTTTAGGTTCAGGTTGTTGATAGAGTCTTGAACCTTTTCTTTTCCACTTTCAAAAAATTAAAAAAAAATTTTCCCCAAAATATTTCTTTTCCAGATGTAGGGATTTGCTTTTAACGTTTTACTCGTGTTTCAGCTAACTCGGGGTTCCTTATACTGTTGATGATGTACAGTGGCTAATGGCGCTTTGTTTACCTCCTCCGCATGGTGGGGACCCAACATGACACGCTCCCTCTCTCGTCTTCCCCCGGTGCAGGTCTCAGCCGCCCGACAACATGACCGGAGACACGGTGGTCTTGAGGGGGCTGACCTGGATGAAACAGGCGGCCAGCAGAGCCCCGACAGGCGGCCTGGCCGGCCGCGGGAGCCGGAGGCTGGTAAGCCTCCACCCGGCCCCCGGACCGGGAAGGGTGAGCACTGGGGTGGGATGTGGTCATCGTGCAGCTGCTCACCGGAGTCGTGTTTTTCCAGACGCTTGGGACTGAAACTGCACGGGAGAAGAGCGCAGGAAAAGAGCAAATATCTTGAGATTGGGATTGCTAAACTTCACATTTTCTGATGTTTTTCTATTTTATTTTTCCCAATCTGAACAGCCCGATTTCAAACCAGCAATTTGTGCTGAAACTGACACTATTCCTTTTTCTTTTGCATTGGTTAGACAGTGGTACTGTAAATGTAAGGAACTACATTTTGCCAAGTGGTCATGGTCATCTTTAACATACAGCTGTGTGCCATAATTGGAGCAGAAGAGCTTCCATTGTTCCTGATCCTTTGTAGTACCCAGTTTGGTGAACCTGATAGGGGCCCCACGTGCACTCTTTCAACCCGTCTTCTATGCACAGAAGCACATAAGCGTCGGTGTCTTCATCCCCCCAGGCTCAGAAAGTGCTGTTGGTCTTAAAAAAATGAATGAATTTAACAGTACTTGCTGAAGTTGAGTGCTTGTGGTACAAAAACAACCTGAAGGAATCTGGTCCGCCTCCTCAAGTCAGTTTTTTAGCTACTTTTTTAGCAGAAAACAAACACTAAAGTCTAAATGCTCGTCCTTATGTCACTGTATAGCTGGTGTGTATGGTTTAACTGCAAGAGTTAGTGCTAGTTTAGCATTATTTCTTGTCAATCCGTTTCCAGTTTACAGGGCTGGGTGACTTTTGACCTGCAGGCTGAGGACCAGTTGCATCATGGTCATTGAATCAGAAGGCTGGGGGTTTTCTTTGAGCAGTTTGCTCTCGAATGGACCTAAAATATATCAGTAATCTGCTGATTCATTCATTCATTTGATGCATTTTTATTATTAGTTTTTTATTTGTTTGTGCCTTTAGTTCCAGAGGAAGATGGCAGCCCAGAGCATGAAAAAGCTCCACCGTGTTTCGCTGTAGATAGTGTGTTCCTCTCATAATCGATTTAGTTTCATCAGGGCTTTGTGTCGCTGTCCAGAAAACATTTGCCCCATAAAAGTTGTATCTAATGAAACTGAAACTTTTAGCAAACATTCGTCATTTGCTTCTTATCTGTGAGTGGTTCGGTCCTCTTTGAGGGACCTGGTCGGTTCAGCTTCAGATTGTTCCAAGTCAGCTTTCAAGCTTTTCTGGATGCCTCTTATTAAGTCTTCACTTGGCTGCATGTCCTTGAAGTATCTTTAAGGTTTTATACCCTTAACATTTTAAAACAGTCAAATCAGATTTGCAGATTTCCTGATTTAGTTAAATCTTTGAGCTGTTTGGATTTAAATGTTTAGTTTCAAATCATGTCTGAGAATTCGTTCAGTGGTGAGATGCATCCGCAGCTGCTCTTCAGGGCCGGTGGGACTACTTTTCTCTAACGGGCCACATTCCTGAACAAATCTGTTCTGAGTGTTGTCATGCGCTGCAGCCTTGGGCCCCCCCAAACGCCTCATTAGTTAATCACGTTTTGCTCACCCAGGACATGTTGGACAGGCAGATGGAGGTTTGGGTCGGCAGAGCCGCGGCGGGGCGGTTCCGCAGATATTCCACGATGGGCGCCCGTCTCACTTCCTGCTTCGTCGCAAGCGCCAATCGCTGCCAGGCGGCGCGCGGCGGAGCGTCTGCTAAACTTCTGAAGGGCGACGGGGGCTGGCCGGGTCAGTTCTTCTGTGGACACACGCGGTCGTTCAACCAGGACAACCCCACAGTGGGGCGTCTGACTTCGGAGGACATCCAGAAGGCGAGAAGTTCCAAGAAATCCGACCCCAAGCCTTATAAACAAATGGTATCCCTCCCTCTTTTTTTCCTCTGTCAGAGTTGGAGTAATGTTGGCCACATGGCTGAGCGCGTGGTCATCCTGTTGAAGTTTGCCTTTCGTGGTTGAATTCTGTTTTTGTTTCAGCTCAGCGAAAGCGCTCGGGAGAGGAAGGTGCCCATCACACGGATAGGGAGGCTTGTCAACTTTGGAGGTAAGTGGGATTTTATGGGCACGTTTCGAATGTAATTATTGAAGTGAATCAGACCGTGATCAACTCACCTGACCGGGGTGTTTTTGTGTGTGTGTTCCACACATGACATGATTAATTTCCTTTTCTGATTGACATGTTTGTGGATCTTATCCCCCATTTAACTGCATCCCACCACCACCTTAGTCCCTCACTACGCACACGCAGCAGTCCATTCATCACCAAAAGTGATCCTTTTTTTTTATTTTGAATTAGGACCAAGACAACTCTTGACATTTTATGAGGGAGCTCAAACCTTTTTTTTTTTTTTACAGAAGTTTTGCAAGATATGCAAGTTGTGCAAAAGAATTAGTCAGCCACTGCACTTCCTCCAGAGGGCCCAAATTAGTGGGTGGAAAGAAACAAAAACAGCACATTAGACCCTCTTTTGCAGTTTTTTCTTTCATGGTGAAGTGTTAGGACACCAGATATTTAATCAAAGATTTAGCGTAGTAGAGCCTCCGACCTGGTGCTCTCTGTCAGCAGTTTTCCAAATGTGCTGACAGAGCATTTTAGACAGAGTGTGTCAGGAGCATGCCCGACAATCCAGCTGATACACAAACACGCCGTTAGAGATCAGCTTTTGTTCAGTAACGGTATCAGTTCTCTCCTTCTCTCTTTCCACAGGCCTGGCGTTCGGACTCGGACTCGGTGCTCTCGCAGAAGTGGCCAAGAAGAGTTTTAAACCCAAACAACAAGGTGACAAGAAGTAGAGCATTGTTTTAATAGTTGGTTTGAGACCGGTAGTGATCAGTAAGATGTCTGATGTGATTTGTAAGGCATGCCAAGTCACTCTGTTCACTCATGCTGGGTTAGCCCAAAAAACCCCCAAAAGCCTTGGATGAGCTTTTCAGGCAACACAATACCCAATTTTTATCTTGCTTATATTTTAGCAGTGGCTGTTAAGATAAAATATGCAAACAACACCTATTTGAATGTTCATTAGTGGGATGCCCTTTAGATCAGATAATCCAATCTAGCATTCCAAGCAGAGATGGGCCTCCTCAGTGGAAAGTCATGGTTAGATTGAGGTGTAAAATCTTCCAATCATGACAAGATAATCACCTCAGAAATGGGGAACATCTACTTTAAGACTATTAAAAACACAATAGTGGTAACTGTCATAGCATTACCTCCACAATCACATAATCCCAACCCCTCTGAGCCACTAATGAGGGACATTACTAAGGAAGATCTTCAGAGTGTGGTGCAATCACGTTATCAGGTTGTGCACGAGCTAACTGCTACATTTGATTTTCCCTATTGTTGTTTTAGGAAGTAAAAAAGCCATTCTGGACTCCAACCCCTTCCTGTCAGAAGCCAACGCTGAAAGAATTGTCCGGACGCTTTGCAAAGTCCGAGGGGCTGCGCTCAAACTGGGGCAGATGCTGAGTATTCAAGGTGAAGTCTATACAACGCGCATCCTGAACTCTTTCAGCAAAAGCATCAGATTTACTCATACTACAGTAGAACCTCTACATACAAATTTAATTCAGTCCGGGACCTACTTCGTATGTTAAAATATTCGTGTTGGTTCAAATAATCCCATAAGAATACACTGTAATTCATATAATTCGTTCCACAGCCCAAAAACCTACGATAACTCTCAAATAAATACTGGAGATAATTACATATAGCAATAAAACAAAAGGATTATATAAGAGAGATGTAAAAATAAATAAATTATGAAGAAATAATCAACTTTTTTTTTTTTTATTGGCACTTATTGCCTACGTGAACTTAAAACTAACTTATCTTATGTATTTCTATCCAATTTTTTTTATATTTATATTTTTTTTTTTTTTTTTTTTTTTTTTTTTTTTTGTATAACTTCGACGTCATATGTTGGAAATTTACTTTGGGTGTCAAGTCGAATATTTGGTTGAATTCCACTTTGGATGTTGGAAAATTGGTATATTTAGGCAATCGTAAGCAGAGGTTCTACTGTACTTTTCTTTAATCCCACGCTGTCTGATAATCTGTGACATAAGGAAACCGGCAAACATCACACATCATTAGTGGTTGTTTTGTGTGCCGAAATCATCCGTGCAAAGAAAAGTTTTCCTACTCACTGAGTCTGTCGCCTCACAACAAAGCTTCATTGTGCTGCTGATTCATTTTCTCTGGCAAACAAATGGGATCCTCACACTAGCAGCGAAATGTCACCACTTAAAATAAACAACAAAGTGGCTGAACACGATGAGTGTCATCTCGCTCGGGCCTGGCCCTGCACGCTTCTGTCAAGCGCCTGCCACGTGAACTCGCAGAGCGAGGCATTTGTTTAGCCAAGTAAAACCTTTTTGGGTTAGCGTTTTGCACCTGTTAGCGCTGGTATGGGCTGGGCTGCTAACTTGCTCACGCTGCCATATTTGATCCCTCTGTGCAGCGTTTGGTCACGAATTTGTTCTATTTCAGCTTCTATTCCTGAGGTCAAGTATTTGGACTCTTGGTTGGTCAAACCATTTTGGCTGCGTGACCAAATACCACTCATTTAATGCAAGCTGCTAGCTGAGGGGCAGTGTAGCTGGCTAAAGCTAGCAGTAACTGAAGGTGCTAGCTACAGAGCATTAAAGTATTCATGGCCGGTGGCACTTTTCCAAATTTCATGTGGCAACAACAAACTTAAATGTTTTCATTTGTGTGATAGAGCGGCACGCAGTAGTGTATAAATGTGAAGTGGAATAAAAATGATAAACTGACTTTGGCCTGTAACTGACTGGGTCATTCTAACTCATGAAAATAGTTTTATTTAAACCATTCCTATATAGATTTTGGGTGTATTTTTATGGTCCTCCGGCCAAAAGATGAGGATTCGTCTCATCTCAGTTTTAAGGGTTAAAGTCTCAATCTGATCAACTCTTGACAAAGTTTTTGTCTGAAAATTTTGCTGAAGGTCTGGGTGTTTATATTTTCAACAGTCCAAATAAGCAGCGGGAAAATGGACAAGGTTTTTATGTTCTACTTAACCCCCCCGGCCCCTTTAATTCTTTCCAGATGATGCCTTCATCAACCCTCAGCTGGCTAAAATCTTTGAGCGTGTCCGGCAGAGCGCAGACTTCATGCCCACAAAGCAGATGATGGTACAGTAGAAGTTGAAACAGACAATACAAAACGCAGCTGCCAGTCTCTATTTACAAATCTTATTTTTTTGTTTTTAACCCCGTACAGAAAGTCATCAGCAGCGATTTGGGCCCAAACTGGAGGGACGCGCTGGAGTACTTTGAGGAGAAGCCGTTTGCAGCAGCGTCCATCGGTCAGGTGCATTTGGGGAGGCTGAAGGACGGAAGAGAGGTGGCCATGAAGATTCAGGTCAGCGGAGTGTTTGCACTCGGATAAAACCTTTAAATGAACTTTATTCAGCAAATTGAAAAGAAAAATCACTTCTCCCCGTCAGTACCCCGGAATTTCCAAGAGTATCGACAGCGACGTGAATAATATCATGACTGCTCTGAGTTTAAGCAACGCCCTGCCCGAAGGTAATATTGTTGGAGGGTCTTTTATCACTGAATGATAACGGCTGCTATTGTGTGGACGTTCTAGCCTCGGCTAATGTCAACATGCTTTCAGTTTCGTCATACCTCGTTTGCTCTCTTTGTGTTGTTTTTTTTTTGTTTCCAGGTCTGTTCCCTGAGCATCTCATTGAGGTCATGAGTCGGGAACTCGCACTGGAGTGCGACTACATAAGGGAGGCCAACTGTACCAAAACATTTCAGTAAGCCCTTCGCTCTGTTCTTTTGACGCCCGCTGCGTGGGCAAAACCTAGCTCGCCTTGGCAAGAATCCTAAAAACATCTGAGTCAGACTCTGTTCAGCTGCTTTCCAGCTTCTTAAGAATCTTGCTTTTTCAAAGATTCAAGACATGCTCACTGGTTTTTATTAGATACAGGTCCCCCCCCCCCCCATTTTTGGTATGTTTTGAATGTGCTGGCCTAACTGAAGTTCCACATCTGGTTTTCTGGTTTTATTTTTTAGCTTTTAGGTGTTTTTAATCAATCTGTGTGCTAAGGTAGAGCTTTTGTACGGCCGGTTCTTTTTCCACCACGCTGGTCAGATGTGTCTCTGTTGTGGTTGGTTTAGGTTATTGTTACTGCAAAGCTTTCAATGTCGACCAGAGCTTTTTAATGCATTAGGCCTGGTGCACCCAAATGTTTTCCTGGAAAGCCTGACCAAGCAACAACGTTCCACTGAGTAATATCTGCTCTTATCCTGAAACCAACTGTCCAAGAAGCTTCTCTTGAACGTATTCTATCACAGAACTGATCTGCTTGTTCAGCAGCTTTGAGTAACTAAAAGTGAATCTTTTAAGGAATTCCATATGAGAAAGGAGGCGGAACTTCGCTCCACTTTTGTTCATGTTTGTGGTTGGAGCCTGTGGAGCCGGGTGGGGGGGTTACAATGTCATTCATTCATACATTTTCCATACCCGCTTTATCCACTCCACTGCTGCCTGAGGGCTGGATGGATAAAGGGCCCAGCTGTCCTGTGGATAATTCTTCAGTTGTTTGATCGGGTCTTCCACATCTTAGAGGAGCTAAATGTATGTATTTTAGTGAAAAGGGGGAGGATTTTACCACTTCATCCTACTTTATCCCACTTTTATATACACCGCTGAGAAAGCTGCTGCCGTTCCCTCCGTTTTTGCTTTATTAAAAAAATTGACTTTCGACAGTGATGGAGTGTAACAAGTCCATTTATTATCAAATTTAGGATTTAATTGGCTAAAACCCAGAGTTATTTTGGCATGGCAAGTTTAAAAGAAAAGCAATAAAAACATAAATAACCTATATTGTGACTAATTTCTACAGGAAAAAGAGATATTTTTCCCTTAAGGTTGCACATCTCTGTTTAACATAGATTAAGTTGGTGGTGTTAAAACTTTGATGTTAGATTTTTTAAATAAAAAAGGTGGTCAGAACTCCTTCCCTAAGCCTCTCCCATTGCCACTAACATGAGCGGGGCCCTATGAAGCGGCATTTTGAACCTCCACATGAGGCACCTGCACTGTGTCAGTGAAAAGGGGCTGACAGTGAAGCCTTGAGGCACCTAAGAGAGGGAAAATTCTCTCGGGAGGGGGCGCATAGATTTAAAGTTGAACTAGAGCCAAAGCAGAACTTAAGAGTGCAGTCATGCTGGAGAGCAGGTCATCAGTGGCTTTTTTCTTTAAAAGTAAAAAAAGTCCCCCTCATCTGGCTCGTCTGCTGTAATGTGTGTTTGTGTTGGGGTCCCTCTAACGTTGCCATTCCGTTTGTGTGGCAGGGAGCTGCTGAGGGACCACCCCTTTTTCACCGTGCCCGACGTGATAGAGGAGCTGAGCAACGAGCGTGTCCTCACCACCACGCTAGTGCACGGTTTCCCCCTGGACCGGGCGACCAACCTCACTCAGGAGCTCAGGAATGAGGTCAGCATTCAGAGCCCCAGCGCTCCGGGGCTCACCTTACAGCTCATTGTTGAGGCGTCGAGGCCCCTGTTGCCAAAACGCCGCCTTTAAACCGAACAAAAATGTTTTATTCATCCCATATCCGGGGATTTCAAACAGTCAAGTAGCTTAAAAATAGAAATATTTGCAGGGTGCCTTTCGGTCCAGCCAAGGCCCCTGCACCCCCCCCCTCCCGTCCACGTCATCAGAATGCTTCTGAATGTGGCAGGACTCCGAGTTGTACCTGAGTGCAAGCTGAAGCTCAGCTAAAACGGTCCCCTGTGGAGCCCCACGCCGCATTCCACAAACACTCCTGACAGCCTGCGGTCTGGCAGTCAGTCTGTAATGCAGTGCTGTCAGGGAGGGGGCCATTCCAGAGGTCTGACCCCTCATTATGGGAGCCCCCCTGTGAACCAGCCCCATCCAGATGTGCAGCGTGTACATATTCGGCCTCATCCCGCGTGATTACATACCATTTACAGGAACGCCTCACAGCCGCCGTGTCCTCTCCTTCCACAGATTTGTGAGCAGATCTTAAGGTTGTGCCTGAGGGAGCTTTTCGAGTTCAGATACATGCAGACGGACCCAAACTGGGCCAACTTTTTCTTCAATCCTCAGACTCACAAGGTTTGCATTACTCAGTCACTCAAGTAAAAACTCCAGTTTTTTTTTTTCCTCCTGAGTTTTTTTTTTTTACCGGGTTTGTCTCCTTAGGTTGCCCTGTTGGATTTTGGAGCCTCGCGAGGATTCGACAAGAGTTTCACGGACACCTACATTGAGGTGAGAAGCTACAAAAGTGTCACAGTTAAAGTCAGACATTTTGATAATACCACAAACGAAGAATCATAAATTTTAAGTCTTAAGTTGCACATTTACGGATTTCTACGGGCCAACGAGCTTCACGCCAGCAAAAAGCTTACACTAATGGCGCAGGACAACAGATCGGTTCAGAAATAAACCTCAGGGTACGCAAGATTTTGGGGCTCCGTTTTAGCTGAAAATGGCTAAGCTGTTGCACCTCATTTAGAGGCTGCAGCTCCCCCATGTAAATCGTTCCCCTCTGTTGTGACAGTTCACTTCTTTGTGAGGCAGACAAATGGTGTGACCTCTGTTGTGTTCTATTAATTGTGTGTTCCTCACATCAGATTATCAAGGCAGCTTCAGAACAGGACCGAGAGGGCGTCCTGCTCAGGTCCAGAGACATGAAGTTCCTCACAGGATACGAGTCAAAGGTAATCCACACCATACCGTTCCTTAATATCTGCTCGTTAGTCAGTTAGTTAGTCAGTTAGTTAGTTAATCATTAAGTTGTGTTTACCTCCCTACAGAAAACAGCGAGTCTCTTAGGGCACAAGCAGCTTTATTAACTTCTCCTGGTGCACAGCAGGAATTCCATTGATCAATAATGACCTGTGTAAAAGCTGCCTCCTGCTTCCTCTTAGAATTTCAAACCAATCAATCCTGATATCCTGTTTTCCTGTCCGTTTTCTTTGGGTTTGTTTTAAACACTACATTTCTGATGTTTCGATCGTAATGCACCTCAGGCTTTGTTAGCAAAAGAAACTCAAAATGTACACCATTTATTAACTTCAAAAAGGTGCTTTAAGTTATTTCATTGACTGCTGTTAAGATCAAAGATCATCAAGCTCATAAGATATAATAATAATTATGGTGAAGTCTTGTAGATGTTTGTCTGAAAGATAATTAATTATAAATCCACTAGGATTTTGTTGAACTATCCATGCTACGTCTCAATAAGAAGGCATTTTTCAGTACAATATTTGGATAGTGGTTATTCCCACTTTCTCCTCCCCCTAACAGTCCTCTAATATCTACTTAGCACTGCCTGTTGGAAGTCTTTAGGCCGCGTAACCTTGAGGCACTTTAGGGGCCCCCCTCATCTCCTGCATGAGTCTTTTGTTCATCTCATGGTTGTGCGTCACTCTGTTACTTTCCATGCACGTTTGGGCTTTTAGACTTCCTGCAGAGAGTATGACGGCCCATCAGGAACCCCCTTGATCTTAGAGAAGCCTCTCCTCAGTTCTAAGTGAAGACCCGTGGAATTTTCCCGTTTAGTCGTTGCAATTAGGCTGGTATTTAAAAGTGAGCATGTTTCAACAAAGTTTGCCGACTGAAAGCTTGTGGTTCATCCGCAAACAGTCGATGGAGAACGCTCACGTGGACGCGGTGATGATCCTCGGGGAGGCCTTCTCCTCGGCGGAGCCCTTTGACTTCGGCGAGCAGAGCACCACGGAGCGCATTCACAGACTCATCCCGGTCATGCTGAGGGAGCGCCTCACGCCGCCTCCAGAGGAGACCTACTCCCTGCACAGGAAGATGGGCGGCTCCTTCCTCATCTGCTCCAAGCTAAAAGCCAGCATCCCCTGCAAGAACATGTTCCAGGAGGCGTACAACAACTACTGGAAAGACTGAGATCCTGAACACTGAGAACTGGTTTTCCCGAAAAGCCAAATCATGTTTTTTTTTGTGGCTTAACGGACAACTTGCCTCTTATATTCTTAAAGGTAACTGGACGTTTCGGCAAACTGAACCAGGGTATACCTGACATAGTTTAGTTTGTTGTTTTTTTACACTGCTGACTCAGCAAGTGAACTGATACATTTACTGGAAAGTATCAGCATATCCTGCCAATTAAGAACTATTTTAAATGAGTGTATGTTATTCAGTGTCTTATTTAGCCAGGAATTCCATCCAGACTAAGGTTACCTTTATTTACCCTCCATTATGAGGGAAGATTATTTGTACTGAGTGTTGGACTGAATTTGTTGTGTGTACTCAACAACCAAGTAATTATGTGCCTTTGTGTTCTGAGGGAGTGTAGTCCATCTGATGAGGAAAGTCATTTGAAATGAACTGACACTCGTCCATCAGAAATAAATGAAACGTGTCCAAAAACACAAAGAGAATGGCTAAAAAAAAATCAGATTTGTTTTCTGGCATTGATGCACCATAAATGTACAGGAAAGACTGAGAATTCATTAACTATACAGAACCATTAAGAGTTTCCAGATAAGGAGATTTAATATGCAACATTCCTTAAAAACAACAACATCCATCTACACTAAAGTGATCAATTTAAAACATTTGACCCACTTCAGAACAAAACATTGGGCAGTGGTCCCAATTCACAGAACCGGTCGGGACCTGGTTCACAACAGCCTCCTTTGGCAGACGCTCCAGAGCCTGAAATAATCCTTAAACATGTCGTGGCTCACAGAGGCTTGAGGCACCTGGAGAGGCCGGACATGTGGGGGCAGGCCCCGTTTATGGTCCAAAACCTCCATGCGGAGATTTACCCCTGAAGACTGTCGAAAGTGTGCGAACACTTTAGTTTGGACCTGCTAATTATCTAACCAACGACACAGGGGACACAACAATGAATGTTTTTTAGATTAGACGTGGCCTCACTGACAGGATTTAGCTGTTAATCCCATTAGCCCCGCCTCCCCCACAGGGGCGAGGGGAGGCAAACATCATCTCGCGGCGGAGGCCGCTCCTCGCTCCACTTGAATGGTGATGCTGGAGAAGCCAAACTCTGAGCGCAGCCGCTCAGTGGCCTCTCTGAGGATCGCCTGCGGATCGGCCTCTTCGCCTGTGCACAAACAGAGAGAGGACGCTCTAATGGAGGTTGTGTCGAAGGTAATTTGCGAGCAGACTCCTGCGGGGCCGGGTTAGGCCGGGTTAGCTCTACCTGTGGAGATGTGGGCCGACAGCAGGGAGTGATGCATGCTGAGGCTCCACACGTGCAGGCTGTCGACAGCTGCCACGTCTCCCACGGACAGCAGCAGCTCGCGGACGGTGCCGTAGCCAACGCCACGGGGAGCACCTGCACCAAACACGGGCTGCGGTGTGGAAACGGTCGCTGGGGCGCCCAGCGGGGGGGGGGGGAGTTTAGTGACTTTACCTTCCATGAGTATCCTGAAAACGTCCTTTGTGACAGGAACCGTTGTCCCGATTACGAGCACCGAGAACAGGAACGTGCAGATGGGGTCTGCCACTTTGAATTCAGGCTTTGAGGGGGGAAAAAAAGAAAAACAAAACAGGAAACATGATTCCAGCCTGGGCCTGGGTGACCTGTAGTCTCCCCTACTTGTTGAGTCATGTCTGTTTCTTGCTGGATTTCCATTCAAAATTGTGAACAGCTGGTGTCGTCCAGTCAAATGGCTCTTTTCTATTTTTCCCTACTCGGAGCTGCTCGCTTTTACTCAACTCAAATCAATTAAATGCACCCAAAAACAAGGAAGTCACAGGGTGGGATGCCAAGAAAAAGAAGATAGAAGCATTAATGAGGCAGAAATGGTTCCAACTAGAGAGATAGAGAGGTGACCTAAAATACACTTGAACTTAAAATGGTGGAGAGGTTTTTTTTTCTGGATACTGACCCAGAAGTGGATGATGATGGCAGCGAGGAGGACTCCCACACTCTGCAGCAGGTCCCCCAGCACGTGGATGAAGGCCGCCCTCACGCTGGCGTTGCCGTGGCCGTGAGGCCGCGTCTCCCTCTGCGGGCGGCGGCCGGAGCCTCCGTGGCTGTGGGCGTGCGAGGCTCCGGACTGGTGCAGGATCAGGGCCATCCTGGAAGGAGGGAGAGGGGGTCAGGCCTTTTCGGAGGAGGGCCTCACCTTAGGAACGGAGCGGAATCCCGAGGCAGGAAGCGCACCCACAGGATGTTGACGCCCACCGCACAGGCAGAGGTGACCAGCATGATGCGGCTGTCGATGTCGTAGTCCCCGCCCGCCATCCTCTGCGCGGCTGACCACACCAGCACGGCCGTCACGGCCCAGATGGACACAATGGAGAGCAGCATGCCCAGGATCTCTGTGTAGAACAGGTTTTGCAACACGGGACACCGACACAGGTCAGTACCCATGGCGGTAAGACTCAGTCCTGAAACGGCATAAACAAAGTCACTGAAAAAAATCTAAAGAATTTGAAGAAATGAAGGCCTGGACGTATTTGTAGCAAAGTGCTCACCCTCCATTCTAAAAATGTGGACTTTCCTGTAAGTGCTGAGTAGCGCCTCAGCTCATATATCAACCACATGAGAGGGGCTGAGGTGTATCATGCTGCCCTAAAGTCTAGGTAAGGAAAACGCCACCTGCCCGATGCCATCCGAACGTCATGGTTTGGGACCGAGGCCTGGAGGAGATGGACAGGGAGACGACGCTGATCAAGATGCTGCCGACGTCGGTCAGGAGGTGAGCGGCGTCCGTCATGATGGCCAGACTCCCAGCAGCAAAGCCCCCTGTGAAAGGCGGACTCAAGGTTGGTGAGCTCTTACTACTGAGGATAGTACTCACCGGTGAGTTCCAGCTCACCAATCACCTCTCCTGCCATGAAGACCAGGCTGACGGCACAGGCAACCAGGAGTTTCCTTTTGGCCGCTCGTCTCGCATCGCTCTCGGCCTCAGAAAGGTCCCGCGGCTCCTCACAGGAACGGTCAGGCTGCCGGTGACCGTCTGCACCCGTGACGCATTCGCCCACCTCTGAACGGGAACCCTTTTCCTCTGGAGGACTCATCCTGGCAGGAGAAAACGGAAATTATGCACAAAATGGCACGTTGAAATATGGATTAGAAACACAAAGAAGTACCATGTAAGAGGCTCCAGGTAGGTCTCGATTAGAGGTTCTTCCTCAGAGTCCCCCGTCGGCCCCATATCTCCAGGGACGACCTGGAATTCTGTTTCCAGTGTGAACTAAACAGTTTGCCACCTGCTGCGACACACGTTATCTGCTGGGGCGGGGCGCCGCAGGGGCCAATGGCAGGTCACCAGCAAAGAAACCAGCCCACCACAACGTGTGACTTTCCAGTATCACCAGTTTATTTAAACAAACAAACATTCTTTACAATACTTTCATTTACAAACTGTATACAAAAAAACGTCAAGGGTTGGAAGTAAATTCAGAGAAATATATGGGAATGTCAAGACAATTTTACATTTTAATCTTTGATGTAAAGATAAAAAAGCCACTTAAAATGTATTTGGGTGCAAATTCGTGTTTGTCAAAGGTGATTATTAATGGGGGGGCACATTTAAAAAAAACATTTCTAATTTGTGCAAAATGAAGGTGAATAGTGGGGAGGGAAAAAAAGCAAAAATATATATACAATATATACATAGACAAGATTTTTAATTTAAAGCTTTTTCTGACTATATATTCATTAAACCTCCAATCAAAAACTATTTTGAATTTACACCATAAATTATGACAGCACAAAGAAGCATTCAGTGCTACTGGATCCCATCAGCAGGTCCCACAGACAAATAAGAGAGGAATAAACAAACTGGAAACCATACAAAATGTCCTAATACTGAACAAATCAGGCTACAGTGCTGAGTGCAGGAAAGGTTCTGATCCTTTGTGCGACAATCATAGGAACCTGTTAAATCACCCTCCTCTCTTTTGGAATCATGTAAACCAAACGAAAAACATTCAAGCTTCACAAACAAACATTTATGAAGCTTTAACGTCGGAGAGTTGTCAAGGTTTAATACATGTACAAAGAAAATGTTTAAAAACAAAGCAGCGGTTGGAAGTATTTTTCATTTTTATGAGCCAAAACTACTAGGGGCTTCTCCACTGACTCTTTATGCTAAGCTCCGAGCTTTAAGACTTCCTTTAGAGAAGCTCCAGGTGTCTAAGACCAAGGTCTTTAAATACTAGGACACCTCAGAGGTGACTGTCTTTTCTTCACCTTTACTAAAACTATATGAAATAATTTCATATTCTAAAACTCAAGTTTTTCCCTCCTTACTTGCAGCTGTAGATTTGTCTGTATATTTTGGGTGGTTTGTTTGGATGAGAAGTCACTGACACATCCCACCCCCACCATGTGAAAACAAAAGCGGTGTGGGAGAAACGGTACCGGCTGTGGTGTTAACCTATCCTCAAAAGTTGACGATGAGCATCACAATATATTTCCAACTTGACAGCTGAATGTGGTTTAGTCACAAAAGTCTTCATAGTGCGGCTCTATGTGCAGTGAGGCTGAAGTGATTGTTGGCCTTCAAAAGTCTAAAAAACCTGAGTCAGAATGAAAAAAGACAAAAAAATAAGAACCTGAATAAACTAATGTTTCCCTAGTCAAGACATCCGGTGATCTTTTTTTTGGCAGCTTTATGTTCGGATTTTTAAAAAAAGAAGGGGAAAAAAAAGGTAAGTTTAAGGTGTTCAGGAAAAAAATAAAATAAAATCGAAGAACTTGGCGGCTTTGCTTTCTGCAGCACAATTAGTCCCAAAAATGTATGGAAAAAGGTTTAAAAAACGAAGCCAAACCATAGGCAAGAACAAAAAAAAAAAAAACATTTCAAAACTGCTTCCTGTTTGTGTAAACAAATGAGCCTCAGTGTTGGCAAAGCGTGTGCTGAAGATGGGTTTCCTACTACACCGTCCACTCGCGAACGTCCTCTCATTCTTTGTCCGGCAGCGCTATGTTGCCGTCTCCAGGGCTGGAGGTGCCATTGGCTGCATGTGGCTGAATCACAATGGGCACGTTCTGACCTGCTGGAAGTCCAGAACACAGAGATCGGTCATCTGCACAACTACAACCTACACAGAAATATCATGTTTCAAGGGGACCAGCTTTTTTTAATCTGGAAGCTGAAGATGTGTTCAAGTGTTCCAGATTTTAAGAGCGCACGGTTGCAGATAGTCATCAAACCCAAACTGTCTCCTTCCAACGATCACTGCAAGTGCTTTTGTTATGGTTTAAACACCATGTATAAACACACAAAAACACACACATGCGCACACACACAAGAGTTGCAAACAACAAAAGGATACACAATCTAAAACTCCTTCTACCTTCATGACCTTTTTAAGTGTAAACATCAACGCATGGCCTGTAAAGGTCAGCATCGGTCTTCAAGTGACCTGCTTACTGGCTTTAGAAATAATTTCTCCAGATGATTTCATGCTGACTACAGAATGATCACGGACATTTCATCATTGATGGATGCTGTATAGAGAAACTCAACGTAAGACTTTTGTGACAGAAAAAAAAAGGCCAACAGAGGAACAGGTCTGCTGATCCTGCCCATGAACGCACCATTTGATTCCCGCTCAAAGTCAGATTGGAGTGCACACTTCAGCCTTAACGACCCACTTTATTTCTGTATCTGCATACGACTGGTGTCGGGTTACAAAAGGGCCATGTTGGCCTTTGCTTTTTAAATCATGTGAGCCATGCGGCCGACAAAACCCCGGGCATTTATGGCCACCATCGGAGGCAAAGTCTGTGTCAAATGATCCTGCGGGCAGTAACTGCGTCCAAACAGAAAGGCCAGTGTGTCAGGACCTACACTATGTGATCAGTAAAAACATTTAAAAACGATATGAACATGTTTTGTGCGTTACCTGCTTCCTGTTCTCTGATCTCGGCCTCCAGGTCGTCGGGGTCCATGTAAACAAAGTGCTCCTCGTCCTCCTGTGTTTTGCACCTCCCGCAGCAGAAGCAGCAGCAGCAGAAGCAGCAGCAGCAGGTGAAAATGCTGCAGCACACGAAGAGGGCCTAAAGGAGACGGATGTCAGTATCTCCAGGCTGAGCGTGGCCGTTTGCTGCCGGGCAGCGCGCCTCTCACCTTAAACCAGCACTTGGACATGAGGAAATAATATTTGACGCTTTCCTCGCCGAACTGCTCGGCCACGTAGAGGCCCATGGACCCATACTCGTGGTAGATATTCCGCTTGTTCTCGTCGCTGAGGATGGAGTTGGCATTGTTGATCTCCTTGAATTTCTCCGCAGCTTCGGGGTTGTCCGGGTTCTTATCGGGGTGATGCCTTAATGCCAGCTTCCTGAACAGATAATGAAAAAAAAAAAAAAAAAAAAGATTTAACAGAGCAAGGGTTAACATTCAGTTCCCTTTTGTGATTTTTAAAACTTTAGCTACGGTCTATTAATTTAATTTTTGAACTATTGGGTTGCTCTACTTCACCAGGATGGCTTGTCAACACTTTCCCTGTCAGATAAACTCTGCTCTCCACGCCTCTCATTATATGACATTATATCATAAAAGTTACTAGCAGATAAACGCTGACACCTTTTCAGCTGCTGATGGTGACAGGAAACATTTTGTAACCCTTTACTGTGCCACACTGATGGCAGTGACTGAATCCAACTGAATTTTTTTGCATTGGGTATTCTATGCAGAGCACTTGTTGCCTGCTTGTGAAATGTGAATAAACCTGCCGTGCCTATGTGATAACACTCAATTTTCAGAGGCTGAAGCCTCCCCTGACAGGATCCTGTGCTCCACCACATTGTGTAAACATCCCTTTAATCCTGATGTAGTCATACACCCTTAAGAATAGCCCCATTAAAGTTCCTTTGGCAGCATGAAGAGCATTTATGTAACTTAAAGATAAGCAAATGGCGTTTGGACCAAAGAATTTCACTTCCTGTTTTAGCTGTGTACCTGAAGCTTTTAAGATCAAGGCCTTTTTTTAATAAGGGAAATAGCTACTTAACAGGTGTACTGGAACTTTTTAATAACTGTTTTGCAAAACTGTAATTCTATTTCCGGGAGAAAAAAAAAACACTTCGTCAGAAGAGGGAAGCATGGACCTACCTGTACGCCCTTTTTATTTCGTCGGGAGACGCTCCTTTCTCCAAGCCCAGCACCTTGTACAGGCTTTCTCCCTCTTTTGACATTCTCCTCTGAGGTTTGTTGGGATCCTCCATGTTTCAAGATAAGTTGGCCGCTTCACAGAAAAAGAGACTGTAAACCGTGTACGTACTGGCGAACACCCACAGTAACTGTGGGCTTGAAACGTCAGTGAGGAAGTTAAGCGAGGAAGGTAGATTTAGTATTAAATACTGGAAGACCGGGTGGCTATGTACAGTCTTTACCCTGGCTAAAGTCTTAAACCTCTCCGCTAAAAGTAAATTATTTCTACTTCAAGTCGAAAAAATTAAGTTCATTTGAGTCGCACGTTACCTTTAAGGGTCCAATGTAAAGCTTAGTCAAACTTCAAACTCTCTGAAAGAAGCGGTCAAAGTGAGTGAAGAACGTTCACATACCGGACAAATTAATGTTGGTATTTCCCGTCGAATCATAGAGTCCAGGAGCCCCAGGTTCACCGACTTGGAAAAAGGTTATTCCATGAGCTGTGATAAACTGACAGGTAACTTTGTCTGACTGAGGCGCCGCATTGCCCGATGCAAAGCGAAGCCGGGCGGGGAGCGAAGCCGGAAGTTCAAACCGAAAGGAATCATGGGGGATAAAACCATGTTTGTAGTTTACCCGACCGGCTGAACTGCTCCCCGTACATTCCTGTCTATGCTGTTATCTACAGTACTTTCAAAATTAGATAAAAGATTCTTTCTCTGTGAGATCTGGTACATTAAAAATATCAAAATATGTCAACGTAGATGATTTCAAGTTTTTAAGTATTGATCTACTTTATGGTGTTTTTTTTCTCAATTTACCTCCAGAATTTACAGAAACTAATAAATGCTAATTATACTGTAACAACTATCAATTGATGATATTCACACCTTAGGGGGAAATTAAAGTGGTCTTTCAGCTCAAATTAAGCTAGATATATTTATGATTTTGAAAATGCAATAAAAAGAAAATATGACTAAAGCAGCAGTTAGTAAATAACTAATTTCACAGTCGCTTTTTTCCTTTTTGGGACCATTTTATTAGTGGATTATGCATGCATTTCTAGGCATACATCAAACTAACACTTCGAAAGGAGTCCATTTCTTTTCTGACTAATTTGTAAAGGCTGGTGTCAATCAGTGAGTTTCCTCGTTCTGTGGAATCACTTTAATGATAATCTTCCCCATGTTTCTGTTGGCCTCCATGTACCGGTGAGCCTCTGCGATGTCCTCCAGTTTGAAGGTGCGATCAATAACTGGTCGCAAGGAGGCAGGCTGGTTTGAGAAATATGGCAACACCTTGTGTGAAAAATCCCTGATCAGGTTAGATTTGTACTGTCAAAGAGAAACAACGGAAAAAGATAATCAGTCACAGACAACGGATGTGACAAAAGGAACTTGCACTTTCATTTTTGTTCATATTGAACAAGCAGACGATGAAATAGAAAGTTGAAAAAGTCGAATCTTCTCTTGACAAGAACAAGCACTGCCATAAGCAAGAGTGAGATGTTTCTAACCTGAAGTGTACGAGAGCGGAGGAGGCTGCTGAGCAAGTGTCCTCGCTTGGAGAGCAGCTTTCCCAGCAGATCCCCTTCTACTGTTCTGCCTCCCATGGTGCCGTACAGCACCCATCTGCCGTCCACTGACAAGCAGCTCACGTTTTGCTCCCAGTTACACCCGCCAATGCAGTCCAGGATGACATTTGCTCCTTTACCTGGAAAGTTAAACAGAAATTAGGACTTCCTCAGCATCTAAATGTCCGAAGAACTATTTTAAGAAAAAACTTTCACCAAATACTGATTTTCCTGCTGATTTACAAAGAAATGAGGCAAATGCTGTCTAATAAGAATAATATGGGGAAAAAAGTCTGACTGTTTTACAGTGAATTGTCTTCACCTCCTGTAAAGTCACAAACTCCCTGTGCAAAGCTCTCCTTTTTGTAGTTGAATCCAGCAGCTGCGCCCAGTTTCTCAGCCATTCTTAATTTTTCGGGGCTCCCCGCTGTAATTATGGGCACAGCACCAAACAGACGGACCAGCTGAACTGCAGCTGTTCCGACCCCACTGGCTCCAGCGTGTACCAGAACTACCTCCCCCTCCTTCACCTGAGCTGTGGGGTAAAACACAGTATTCATGGAATTTAATTCTGCTTGTTCATTCCTGGTGGTTCTTTTTTTTTTCAATTTAAATATAAAGCGTGTGTGTTTTGAAATCAAAACAAGCTACCTATCCAGGCTAACAGCTGGAAAGCAGTGAGCCAGGCCTCTGGGATTGCAGCAGCCTGGCAGAGGGTGAGGTTAGAGGGAACAGGCATGAGAAGCTCCTCAGGCACAGAAACATATTCTGCGTATCCTCCTCCACCAAGCAAGGCCATGACCCTTTCATCCAGTTTCCAGTCCCTTTTCAATCCTGGGCCCAGAGTATCCACAGTACCGGCTACCTCCAGGCCTATGATGTCACTTTCACCTGGAGGAGGAGGGTACAAGCCTCGTCTCTATGGAGGACACAGAAAAAAAAACATTATCAGCATGGCTTTAAAAACAGCCACGCCGTGTTTCACAGTCAGAATGTCTGTTTTTTGACATTTTAAGAGCAAACTGTTAAAAAAGTATCAGGCCTTTGTTCACATCTAAAACAGAGTTTATGGGACCTGTAATAAGTCCGCCCTGTTGAGGGCCGCGGCGTGAACTTTGATCAAGACTTCTCCATCTTTAGGTGGGGGTCTGGGGACAGCTCGCAGCAGGAGATTCTCTGGCCCTCCCGGTGCGTCCACACATACTGCCTGCATCATCTTGACAGAGCTGGAGCTAAACCTGCAATAGATCTATGAAAGGAGGCACCTTTGTCATAAATCAGTCATTTCTTGTGGGTGAGGTGAAAAACAACAATCCTCCAGACAGCAGCAAGACAATATGAGGCAAATATATGAGGACTTTTTATTAGACTTTTTACACACTCACTGTCTTGTAGGTGTTTCTTAGTAATAAACTTCCAACATGCAGGATGGGATGCATTTGATTATCTCAGTTGGTGCTACTGGAATATGATTAACAAAGAGAATCAAAATGATTAAACAAATTAAAATCAGTTGATCCAACAATAGTTCTCATTTGAGTGGAATCTGTATGTTGCCCGACTCTAATAAACTTTAGATATATTAAGGAGCAGGATTTCTTTTAGCATGAACACTATTTTCTCAAAACTTTCCAATTTTTTTTAGCTAACCTGTCACAAAAATGGTTCCTCAAATTCAATTTGAATAGAAAGGAAAAGACTGGTTTGAGAAAATAGAGATGAAAAAATTTATATTTGGTTATTAAAGATTTAAACAAGCACACCTTACAAAATGTATACGTGACCTGACAGGTAACAATAAGTGGGGGGGGGGGGGGGGGGTAATTGACCTTTACGGCTAAACTTTTTGGACCTTTTGGCTTTCTGTATATTTGCATAGTAAATACTCTCCATGCTAATGCACAACAAAAGTAATTAGGAGAATATCGAAAAACAGTAGTTAGATAAAACGTGGAAGTGAGAACAGGAATAGGTAATCTACTTAGTATCTACATGACTGCGCGTGAAGTTTTCATTATTTAGCAACAACCCATTGCGCAAGCGCATGCGCCGTAAAACTCAGCGGCACAAATTATATTCTACTTTATGTCAGGCAAAGCTTGTGTACAGATAACAATTAAGGTATAAAGATGATACTAACCCACGAGCAGCTCTGTACTTGAATAGGTATTTGTTCAATTAAGACAGCTAATCGATTGCTAGCTAAAACGTTTTTAGCATGAATTCGATTCAAGCATCAGACTCACAAACTTACCAGCCAGCGATGTCAGCGCTTCATCAGCTTCTGAGGGGACTGAGATTTTTTCGTGGAAGTTTTGTTGTTGCACCATTATCTTTAATTCCACTTCTGCTTTGGAGAGATTGGTCCTCAGAGGGGCAGGCTTTTAACCCCCCCAGTAGTTTTATAGCGGCTCGGCTCTGCAGTTGCACTAAATCACCAGATCATGCCTCCAAAATCTTAAAGCAGAAAGCAAAATACGTTCCCACCAAGGGGCCAATGTACTGCCCAGTGTAAAGGAGGGGAAAAAAAGATTTTATCATTATGCCATAACTTTTCCAGAAGTTCTTCTGATCTCGGTGCAAGCTGTTTTGTGTGGTTGTGAAGCAGTTGCGTTGTTTGGACTGAAGGGGGCAGCATTAAGCAACCTTCAACATAAGAAGAAGAAAATCTTCTAATAATCGATGGTCTTAACCATTAGACACCAGAAATAAAACGACGTACAGAAGACTGGAGGGCCCAGTATACTTAAATTGTTGCAACATGGTGCACATTGCTAAATTTTACTCTGGAAACTGTGTTGATGAATATGAGTGGGAAATATACGTTAAAAGTCAGGCATGGCAAAACCTAAAACTTTTTAAACTTGCCACCACGTGTTTCATTTTCATCTAATTGATTTTGGGCTTTTCGTTTTGGTGCCACAACACGCTGGAGATGTATGACAGTGTATTATATAAACTTGTTTTAATGGTAAAAAAAAAAATCCAAATTGTTTTCCCAAACTGGCGAATTTGATCATTTTTGTATACATCAGCTTAACTGGTTGTCATGAGAGTATTCGTCAGGGTTATTGTTCACATTTGGATGATGAGATAAGAGTTTAGTCATATGAACCATCCACAGGAACGGCCAAAGTCTTTATCCAACAGACAGAAGCAGCATGAGCAAATAACACAGCAATTAGCACCAGGATAGTTATTTGTCACTTGCATAACACAAAACGGGTTCTGCATATGTTCCGAAATTTAATCTTGACAGAATGCATCAGTGCACAATTACACTAACAATCTCTCTCACAACAACCATTGTATTGTGCACACTGGGACAGCCAGAGCTGCAAACACATGACTGCTCAGTGGAAGCAGCGCACAATTCAGGTAAGACGGCTGATTCTAAAACAGAGCCAAGGTCTGAAAAATAAGAAAAATTTGAAAAAAAAATTCTCCTCACTCTAGCCCTCGTGGACGATGGGACAAAACCGAAAAGAACCTGTCCCACATGAAGATCTGAGAGTGCTAAAAGTACTGAACCAGAAGGAGGACCGAGATCTCCAGCGCAAACTGAAGACTTTGGACAAACAGCACAGCTACAGCCGCAGGACGCTGCAGCTGAGGAGAGAGCGGCTCGTAGCTGAGGAGAGACGGGTGATGATGGTCAAACTCTGCCAACCGAAAGCCACCCTCAACATCGCTTTGAAGGAGATAAGAGAGCACGAGGTGGCAGCGTCCCATTTCAGGAGGAGCATCCACACATCTGGTGGAGCGCTGCCCTCTAACACACCTCTGTATCCCACCAAAGGCTCCGGGCCGGCCGAGCACAGTCGCTCTGTCTCCGCACCACCGACTAGACGCAACTTTCAGAGCAGCGTGTCGTTTGTACAGATGAAAAACATTGCTACCATCGACTCCATATCGGAAAAAGAGGTCGCCAGGCGGCGGCAGAAGGCCCGGGATGACATGGAGAGACGGAAGCAGCTGCAGTGGGAGACTTTGCACAAGAGGGTGGCGGCATTCATACAGCGGCTCAGGGACAAAGACAACATGGAAAGCTTTGACAAAAATACATGAAAGAACTCCAAAGTCTGGAGCTCTATATTTGAATTCTATTTACAGATCAACATCTCAGCACAAAGGGGTCTGTTGAATCCATTCATTGAAAAATAATAAGTGTGTATTTTCATTTAAAACTAAACAATAGTCCTGGTTTTCTTCATGGCTTCTAAAGCTCTGTGCACTGGTGTCTCCAGAAGCAGTTTGCAGTTGTTCATCCACTGTGGGGATTTAGGAAGCTGCTCATCTGTAAAAAGGGAAGTAGAAGGCACAGTAAGTTCATTAAAAAAAACAGAAAAGCATTAATCTGATGCCTTTCTTTTAAAGCAAAGAAAAAAAAGGATTTTTTTTAAGGAGAAAAGAAACAATGTTTGACTTGTCAAAGATGAACTAACTGAAAACATCTGAAGACGCTTGTATTCAAAGCCCTGAAACACCGGCTAAATCGGTAAAATGAGCCTACCTTCACATTCAAAGTGGACTCTTGTGGGCAGATACCTGGTGTGGTCTGCGTAATCCAACGTGCAGATGATGGACGTCCTTTTTTTTGGCACAGTGACCATCAGCACCAGTATTGAACACAAGACGTTGCTCTCCATCACTTCAACAGATTTATGCTGCTCCTACAAGCAGCAGAGAGACGGTGTGAGTCTGACTTTCCACCGGTCTCAAGCAGTCAGGCAGAAAAGAATGTGCACCCTTTTTCAAGTTTGAAGGTTTTATGTATATAGGGTTGTGAAGGCATTTCAAAGCAATTTGGCATTCAGTTGCCAATCATCCCGCACCTTAACAAGCTTCAGCTGCTGCTTGCGACCAGCCAAGGCGTTGAGATGCAGACTGAGAGCGTCCAGAAAAGCCCTCGTGTCTGTCTGCATGTTGCTTTTCTCAGCGAGGTCATTGAGGGGAATGAAGGGGGGGATGTTGTGGCGAATGATCCTCACTTTTGGCTTCAGGTCCAGCTCCAGATTGAAGGTCTCCAAACAGACACCCTCGTAAGCAGTGGCCACAGACACACACACTCCTTTACCATGGCGAGTCTTTATGGCGTCGTACCCGCCTTGAGACATAAGCAAGTTTAACAACAACAAGAATAAAAAAAACTGTTTAAAAAAAGCATATACGCAGGTAAAGGACTACAGAAAGATACATAAATGAGCTGGCTGCCAATACCAATGAGGTGATGAGCATGCAGAAGGTCTTTCAGCTCAGTGTGTCGGGCCATCAGCCGCAGAAGAGAGCTCTCAGAGTCTTCATCCATTGCTTCCTCTTCTTCTTCTGCGCCTCCTTTGTCGGTAGACAACCTCAGCTTCTGGAGATTCTGTGATGTTGGGGGGGATAATAAAATGCTTACAATACATTAAGATGTGCGATACAACACCTAACTGTATTTGCTCAATTCATATCGTCCTATGCTTGCTAAATGTTGGAATGTACATTTTTTTTAAAGGCTGCTAAACGTCTCTCCACCTTGTGCGTTTGTATCTCTGCCTTCAGCTGGTCCCTCTGGGCTGTCAGGGCTTCAACTTTAGCCTTTAGCTCCCGAACGTGACTCTGTTGATGCGAACTTCTGCAGCTCCTGGCCTGAACTTCCAGGAGACTCAAATGACTCAACACGCCTTTGGAGAGAGAGGCAGGGCTATTTTAATAACCTCGAAAACCACTGACATTAAGCGACGGCTGGATGCCGGGGCTGACAAAGCGTCGCTGTGTGTTAGCTTTAGCGCCACAATACACTCCTTTACAGCTGTCGGTCGCGTGGCAGCTTCGCGCGTGAGCACGTACCTTTCGTGGAAGCTCCTTCCATATTCCACCCGTCGACTTGTCTGTTTTTGTGTTGGAATACGCTAAACCGCTGAGCGGATACTCACTGCACAACTGAGTTTTGATTTTGGCGGTTGCGGCAGCGTAAGCGACGCCTCCCGCGCGACGTCCACAACCCCGGAAGAAAACTCCAAACAGTTGCGATCACATGGAGCACCAGGGGGGGGGAGAGAGATTAGCCTTGTAGGTGGCAGGTGAGGTCAGTGCTGTTTGTACAGCGTAAAGCGGAGATAAAGACACAGAAGTTAAAGGCTAAATATGACCCCGGACCGTAAAAAGTGTTTTTGTTTTTTGCTTCCGACGACGGTATTCCGACCCGCTGAGTTGTAGTAACGCAGTGCTCCTGAACGTCTCATCAAGCAGCATGGGGCCGCCGATGGGCAGCGTCTACCCCTCCTGGAAGAGGTGAGGCGTGTTGTGCAACCTGTTTCTGGCTTTCTCGTGGCTCTTCCTTTTCCGCCTTGCAGTAATATTGTAGACAGAGATGTGAGGATCAGTGCGAGGGATTCAGGAGATGCTCCGCGCTTCGATCAGCAGAGGAAACCCAAAACTTTTTAAACTGACAGATTGCCAGTGGAAATACCTGTTGACTGCAAGTGTTCATAATCTTTCATATTTTACTCGTCTTTACACTTATTTGATCCAACTAATAATGGCAAGGACATTAAATAGTGACAGAAAAATAGTGTTAGATGCAAAAAACAGGCAAATCCTCATTTTTGATCATTTTAACCAGACAAAAGCTGAAACTGCATGTTCTGAGTTGACAAACTATGTTTCAGCAGCTGTTTAGATCCTTTCCAGCTCTTGCGTCCATTTGTTTGCTGAGACTTCTATCTGTGACCTTCAACACCAACAGAGATTTGTTGGCCCTGTTTATCTCTCGGGTAACCTCCCCTCTCGGTCTCCCATTGCCCAAACAGTTGACATTATTTTCAGACTGTCATGGTGAGAGGTTACAAGGCCTCTCTTGGCAAGTGTTTCTTTTTTGTTTTTACTCATGCTTGAGTTAAGGCAGTTGGGATTTGGCTTTTGTGAAGAACTGATCTAGAAACATAGCTCATTGGAATCAAATTGGATCTTCCATTCCTTCAACTCTGACAGCTGATTATTTGTGAATTTACAAAAAAGAGGTGGATTTACAAATGTTTTCTGATTTGCGGATTTTTCACATACCATGACTCTTATTTTCTCCTTTTCCTGTAGGGGGTTAGACTTTTCCGGCTGATGGACTTGAAGGAAAATGTGTCTGATTGATGTGGAAGTGTGATTAAAGAAGGAGACCGTCTTCTCCACCCTCAGCCGGGAGACACTGGAGATGGATTCTCCCAATCAGAAGCACTTCGAGGCTGTAGATTATGTTATATTTGCCCTTTTACTCGCCGCCTCCGTGGGCATCGGCCTGTACTACGCACTGTCCGGTGGACGTCAGCGCACCACCCAGGAGTTCTTGATGGCAGACAGAAGCATGGGCTGTCTTCCTGTCTCCCTGTCGCTTATTGCTTCCTTTCAGTCGGCCGTGGCGATCATAGGCGTCCCAGCCGAAATCTACAATCATGGCACTCAGTACTGGTTCATCGGGTGTTCCTACTTTCTTGGACTTTTCATTCCAGCTCATGTTTTTATTCCAGTTTTATACAGACTCCGCCTCTCCAGTGCCTACCAGGTAGGCAGAGACCTTAATTTTATTTTAATATTTAAACAGGTTTCAAGCTTCATGGCTCTCATGTTTTTTTTTTTTTCTGTTTTTTTTGTTTCACAGTATCTTGAGCTACGTTTTAGTAAAGTGGTGCGTGTCTGTGGCACTTTGACATTCATCTTTCAAATGGTAAGTTGGTTTAATTGTATCTGCAACCAGATTAGTATCAGTGATTTATTCAGCCCTTATGTGAAATATGTATATTGGGCATTACTCCTTGGGATTTAAGTTTTTTTTATAGGCTGTTTTTGTAACTTCTTTAACCAAAAAGACCACAGTTAAGATTAATAAAATCTGTGCAGTTCCATGATGAAATTACACTCACTCACAATGTATGTACGCACACATTCGGTTAGCCAGAACTTTGCTTCCATTTCCAGTGGCTTTTAATCAGAAATTAATAGACAGGAAATGTGTCATATAAACTGAAATGTGTAATTTCAGCCAAGATGTCAAGATGGATGTCTTGTCATTTTTTGCGACCTTGAGCAATAGTTCTATAGACTCTCTGAAGGCCTTTGTTTTTCTTTAGAAATAAGATTCTTAGTCACGTACTTGCAATCCAGTCCTTGCATCTGACCATTTTCAATTTTGGTTTTTCAAGCAACATAAATTAAGCGAGGTCTCCTTCACATTTCACTTGAAAAGACGCCAAATTTTAGCTAAATGTTTATAAAAACATTATTTAAAAAGTGCATGAGGAGACAACACTGAAAGATTCATGGACCATGGACTTTAACCAAGAGTGACTGCACCATCAGCAACAGAAGACCAAAGTCGTGCTACATATTTGAAAAATATTGTCGGAAATTCTGTCTTACCTGTGCTGTGTTGCTTTCACAAACAAAAACCCGGGAGAACTATTCCTGAAGATGCCTTAGGTAAATTACAAAAAAGTATGTTTATAAGTTTTTATCTTGTATTAAGAGGATAAAAAAAGTAGTCTCATTAATTACTGACTTTTATATTTGTTACAAATTAACAAAGCGTACACTGAACTTTTGTTGCCTGAGAGTTACATCTCAGTAAATCGCTGCCTTTATTCTTTTCCTGGCAATAGAAAAACTACTTTGAGTATGACTCATAATGTTTGGTCAGAACTGCAAAATACATTTTTAACAATCGCAACCAAACAGTGAAATGGAGACATCCCTCATCAAAAAAACAAAAAGAACTGATTTCAAAGAGACATAAGCATTTCTTGCACATGTAGTTGATCCGAATATCTTTATGTGCAGGATTTGATTTGCTTATTTTAGACCAACATTAAATTTGAAGTGTTTAATTGGTCTGTTTTCCTGGCCACAGGTTGTCTACATGGGTGTGTCTGTATACACACCCGCCTTTGCACTAAACGCAGGTAAAAAGAGTTCGTCCATTTTTATCTTCAAGTATTTCATTAATTCAAAAAGCATTTGCATTTCAGTGTGCTGCTGTGTTCTATTTCAGTTACTGGACTGGAGTTATGGGGAACAGTGCTGGCCACCGGGCTGGTGTGCACCTTGTACACATCGCTGGTGCGTTTTTTTTTTTTTTTTTTTTTACTTCAGCCAGATGTTGAAGAATTTGAGCAATTGTGCATACGAGGATTTTTAATTGGGGTTTGTTTACGTCCATCTTCCGTTGCCCGCAGGGTGGCTTGAAGGCTGTCATCTGGACGGACGTCTTCCAGACTGTTGTGATGTTTGCGGGGCAGCTGGCTGTCATCGTGGTGGGAGTGCAGAGAACTGGAGGAGTATCAGAAGTCTGGAGGAAAGTGTGGGAGGGAAACCGCATATCTGGTTTGGAGTAAGTGAAGCAAATGCTATTGGGTCAGTCAACACAACTGTAAATGAGTCTGAATTATTTTTAGACAGATCAGAACGTTTTTTAGAATGAATGCAAACATATTAATTGGACTTGGACAGTATTAATCGTAATTATACAGTTTGACAAAATATTTTTATCGAGGTGTAAATCATTCATCCATTCATTCATTCATGCAAACGGGCCTGTGGGTTCTATACAGGTGAAATAATTCTTTATTCTTATTTTTGAGACAGCTTAATGCAGCATTAGTCATTCAGATGACATGTCTGCTCTCAGTCACTCTGCTCTAACAAAATCCCCATTTCATAACCGCAGCCACATGTCACAAAATCCGCTCTAACGTCAGTCAAAGGTTACAATTTTTCCAGGGAATTGCTCCCACTTAAAAAGTTAGACGTGGTAAAGTGTCTTGACCTCGATTCTGTATCAGTGGGTGTAAACTGGGCCAGTGACAGTGGTCTCAATTTAAACCATCCCAAGCCCTGCAAAGAATAACAGTAATCCTTTGCTTGATCATGTCTTCCCTGATTTGTCCAACACAAAGTACTTTTGGCAGTGAATAACGAAGCCTTTTGTCTCTCCTCTGTATTTTTAGCTTCAACCCAGATCCCACAGAGAGACACACCTTCTGGACTCTGGGGGTCGGCGGGGTTTTCCTCATGCTGTCCCTGTATGGAGTGAACCAGGCTCAGGTCCAGAGATACCTCAGCTCGCGCACAGAGAGAGAGGCTGTGTGGTACGCAAACCAGTAGATTTCTCGAGCCTTTAAAGACGTGACATTCAAAGCAGAAGCTCTTCACAGAGAGCCCAGACTGGGAAAAAAATGTATTTACTCAACAAACTATAAGTATGACAAAGGATTTCCACTTTTTTTTTAATCATACATTTTTTCTAAATCCTTTACCTCCCCTGATCATTCTTTTAAACATGCTACCATAGTAGATTTATTTTTTTTAAGAATTCATCTAAAGGAATCACCCTTTTTCATCCCACTCTACTTTCATCAAGGTATTTCTAAAAAGAAAAGTGTACATTAGGTCAATAATTGACAAAACATTACAGGAGATAAATGTTAATCGTGTATTAAAAGTCATTAAGAGGTAGGATTATGATTTGTTTGCCCACCAGAGAGCGCTTATGGGACTGAAATGAAAGTCAGTTAAGGTGTCGATTTGAATATCTCAAAGGCTGTTTAATGGGGGGAATTATTCAGTTCGATATTTAGAGCTTCCGTCGAATGAATCTGACTGACAAATTACTTCCTGCTTGTAGTTGCACCAGAAACAGGCTTCAGAGGGACACATCACAAAGGCTTCACTTGGAGCGCATTGCAGGCTCCTCTTGTGACTTTTCCTCTGTTAGGACTAAATATGAATCCGTTTTGGGAGACTGTGATCGCGCTCCATATTTTGGAAGCGCTTGTGTCTGAAGACACTGATGCAGAAGAGTTCCCAAAAAGCTCCTGGTTGTTGTGTGCGTCTCCTCACAGGTCGTGCTACATGGTGTTCCCCTCCCTGCAGCTGACTCTGGCCCTAAGCTGCACCATGGGGCTGGTCATGTTTGCACGTTACTGTGGAGAGGACCTCTCTGACAAGCTGGGCAGCTCCTCCAGGGATGCTGTGAGACCCACTCTGCCCCCTTCCTTTGTATTCATTAAATGATAACTCCTTTTCGGTACGTGAATGCCCCGTCTGTTTGTTTTGCTCTCTGCAGATGGTGTTATACTTCGTGATGGACATGCTGCAGGGTTTGCCTGGGCTGCCCGGCCTCTTCGTCGCCTGTTTGTTCAGCGCTGCGCTCAGGTAGAGGCTTTCCACGGATCTTTCAGAGCTGTCAAAGTGTCCAGGAAGCACATTTTCACCATTAGAAACCCCTCCGATGCCCAAGCTAAACTCCCATTAACTGAACTTGTATAGTGAGGAAAATAAGTATTTGAACACCCTGCTATTTTGCAAGTTCTCCCACTTAGAAATCATGGAGGGGTCTGAAATTGTCATCGTAGGTGCATGTCCACTGTGAGAGACATAATATAAAGATAAAATCCAGAAATCCCAATGTATGATTTATTTTTATGATACAGCTGCAAATAAGTGTTTGAACTCCTGTCTATCAGCTAGAATTCTCACCCTCAAAGACCTGTTGGACTGCCTTCAAAATGTCCACCTCCACTGCATTTATTAGCCTAAATTAGATGCACCTGTTTGAGGTCGTTAGCTGCATGAAGACACCTGTCCACCCCGTACAATCAGTAAGAATCCAACTACTAACATGGCCAAGACCAAAGAGCTGTACAAAGACACTAGAGACTAAATTGTACACCTCCACAAGGCTGAAAAGGACTACGGGGAAATTGCCAAGCAGCTTGGTGAAAAAAGGTCCACTGTTGGAGCAATGATTAAAAATGGACAAAGCTAAACATGACTGTCAATCCTCCTCGGACTGGGACTCTCACAGACATATTGCAAAAAAGCAGGGTGTTCAAATATTTATTTTCCTCACTGTACATACAGTTGTTGCATAAATGGGGTGCAACCCTTTTAATTTAAAACGTTCTTTATAAAAAGGGGAAAAAATTAGTCCTAACCAGCTGTGAAAGTTCGTAAATCTGCCTGCTCTTTTTATATAGCAGCCTTTGCATGTTTGTTAGATTCAAAACGGGTTTAATTAAAAGCTTGCATGTGGGTTTCCTTTGCTCCGCCAGCACCATCTCCTCTGCCTTCAACTCTTTGGCCACTGTGACAATGGAGGACCTCATCAAGCCAAATTTCCCCTCCATGACAGAGGCCAGAGCAACCCTGCTGTCCAAAGCTATAGGTTAGTGCTCCAAGCACTTCAGATACATTACACAATGCTAATGTTTATGTAAAGTAGGAATGTGTGTCTCCACAACTAGCGACGTCCTATGGGCTGCTGTGCCTGGCCATGGCCTACCTCACTCATCTCATGGGGGACTCGGTTTTACTGGTAAGCTCACGCGTTTTTTTGTCAAATGGCCGTCGACTTCTTTCTCTAAATTGACGTTCCTTGTTCCCATTTGACCTGTAGGTGGCTTTGAAAATCTTTGGGATGGTTGGGGGTCCTATCCTCGGCCTCTTTTGTCTCGGGATGTTCTTCCCGTCGGCAAACTCCACCGTAAGTTGAAGTTTCTTCGGTTGGGGCTGACCTCAAAGAGTCAAAAGCTCTAAACCAGATGTTTGTTTTTTTTGTTGTGGCTGTCTTCCTTTTGTTTAAAGGGTGCAGTTTCAGGGCTGGGTGTTGGTCTGGCCGTGTCCCTCTGGCTCGGCATCGGGAGCATCGTAAGTCGAAGTTCTGCCACCAGACCTCTGCCGCCCCGCTGTGGCGCCGGCCTGCTGTCCGGAAACGCCACCGCCGCCATCCAGACAGCAGTCGCCAATGTCACTCAGAGGTGGGAGGCACCGTGGCAGCTCTGGATGGGTTATGTCTTTTTCACAGCATAGTCATCCATTTGTTTTGATTTGTTTTTACTTAGCCGACCTACGGGGCTGAAGAGGTTTTATTCTCTGTCCTACATGTGGTACAGTGCGTTCAACTGCTTCACCGTCATCCTCATAGGCCTGATCATCAGCTTTCTCACAGGTAGCCAGGCTCTCACATTTGCACATTAATCCTCGTAACCCGGAATGTTCCTTTTAAAATCAACTTTTAAATGGTTTTTAAAATATTTTTGTCTCTTTTTAGGTCCTATGAAGGAAGAGGATGTGACTCCGGGTACAATCTATCCCTTGTTTGGGAAGCTGTTCTGTTTCCTTCCTGAACACCTGAAAAAGAAGCTGTGTTGCGTCACACCTCTAGGACAGACTGTGAGTCTAGTGTTTAGTTACAAAATTGGCAAAATGGGCATGTTTTTTAGGTGGATTATTTCTAATTTGAAACTACAGATACCCACAAAAGTTAGTTGGAACCTAATGGATGGATATTTGTTGCATTGTGGAAGAAGAAAGTTGAAATGGTTTTAAACTCTTCTATGGCTGCGATCTTTTGAAAAAAATCCCCATTTAAAAAAAACCTAGTGCTGTGAAATGGAGAGCATACATGATGATGTTTAAAGACAAATAAAATAATTTGATTTAACATTGGTGTATGAAAGCATTTTAAGCACCTGAGCACACAGTTGAAGTCTTTGCGATTCTTCTTCCAGCTCTCAACACATAAAAGGCCGGCCCCCCAGCACAAAGAGAGGAATGGGCTCTCCTTCACACCGAACGATGGAGCATCACCAGAACAGACGGAGAACTTTCTTCTCTCCACCACTCCGTTTGCAGTTTACGAAACGGCAGTGTGACGTCTCTCTTTTCTCACGTGTGGCTGCTCATGATCCTGAAACGAAACACTGACCTCAAAACTGAATAGATTTACCTTAGATTCAATCATGGTTGTTTTGTTTTTTTCTTGTCACTGAACGTCACCAGCCTGAGATAATGCTTAGTCAGCACTTTGCTGCTGAGCCCCGCTCTGGCTGCACAGTGGCGTCTGATGACCCGATGTTTTTCAGCTTCAGCTGTCATGATGCACACCCAGCCGGTTCCTTCACGCCAGTGGGAAACTGCCCTGAACTTTGACATGAGAACAGAGTGATTTATACGAAGCTCACGACCTAAGAAACATCTAACATGGTCTTTTTCATTCTAATCATGATCCATGAACTGTGTCTGTGCACCTGAACTGCTGCATCTGGGCGCACGGCTCTGTGAGATGCCTTCCGCCTCATTTTTTTTTTTTAAAAGAAAGTCTGTTTAAATTATGACTACGTTGCAGCCGATACACTGAAACCTTTTTTTTTCTACGAAAAGGATTAAAGATTTGCTGTTAAGATTTAGCGTGTTTGTCCTCTTGCATTCAAATTTGGATTTCTGAATGACCGATTGATGCACTTTTATCAAGCTTTTTATAACATCTTTACTTTTCTACACTGCAGGTCATCTTTCATATGTTAACAAGGGCTCTGATTGACTGCATGATAGATAATCAACAACCCAAAAAAAGTGCATCAAAAGCAGGTAGATAAACTTAAGAACTGAATAAGAATGAGTTTTTTTTTTTTTAGCCACAAATGGTTGAATCACTCCACTGAAGTTTTATCTTGATGAGAAATTAGTTTGAAAGAGAAAAATATGAGAAGGGAAAAGATTATCATAGTTCCTGTATGTGTCTGGAATAGGAGAACTAAAGGATTGACCTTTTTTTTTTTAAACCTCATCCAGTGTTCATGGATATACAGGGGTTGGACAATGAAACTGAAACACCTCTCATTTTAGTGTGGGAGGTTTCATGGCTAAATTGGACCAGCCTGGTGGCCAATCTTCATTAATTGCACATTGAACCAAAAAGAGCAGATTGTGAAGGTCCAATTAGCAGGGTAAAAACACAGTTTTGCTCAAAATATTGCAATGCACATACCAGAGTTCAAAAGAGGACAAATTGTTGGTGCGCGTCTTGCTGGCGCATCTGTGACCAAGACAGCAAGTCTTTGTGATGTATCAAGAGCCACGGTATCCAGGGTGATGTCAGCATACCACCAAGAAGGACGAACCACATCCAACAGGATTAACGGTGGACGCAAGAGGAAGCTGTCTGAAAGGGATGCTCGGGTGCTAACCCGGATTGGATCCAAAAAACAGAAAACCACGGCTTCCCAAATCACGGCAGAATTAAATGTGCACCTCAACTCTCCTGTTTCCACCAAAACTGTGCGTCAGGAGCTCCACAGGGTCAATATACACGGCCGGGCTGCTATAGCCAAACCTTTGGTCACTCAGGCCAATGCCAAACGTCGGTTTCAATGGTGCAAGGAGCACAAATCTTGGGATGTGGACAATGTGAAACATGTATTGTCCTCTGATGAGTCCACCTTTACTGTTTTCCCCACATCCGGGAGAGTTACGGTGTGGAGAAGCCCCAAAGAAGCGTACCACCCATACTGTAGCATGCCCAGAGCGAAGCATGGGGGTGGATCAGTGATGGTTTGGGCTGCCATATCATGGCATTCCCTTGGCCCCATACTTGTGCTACTTCTGCTGAACCATTTTGGAGGACTATGTGCATCCAATGGTTCAAACATTGTATCATGAAGGAGGTGCAGTGTATCAGGATGACAATGCACCAATACACACAGCAAAACTGGTGAAAGATTGGTTTGATGAACATGAAAGTGAAGTTGAACATCTCCCATGGCCTGCACAGTCACCAGATCTCAATATTATTGAGCCACTTTGGGGTGTTTTGGAGGAGCGAGTCAGGAAACATTTTCCTCCACCAGCATCACGTCGTGACCTTGCCTTTATCCTGCAAGAAGAATGGCTTAAAATCCCTCTGACCACTGTGCAGGACTTGTATATGTCATTCCCAAGACAAAATGACGCTGTATTGGCCGCAAAAGGAGGCTTTACACCATACTAATGAAGTATTGTGGTCCAAAACCAGGTGTTTCAGTTTCATTGTCCAATCCCTGTAAGTCATACCTTTCCAGAGAAGCTCATTTCCATTTATTCCAGTCAGCTAGACAAATGCACAGAACCTCCATATAATTACATTGACCATTTGCTTTACAAAGAACTACCACAACTACCAATTTATTTGTGGTACCCAAACAACTCAATTTTGATTGCATGCCACATGATTGAGCAGAAAACATCTTCTAAGCTACACTGATACTGTCCAAACATTTGTCTTGAATATGTCATGAATATGTCACTAAGATGTATTAACTGTGATAAAGTTAAATATTTGGGCCCTGGTATCATGAGACACAACGTTCTTGGCCCATTTCGGGTAAATTATAATTTGACTTTGTGTCAGGACGGCTCCACAGCCTCAAGTCAGTAAAAGGAAAGTGGTGCTATCATGCAAATGTGCTGTGGTTGTTTAACAGGGGCTGTAGTGTTTCAGTGTTGTTTACCCAGTCAGTAAGGTTTGAAAACACGCATCAGCCAGGGCTTTGCTGATTTGCCTCTGCTGGACATGCAGATCCACCTGCCAGTGATGGCGGTGCCAGGGAGCTCTTAGAGTTTTGTCTTCTGTTTTTTAAATATGCAAATTCTTTCTTTCTTTGAAAGATTTTTTCTTTCCAGGTATTGGTAAGACTGTGTCCATGAGGTTACATAACTGTATTAATTCAACGGAAGAGGGCAGCTCTTCCAGACGGTTATTTAATCGAAATAGTTATTTTAAATTTTCCACTCACCGGCATGTTTGTGAGCATCGATAGAAGACTGGTCTAAATTCCTGAGACTGACCGCCTTTGCTAAAAAATCGCGAAAGCAAAGTAAGGGAAGCACATTGTTTTTTTTGTAAACATCCACAATGGTGGACTTTTCTGTCCTTACACATGAAATGAACGTCACCTGTATTCCCTTTTCAGCAGTAGACAAAGAGTGCATTTTGCAAAACTGAAACTCGCCACAGGCTTTGTTTTTACCCAAATAAGTTATGTTATTCATGACAGCCTATTTAGTTTGCATATCATTCCTCTACTTCCTCTGACAGCTGACCTTATTGGTGTGCTGCTCTGGTCTGGCACACAAGAGCCTTTTTCTCTGATGTGCTCATAGGAAATAAGGTAAGCTGATATTTGTCTTATTACAAATATAGACATAATCATTTTCTCTACCAATATGTACATTTTTGTGTGTGTAAATGTAAAATGTATTGCAGGCCATTAAAAGAAAAATATAGAATAGAAGGTTTATTGTCACATTTCTGTTTCTGAATTTCAGAAATTTAGACCAGTTTTCTATCCATGCTAACAAACACGGTTGTGGAAAATGTAAAATAAATTAATTTAGCTAGATGATTGTCTGGATAAATTTCCCTGTTCTGTTCTTCTCTGTAACTTTTAGGGGAAGAGTTTGGCAGAATATTTTAATAGAATATTTTTCATAACTTTTTTCCACATAAAACATGAGAAATATTTCTAAGCTCTATTATGATTTGTCATTTAAATGTATGTAAAATGTCTGTGGAAAGGCAACCAAGGCATCACAAAATTCTTATAAGGTAAAAGTCAGAAAAGTAGAGGGTTCACAGTTGGTATTTAAAAAATGATCAGCTAAATTGTTAGTTGTACCATTTTGGCCATCCCTGTCTCACATATTTACATCCCTTCTTTTAAATATTTTGCTTCCTTTACAAATGGAATATTTAAACATTTTTTTGCTCAAATGCCTACACAATAAAAAAAAAGTTTAAAAACAACAATAACAAAAAAAAGGGTACATGTTGTTGTATAGAATTGCAATTATTTTATTTATTTATTTTTTCCCATTGTTAAACAGAGCCTGAACAGTCAAAATAAGTTTTCATGTGTATTAATTCCAGGAGCAAGATGTGGATCTTTGTAATTCTTTACATCCTGGTCATGAACATCTCCCAGGTTTGCAATCTCACAAAAGATTTTTAAAAAAATCTAAACTGCAGTATATCAATCCATTAAACTGAGATGTTTTCTTTCACAGGTTGCCGCCTCAGGTAAGTTGTTTTCTTGAATAAATGAGCAAATTATTCAACCAGAGGATTGATTTAGGTTGTATATGTGAAGTTTCTTTTGTATGTTTCAGGAAACGCAACACAAATGTACTATGCAAAAATGGAAATCGACAAAGGCAGCTTCAAAAAGATACAGGAGCTGCTGAGTTCTTCTAGGCTTAACGATAACTATAACATCGACAACATTAGAATTACTTCAGGTAAGCAGATTCCCAGTTTCCATATGTTGCATCTTCTAATTGCCAAAGACAAAAAAGAGATCGCAGAATAAGTTCCTGCTCTTTCTTTTCTTAAATAGGATGTTCCACTAAAACGGACAAAACCACCTGTAAATGCGAACCGGGTCACAGATGGATTGATGAGGTCTGTTTGCCTGAGTCGTGCTGTGATCAGGAATCATGCACCTTTGTAAAAAAACCTTCCAGGATGTGTATTGTGAACACCACAGGTACTCGTTTATGAATTCATTTGCCAATCAAAGTGTCTAGCCACGCAAGAGTATCTTACAGAGATTGGTGTGAATTTCTCCTTGCTTTTGCAGTGTCTATCACAGGGTCACTGGTCATGAACGGAGATGGGTACCAAGACTGTCTGACAAGTCAGGATTCACAAACCTATAAGGACTGCAGCAAAAAATTACTAGTGAAGGTGAAAACGAAGTATTTGCCAAACAATAGCACATTTATTGATCTGCGATCTTCAGGAATCCAGAACTGACTTCATCCTTGTTCTTACAGTTTAAAGAGGAATACAACACTTTCATTGGATTTGACGATTTGACTTTTGAACGTTTCAGGTACTTGGCTGATAACATATCAAATGTTCTCGCAGGTATCTGTGTGCAATATTTGATGGAAATCTTGATGTGTTTCTGCTTTAAAAGAATCGGGAGCCTAATTGCAGACTTCAAAATGACCATCGCCTCCGCAATCAACACGGGTGACCTGTTAACAAAATCCGAAGGACTGGCTCGACGTCTCAATGGCTCAATGAATTTGGAGACAACAGGTATTCACATCAGATAGTGGTTGATTTAGTTTGTAGTTTACAGGAGTGCCACAATTAGGCCTAAATATGAAGGATGAAGTGTGAAGAAGAATTATTTAAAAGAATAGAGAGTATTTTGTACATCGTTTTAGCTGTACAATTTCCTTCTTTTTAGCATTTGTCACATCTCTGCTGCAATGCACTAATTTCACCATTGTTTGCTTTTTATTTTTTTAGGCTCTTGTCTATAGAAGCATTAAGGTTTAAGACCGTTGGTTTCACAACTTGATGGTTGGAAAAGTTGCGTTTTCACTTCTCAGATCAGAATCAGAAATCGCTTTATTGGCCAAATGTACAGAGTACAAAAGAATTTGACAGGAGGTGCCCCTCCAGTTAGCCTGCCCTCACTTAGTGTACAAAGTTTCCGAAAAAATATTTTCTGTAATTGATGGCCCTATTTGTGGGTCAAATCTATTATGGAGCCCAGAATGAACCACAGAGCCAATTCAGTGTCCTGAATTTAGCTTTAAATTCCCTCATGCTTCTCTTTCTCTTCTCGTTTCCTTTCTGATTATGAAAGTTGGAGAATGTGCATACTCATGTAGTTAAACAGATTTCATGTAAGTGAACTCTGTTTAACCAGATGTGCGAATTCTGAAGATCTAATTTAGGGCTGTCATCGAAAAAAAAGTTTTTGCATATGCATACAGGACTCATTTTTCATTTTTACAAAAAGAAAATGTAACCCCCCCCCATCACCAATTTGAACTGTTGAAAAATGCCAAGGGGTAAAAAATATTTCTATATTTTCACATTTTCTTTCTATACAAATTTGTCCTTCAAGGGATTCTCTTCTCCTTAAATTTCTTTATTCATTTTCTCATATTTCAACCATTTATTTCCCCCCCCATTATCTTATCACTCCACAGTGGGATACCAAAAACTGTTAGATTTCACAACTTCACTGTCTCTCAGAGACATCCAGGTCATAGCTTTTAGATCAAACATGCATTTTCAAACTGGCATGTCGTTTAAATTTGTCACGATTTACCGCCTCTTTCTCAGGAATTGTCACTATGAAAATGCCAGCAGGACCTTTGAATTACAAAAGCACGGTCATGATTGAATGCACATCACAGGAGGACCTGGGAGAAAACCCGGAGTGGAATTTGAGAGGGAGGAACAAAGTTAATCTCATAACAAATGGAACAGTCTCATTGGTGACGTATGAAGACAAAAGGAGCAAAGTCGAAATCTCTAAATTGGATGAACTCTGGCAAGGTAGATTTGTGTTGAACTTCTTTATATTTCAGACATTTAGCCCCTCAGAATGTTTGAATAAGTAGACGGGTAAATAGAGAGCTGCATTTGACTAAATCCTTTTTGTGCAATTTTTATGAATTCAAACAATATTACACTACAACTCATTTTTTTGCATAAAAACTAAACAAACCTGAATATCAAGTTAATCTACATGTTGTGAAGTAGCATTGTGGGTAAATGTATATTTTAAAAAAACAACTCATATTTTGCTGCATCCTGTTAAGGAATAAACCAAACAACCAGAATCTTCAAACCTCACAATTTCTCAGCTTTTCAGCTTAAGACTTTGCAATTTTTCCATGTCTTTTTTCTCTTTTTCTTGTTATTTTCTTCCCTGTTTAGTAAAAGACACAAAACCCATAGAAGACTTTGAGTCACAGTAGTTCAGGTTTGCAGCAGAAAAACAACCATCAGTCATATGTTTTCTGTATTTAAGTGAAGAAACCTGCATTTAATTGATCCAAAAGTCTCATCACTGGATTCGAATACATTCTACCTACATGAGCTGTAATCTTCATATGTTTTTTCCCCTTATTTTCAGGAGAGTACAGATGTGTGTATCATCAAAAGAAGGGCATTACGAGCATTCGTCACAAAGCCAGTGCGACAATTGATCTATGCCTCCTGCCAGACGTTGAAGTCCTTACAGAGCCATCATTTCCACGCTGTACAACAGATAATAAGATTCTGGCTGTGAAAGTTAGGTGCAATATACGCAACAGCACTGAGAGTTATACGGTGACAGTGGGTAATACTCCTACTGAGAGTGGACAGTCTGATGGTAAGGGCACGGGCTCTTGTGTTCACTGTTTTGCTGGTGTTTGTGATTGAACGCTTGTGCAAAACTAATCTTCTGTGGGACTCTTGCAGATGCAAATACACTGACGTACACTAAGACAACAATAATCACCTGTGGTAAAGCTGAAGATATCTCCCTCGAATGCATTTTTAAAAACAGATGCAATCAAACTAAAACACAAGAAGTTCCTATCAATATCATAAACGGTAAGTATTTGGTCAAATATGGTCATGTACATCCACAGTCCTTATTTAAATTTACTTGCATCATTGCCCTCAACTGACCCATAGTATCAAAACAGTATTGATACATTTGTGTGTACAATATCTTACATGTGTTATTTAACAAAAGTAACATACTTTTTGTTCATTATATCTTTAAGAATACTTCAAAGTCTTTGTGGTTTACGGAAATAAAATAATCCATCTATGCCCAACCATAGATATTCAAAGTCAGGGAATGTTTGATAAACTTTACGGAATTCAAACCTGATGTCAAACAATTATACTGATGAATTAATCTAAAATTATGAATTGTTTTTCTTAATTCCCAGCAGTGATTCTATAGTTGCAGAAAAACTTGATGCAGAGAGAGAGAAAAAAATTTATTAAGCTCCGGGTAATGCAGATGTTCATACATTTTAACCTCCCGAGATAGTGAAATATATCTCCACATATAGACACATTATCACATTATTCACCTGTAACTCCATGCTGTGATTCAAATGGAAACAACCAGATAATTAATGTACCGCTAATGATATGATGCCAATTTAGTTCCTTCATTCTGGTGTTAGATATGTTTAAGATTTTTCATGAGTTTATTCTGATATGGACAAGAAAAAAAAATTCATTTCTATCATTTCATGTATTTGTACACAATAAAACAAGCACTTTATATGAAAACTGAAATGCAGAAGCAAGGAGAAAAAAAATCCCATCCATCCTTATATCTTCCCCAGGTTTTATTGCTGCAACTGTAAAGTAAAAAAAGGGGGAAAAAAGACTCTTGAAGCATGCTATAGCCCATCCCAGCACAGTTAGAAAGAAAACAAATTAGAAAATAATAGCCAAATTGGTAATTCAGTTGTAGTAGTAAAGAATATATAAGGCAGTATCTTTGTCAATGAGCATATTAGTATTATATATGAAAAATCCCCTTTGGCAAATTGTCCAAGTTAGTGCACATTATCTAAAGTGGGAAACCTAAGGTTTTTGCTTTTGTTTTCTGTTGAACAGTGGAGGATAAGTTCTGTGCAGCAGAAGGTGACTGGGAGGACACCAAGAGCAATAATGTTGCTATATTAAAATGCAAGAGGAGTGCTGGTGTGCGCAGAAGGCCCTGCAAGTAAGACTTGAGTTGATGACTGTCGATGGAGAACAGGATAAAATGGAATTTAATTTCCAGACTAAACAGTCTCCGTCTGAATAGGGTTCCTGGTTCTAATCCTCACAGGGGTTCTCTCTGCGTGGCTTTTCTATTTATGTGCTCTCACCGTATATGCTTTTTTTCAGCTCTTGCTTTTGCCATCCAAAAAGAAAGCAACCAAACACTAAAAAAAAAACCTGCCTGTTGTTTGAATTGGTGACTCTAAATTGACATCAAGAGTTGGTGTGCATGGTTTCTGCTTTGTCCATTTCTTCCTGGCCTTGTCGGTCAGCTGCTGGTCCACCTCTCATACAATGAGAGGCTCCAGCCTCTGGCGACCCTGACTTGCAAAAAGCAGGAATTCGAACATGGATGGATATTTAAAAATCTTTTCGGTGAATCATATTTATCATCATATAATGTCATATTCACCATTTCAGTTCAAACGGCGAATGGGAAAAGGAGCAGTCAGAATGTGTGACCCTGGAACTGTATGAAGTCCTGCATAGCGCAGAAGTATGTACACATTCACTCATAGAGTTGCAAAACCGCCTCTCCGAAATCACAGAAAGATTAACAGAAACACAGACCCTTTGACATCACAAAGAGAGAAACACCAAATAAAGATACGCCTATTTATGTGCATAAATATTTACAAAGAAGCTAATCTTGTAATTTTACAAGAAACATAAACACTGACACAACTATAATAAAAAATCTTTTTTTTTTTTTTTTTTCTTTTTTTTTTTTTTTACAGATTTCTGATATTGGACTTGGTAAACTGGAAACAAACGTTGCAGATGTATTTTCCCGCTTTCAGAATTTTTCAAAGAAAGAGGAAGTAAACCTTCTGGCCAATATGGATGCATCAATTCAAGTTCTCACCACCTTGAACCAAAAGCTTAAAAGCATAGATGATGAAACGACTGTGAAAGTGAGTATCAAAGAATCCATAGATCCCTGACATATATGTGATATTGTTGTAAAATTAAGGCGAAGTTCATGCTTTTCATGGAGGGAGAAAAAAGCTCACTTTGAATTTAAGAAGAGGCCTGTGACCCTATAAGCCGAACCCCAAACCCTAACCCTGATGTTTGTCCATCAGTTTAGAAATATCAGTGGTTACAGATTTAGAGTTCCAATAAGGATGTAGACTTGAGGTTATGTACATCAAGTATAAAGAAAACAAGACTGATAATTTGCCATTGCCTTAAACATACTTAATTGCCTCTTTTCAGGACTTTATTGAGTCATCCAGCAACATACTGAACAAGAAAAATGAAAAAACATGGACAGAAAACAAAGATAACAGCAACTTGACCACACTTGCTGAGAATTACCTCAGCTCAGTTGAGGAATTGATTGAGAAGTCAAATATAACAGACAAAAGTAAGAAACAAACAAACCTGGAGGTGGACACATGCAGCTCTGAAGAATGCAGCAACGTTGTTTTCAACACCACTGTCACTCTTCAAAAATCCAGCGACGGCTTAGTGAAAACAGCAGGGTTCAAAGAACTGGAGAACTATCTGCCCAACAATGATGAGGACATGGAAGTGAACAGTATTGTTGTTACAACTACAACCAATCGGTTGGACAAGTTAACAATTACAATTGACTTTAAGTTGCACAAACGGAGGCCTCGCGATGTTGAATTGAAATGTGTCTTTTGGGACAACAGCAGCAGAAGTTGGTCAGGAGATGGTTGCGAATGGGAAGGTTCCTCTAATGAGGGAAGGTGCGTTTGCGACCATTTGTCAGCCTTTTCCATTCTAATGGCGAAAAAACCCCTTGATGTTCCTGCCTTATCCACGATAACAGACGTGGGCCTCTCCATATCAATCGTGTCGCTTGTTATCAGCCTGTTAATAGAACTGATTGTCTGGAGTGACGTAGTTAAGACCAACACTTTGTATTTGCGGCACACTTCTCATGTTAACATTTCTGTGTGTTTGCTGATCGGAAACTGCTGTTTTCTTTTATCCAAGCCAGGCAGGTCCAACGCAACCTGGTGTCAAATCTCTGCAGTGCTGAAACATTTCTGTTACCTGTCTATGTTCTTTTGGATGTTTTGTCTGAGCGTCACACTCCTCCACCAAGCAGTCTTCTTGTTCCATAGAGTGAGCAAGACATTCTACCTGCGGTTCTCCATGGTCGTGGGCTACATTTGCCCCTTCCTGATTGTGTTCATCACATATCTTGTCTACGATAGCGGCACTGAAAGTTCATACTACTCCAAGAAAACCTGCTGGCTGGTCTACAAAGACTCACTGGAGGGTTCCATCTTTACCTTTATAATTCCAGCCTTTATAATTGTATTTGTTAACATTTTCTCCATGTTCGTGGTGATCATGAAGCTTTTGGACCACAACAAAAATGCACAGCTAGTTGACGAAAAAGAGAGGTCAGCAGCCAAAACGGTTTTGAGGTCAGTCGTTCTTCTGACTCCTGTCTTTGGCCTGACGTGGATTTTTGGATTTGCCGTGATGATGATTGACCTAACCGACAAACCACAAGGTTTGATAGTCAATTATGTCTTCACCATTCTGAACGCGTTCCAGGTAAGCTTAATCTAACTAGTAACAGTTCTATCCATCTTATTTTTTCCTAAAAATATCTTTCATCCCCAGGGTTTTTTTATTTTGTTGACCATCACTGTGGGGGACAAAATGGTAAGGTTGGAGGACATAACTTGAACAAACGTCAAACTTAGTGGCTGATTTCAGTTGAAGTCCGTGAAATGTAATTTTATAGGATTTGAGACTATTATCAATTATGGGTAATTCAGCAAAACTCTCTTCTCTCCTCCTTTGACAGATGCGTGATGCACTGATGAAATACTTCAACAAAAAAGTGAGTTCATAAAAACTGGATTTATTCTTATTGAAATCACCACAATGACTATTTGACGGAAGAAGCCTCTCTCTCACAATCCACAGGCTGCTGCGTCCGTCAGCAACAGCACAGTGAAGTCAGAATCTTCGTCAACAGTGAAGAAGTAAAACCAGCCTCAGCCGCCGCAGTCTCAACAAACTACATTTAACGGTTTCCATAATGTGAACGTTAGTTATTTAGCCATTGTGTGCAAAAATCACGAGCCACCGCTCACTTCTTAATATACTCAAAGGAAAAACGGGTTAATATTTCAGCAACTCAGTGAAATGTGTAAACACAAATGATGTGTTTAGACACACGTGTATGCTAATATATACTAATGACTGTTTGCAAAAAGTCAGCCAAACTGTTATCTTTGGCATGCTTTATGGATGGGAACAAATGATATCTTGTCTCATGTGAGAGGTAATTTGAATGAAACTACTAAAGATAAAGTTCAATGTATTCTTTGTCACAAGTAGACCTCGATGACCTCATCCTTTGCGTTTGGTACCTTTTTTATGTCTGAAAGAGGCATTTTTCTTTGTTAAGTGGCCTAAAACATCCATATTGTTCTGACACAGGTCAGATACAAAAAACTAAACTGAGGGTGAGCGATACAGCTGTCAATTTATACAGAAAAGAGCGTTACTGCTGAAGACCCCTTTGACTGATCACAAGAAAAGACCAGATTCTTGGAAGCAGAGTATGAAGAAATGAAGGGAGACTCAAGAGTTTTTGTACAGTGATGCATAAAGTTGTAAAATAATTATTTGTGCCTTTAAGTTACTGCTTCGTCACACTGATACTTGCAGCACTGGTATATGCTGCTAGAGGTCTGTGGTATCTGACATAATCCTGAATGCAAAATAGTCATGTAAATGTTATTCCATCTCATTTGTATCAAGTTGATTCTCCATTCGATTGTTGCTTGTATGAAATCCTTTTTTCCTTGTTTTCTTTGCCTTGATCTCCCCATTCCTCATCTGTATCATCCAGCTGAAGTCCCTCTTTAGCCGCCGTTTCGCGGAAGGTCTGACATTCCGTCTCTGCTCTGAAACACGAAAACAGGGCAGGTTATCTAGTGTGCATAAACGCTGATGTTGCTTCTCTCAATATTTTTAATAAAGTAATGACAATAAAATGAAATTAAAACAGGCTTTGTGTTGTACTTTTTAAGAAATAGTGCACAGTCTTTGTGGCCATATATTTCAGCTATCCTCATGGGTTTGTCTCCACAGAAGTCCTCTTTGTCTATGGGAGCATGGAGCGAGTGCAGCAGCCGCAGCACAGCCAGCTTGCCGGACTCTGCCGCAAAGTGGGCTGGAGTCCATCCGTGCTCTGTCCTTAGACATGGCCTGGCTCCGTGCTGTATGAGGATCCTGATTATTTCTGTATGCCCTGTGAAAATGGGATAACAGGGACAATGAGAATGATCCTTTCAGTATCCATGCCGCTTATTCCTAGTAGGGGGCACAGGGGGGCTGGAGCCTATCCCAGCTGACACTGGGTGAGAGGCGGGGTACACCCCGGACTGCTCCCCAGGTCCATCAGAGGGCCACACAGAGACAAACAACCACACACACTAACATTCACTCCTAGGGGAAATTTAGAGAGTTAATTTAACCTAACAAGCATGTTTGTGAAAATTGTTTGCACCTTCTCCCATATCTATACGATATATACAAAACTAAATAAATAAATTACAGGCCATGCACCAACAATTGTCTTAAACCAGCATTTCTGAACCCAGAACTCTGTCATTTCTGAACTCAGTTTTCAAATGCCTTCTTTCCATACAAATCCATCTTCTTACTCAATGATCTTACTCTATTATTTACTTAAAAACATAATAAAAAAAATATTTGTACATGTTTCAGTACCAAATGGCAAGTGACAACAAGCCCTATGCTGGCATGTGTGCAAAGATAAGCTATATCTCACATGTTGGATATCAAAGCGCTGCAGTTTAAGTCCTTAAGTATGTTTTATATTCAGTAAAAAAAAAATACTAAACGAAAATTAAATATGTATTTAGAATAAAATCTAAAAAATACATTGAACCAATATAAAGTTTAATCACAACTTGTAAACTATTGTTCTTTTATCTCAAAAGAATATTGTGTTGATCTCAACTGTAGGTGTCTGGCTTTTTCCACTTATAACATTACACCTCCTATTGTGGGTATTCTTTAAACAAATCAATACTAGATTTAGATTAGATATATCCTTTTTTTTCTTTTAAGCAGTAGTTGACAGAAGGATACTTCTGCTGAATGGTGTCTATTGGATTATTTCTGGGAACTGGACATTTGACTGGAGGCCTATTTGACAAGGGGATTTTTTTGTTTTTTTTACTTTTAGCTAATGTAAAGTGGGCAGAGGTCGTTTTGAGCCTGTTTGACTCAGTACAGCAGACACAGGGCAGGTGTAACCTGAGACTGAAAGCAACGACAGCCCGTGGGTCTATCAGCAGGAGTTCTGTGGTGAATTTCCTCCGATGTTACGACCCACCTTTAGCTGCTGCCCAGTGGAGAGGGGTCTTGTAACTCCAGTCGATGTCCCTGTGATTGGGACTGCATTTCTCCTGCCTCAGAATCTCCACAACCTGATCATAATCACCTACCGCTGCTGCCTGGTGCAACTCCGTCATTTTGTTTCCAGGTTGCCCAGCGACAGTTGATAGCAACACAACAGGCCTCACACCTGAGGCTGTGAGCAGTAATGCCGCCACCTGCTGCATCAGCAGAGCACACCAAGGCTCTCAAGCACACCGCACGGAAAAAACACAACCTTTCATTACTATGATACATTTGAATATTGGTAGAAAAAAAAAGTTGTGAATATGTCAGCAATTTTAATTGTAAGAAATAGACATGGAAGGCCACAATTTGTTTCGCATGGCTAAAATGGATTAACACAAGTATATGGTTATCTATTAATTTCTTTAAATCTGGAAAAGTGTTAACACCACTATTTTGTTTTTCTGTTGTATTTTAAGCTATGATAAATAAAGATGGTTACTTTCTGACTTTACCTGAAAAACAAAGACTATATAATCAGACTTGGGTGCTTAGTGTTATGCATTTTATACTTTGACATTTGTCAGATTCAATTTGAATTAAATTAAGACAGTGTTTATTCATCCCTGAGGGAATAATACATAAATACAGGGTGCACAGAAATCCCTAATCTCATATCTTGAGAAAAAGGGTTTGTTATTTTATTTACCTTTTATTTAGTTATCTAAAAATGTTGATTAAAGATACAGATATTTTACAAAACAGAGATATTAACATATTAATTATAGTCCAAGTTATTTTTTTTTAAAAATGGAAAGCAGATGTGGTCAAAAGAGGAAACAGGAATGTTTTTTTTTAAGATGTTAGCATGTTTTCCAAAAGTTTTTATTTTATTTGAAAATTTTTCAGAAAGAAGAAATTGGTGGATGGTGAAACACTGGGAACGATTTATCACAACTTGGTTCCCCAGATGTTTAAGTTGGTCCGTAGCTGAAAGACAAATATAAAAAAATAATATTCTAATGAAAATATTAATCATAAAACTTTGATCACTAATGTCATAAACCTTTGATACATTTAAGAAAAAAACTGAAATGTTGTCGATTACAAAAAAAAATGTGCAGGACAATGGAACGAGATGCCAATGCTTTGTCATACCATTTCATACCAACAGATGATGGGTTTAAACCCCCAAATCCTCATCATTGGTTTTGGTTTCATCCTGGTTTGCTGTAGAGAGATTGTACAAGAAGTCCAAATTAGAAAAATGTCATTATCTTCTTGGGGAATAAACTTATGGCAGTTATTTTCAACAAACCTGAAACTACACTCTCCGTGTCCACCGCTTTCCAGTATTTCTCCATCAGTACGTTCACAACCACTCCTTCACACTCGATCTCGACGGCATATTGAGGAACAGAGATTTCTAGGCATTGCCCGATTCCAAACACTTTCAGTTTGAGAAGCTTATCAACCAGCAAGTAATAAAAGTCATCATACACCTTCTCATCCCAGGAGCCTTTAGACTTGTCAAATCCGTTCAGACAGCACAAGAAGGCCTGAGGGGCTGCTTCCAGCAAACACTCAGGGAGAGGTCTCACATTCTTGATGTCAACCTCTGACTCATTTCCATAGTCAACAAACAGGACACTGAGGGTTTGGTCAACTTTCCCAATTACTTTAGCTCTGTACCACTGGTTCTCACTTGAAAATAAAGCAAGGCATGGACTGCCAGGACCAATAGTTTGAGAGAAAACGCTGTCCTGCAGTGCCTGTCCAGACTCATGGGCAAGTTGGGACAGTTTGTGTAGCTCCTCTGTGTGGGCAAACTGGCACCAAAAGAAATGTGGTTCTGCAATAGAAGATGCAAATACCATCTCGGTCTGATTTCTGGAAATGATTGGGTCCTTGAACATGCAGGTTTCTACATTTTTTTCAGAAACACAAAGATGAGTCCTACTGTCCTTAGTTTGGCCACTTTGGAGAGGGTTTTCTGTTTGAGAGTCCTCTGACATGACATGTTCCTCAGAAAGCGGTTTCCAGTATTTCTTCATTGTAACACTAAGGCTTTCTCCCTTGCACATGATGTCCACAGAAAACTGAGGAACTCCGATTTCTGAATGGTCCTTCATACCGATCACTGTAAGTTTGAGTGGTATGTCAATCAAAAGGTTGTAGAACTCCTCATAAGCCTCGTCTTCCCATGCTCCTTTAGACTCATCAAATCCATTTAGGTGACACAAAAAGGCCTGAGGCGCCATCTTCAGCAGACTGTGGGGCAGAGGTTTCACATTCTTCATGTCAACATCTGACTCATTTCCATAGTCAACAAACAGGACATGGAGCATTTGGTCATCTCCCCGAATGACTTGAGCTCTGTACCACTTGTTGTCAGCGGAAAACAAAGAAAGACAAAGACTGCCTGGACCAGGAGCATGAGGGAATGGATTGCCCTGTTTCTGTCCTGCCTCCTGAGCAATCTGGGACACTTTGTGGAGATCTTCTGTGTTAGAAAACTGACACCAGAAAAAACTCGGCTCTGCAATACAAGACGCATATACCATCTCCGTTTCACTTTTAGAAATTTCTGGAACCTTGTACATGCATCCACCAATCTTCTCTGAGGAAGCTTCAATGGATGTTACGTTGTCATCAATCTGGATACTTTGGGGGAGCGTTTCTGCCTCTTCCACTCCTTTCCCACATGGCTCTGCGGAAAATGAATGCCAGTGCGTCTGCATTATGCTATTAATAATCTCTTTATCGCACACAGTTTTCACTGCATATTGGGGAACTGCCATCTCTGGACAATTTTGCTGACGAATCACTGTAACTGTGAGTGGCTTGTCTACCAAGAGATCATAGAATTTGTCAGAAGCGTTTTCATCCCAGGAGCCTTCTGACTCATTAAAGCCACTCAAGCAGCACAAAAATGCCTGTGGAGCTTTCTCTAATAGACTCTTGGGTAGAGACCTCACACTGCTAATGTCCAGCTCAGACTCATTCCCATAGTCAACAAAAATAACACGGAGTGTTCCATCAGTTCTCTGAATTACCTGAGCTCTGTACCACTTTTTGTCACTGGAAAACAGAGCAAGGCATGGACTGCCCGGTTTAAGCATCTTCGTGGTGATCATGGATTCTTGCACTTGTCCTGCCTCCTGAACAAGTGTTAACACTTCGTTAAGATCGGCCATGTTGGTGCGTTGGCACCAGAAGTACTGTGGTCCAACAATGCAGGAAGTGTATACCTCCATAGTGTTATTAACAGAAATATTTGGCCATGTGTAGGTTTTCTCATTTTCTTCTTGGTCTGACTGATTAGACGGTTGAGTCGTATCCAGGTCAATGGAGGAAAACTCAATGGAAGTCTCACACATACTCTCTTTACCCTCAAAAATAGTGTCCAAAGTTGGTTTGCTTCCATTATTCAAAACCTTAACCTGTTCAATCTGTGGTGTAGAGACACTATCAACTTCATACATCCCATTACTGCTCTGTGGCTCATTTTGTTCTTTAATCTCCTTTGGTTTTTCCAGCTCTTGTGTTGAGTAGTTCCCGTTTGTCAGAGTGGCTCTTTTTGAGCAGTCAATGAAATCCTGGTTCGTCTGCCTTGTCTCACCAGTTATTTTGTGTTGGATAATTCCAGCCACTTTCTCTCTAATCATCTGATTTACATTAAGGGATCCATCAAAGAGTTCAACAATCAGCTTCCCTTTTTCCTCTTTCGCTACAACTAAAACAGTAAAACTATGGCCAACAGCACATTCTGTAAACCACTGGTTGACTTCTATCGGTAACTCTGCAGGGACATTGAATAGTCCAAGTGGTACAGCTTGTACAGGAACAGACCTGATAACGCTGGCTTCAGGGGAAAAGGGGCAAACATCAGTTTCACTCACAATTAAGGTGTCTCCATAGTCCACAAAGTGAACCTTAAGTTTTGGTGACTTTTCTACAACTTGACCTCTGTACCACTTGTTGTCAGGGTACCTCGCTAAACAAATACTGTTAAGTCCAAGACTGTGATTTGAACTCTGTGGAAGGTCAAGTAGTTTTGTCACATTTTCCATCATTTTGTCAAATTCATCAAAATTCCTTTGCAGGTGGCAGTAGAATTTATGGACTGTTTCTGCAGAAGTTACCAACACTTTTTCTCTCCCACCCACCTCAATGTTGTGTGTGGCGTTATCGTACCCCTCTGCAGGGACCTGTTGAGGGGTTTGCCCCTGACCTTCAAACTGTGCATATTTCTGAGCCAGAAGCTTGCTTGCACTATTAGATTCAGATTCAATATCTACCACGTTAAGGCGCAGACCATCTTCATCAGACGTAACAGCTTTTAGAGTACATTTTAACTCAAGGCCTGATGAACTATTCAATTCCACAAACTTCTGAAACTCTGTTATTGCTGCATCGGTCCAGCTGATTGTTGTAGAATCTGTTGGATTTTTCATACTGAATAGGCAGCACTGAAATGCCTGTGCATTTAGCTGAAGGAAAGGTGGATGAATGGGGTGCAAATCGCGCAAAGGGACCTTTCGAGTTTGACCATAGTCTACAAACCTCACATCTACAATAGGTGAGTCATGGCTTGCAATTACTCTCACTCTGTACCACATATCATTGTCAGGATTGCGGGCAACAAAGATAGACTCTACAAGTGGTTGAGAGTCTGCAGATGAATAGTGGTTTTGCAGGTTTAGCATAAGTTGTCTAAGAGAGTCACCACTATCTGTTGTTTGACACCAGAACCTTTGTGGACTTTCAATGCATGACACATTTACATTGACACACTCTCCTACAGCTAAAACATTGTCATCACGAGTGCTGTGCACCTTAGAGGGAAGAGTGGTGGACAGATGCCCGTTTTCCTGTAGTGGATGGTCAGGAATTTCTGATTTTTCTTTGATTTGAATATAATTTATGCTGGAGTTGGATACATCACCCACACTGCCATTTACCTCAAGGTTTTGGGGGCTTTGACAAATTTCATCTGGTAAGCCACTTGTTAAATTGACTTCAATATGTAAATCCATTGGTTGCTTGTTGTCAAGTGATAGGGTAAACGATGAGAGCTCATCCGTGGCATCTAAATCAGTCGTGGAAGATAGACTCAAGCTTGTTTCGTCTAGAAAAGTGTCGTTCAGACATGAGCCATCACCTATATGCAGTGTTACATAATAGACATCTTGACGTATGTTGTATTCCTCAAATTTAGCCACCACTCTCTGGTCAAGAAGCAACGATTGTAGGTCCTCAGTCTCATCTACATACGACTCTTTGTTGATATCTTTAACTCCAATCAGCGAACAGTGATACGTGACAACTGGCATTCTCAAGAATGTTTTACGAATTGGTCTGACGTCTCCAACATTAATCACTTCAGTTTTTCCTACATCGACATGGAGGACCTCTACAGCAACATCATTCATCCTAATGTTTTGCTTTAGTACAGAGCGATGCCATTTGCCATCAAGCCCTTTGGAAGCACATGGATCCCCACAACTCACTGGCTGAGCCTCTCGAAAATCAGAATTCTCTTCATAATGTTGGTGGATCTGTTCGGATAATAGCTCCAATGCTTTAGAAAAAATTAGGAGCGTACAAAAAATGTTATTAGGATTGGTTGCTTGTGTCACGATAACCGTTTCAAAAGTGTCGGTTAACAGCTCTGGGTAAAAATATTGCTCATGCTTGGCAAGTTGACTAGTACTATCCAGGATTAAATCTTGGGTAGCACAGATGGGCTCAGCAGACTCTTCTTTGGCTACATGCAGATGTTTCTGTACCAGCATTTCGAATTCGTCCACTTTAACCTTTGTTGCTGCTCCAAGCTTACACAATTGCTTAGAAAGAATTGGCATATCCAGAAGAATAACCCTATCTGGCATCAGCACGAGTTGAACGATTGCATTAAACTTCTTCCCCGGTAGACACATCAAAATCTTTGCAAGTCTTTCAGGGCATTTATTCTCAATGAGGACAACATCGGCAAGTATACAATATTCAATTTCTGGAGGAAGGAGAAAGCTGTCACTCGGACCCCAAGCTAAAGCTTTACTTGTGGTAATGTGGGGTTTTCCCTGGTCAACGAGAAAAAGATTATATGTTTTGCTTTGAATCAATACAATTCGAGCTCTGTGCCAGGTGTCACTGATGCAGACTAAACAGAGATCCCCTGGTTTTCCTTCTGATCCATTAAATTTTCTTCCAGGAGTCTGGATTTCCTGCCTCATCTTCTCGTAAATATGTTTCCTTGCCTCATCCATATTAACCCATAATTCCAAAAGACCATTATGGGGGTTTTGATTTACCCTCGTAATGAGAACTGGCACTTCTGATCCTGCTGTTGGCAGCCCGAGAGTAGAACACATTGTGAAATTTGCAGCTCAAATGTACCTGCAAAGTCAGGGAAAAAAACGGTATTAAAAAGGGAGAAAAATGTATTCCTTTAAACATTACTTAAAAGCACTTGAACATCGAAAGGTCACAATCAGTCTCTTTGGATGTTTTCGTGCCATTTTATGTTATTTTTTCTTTCTTAAAAAAGATAATCACCTTATTCGATCTGTAAGATGGATATGTCTTTAAGAGCATGACTTCTTTTTTCTAAACATTGACAATCATAGAGCTATCATCAAAACACCTCCTAAGGAATATAAACTTTGACAATGAAAATTATGTAGATAAAAAATGACACTTTAAACCCTAACATTAATATTAAGACTATATATCTTTATAAATAAAAAATGCTCTTTCACCTAAACTGACTCACTTCACCACTATAAACAGACAGTGAATCACCATTTGACTGAGTGAGTCACTGACTGAAAATACATCTTAAAGAACACACGAGAGAAGAAAAATGATCAAAGTGGTTCATACTTTACATTTAACCATAACAAGGTTTGATCAATCTCCCAATCCTTCTTGTGCTCTCTATATTCTCACACATTTACAATTGTATATGCAGCGCACCGATTCAGTGATTGTCAAGCAAGTTCTCTGTCCTGTTGAGAGAAAATGTGACTTCTGCTCAACATGGACCATTATATTAACAATTCATCTTCCATCTCACAAACTGGGGAATACTGCACCATGGCAGAGGTATAAGTAAAGAAGAGTGTTTCACGCGTGATTCTGTAGCAGATGCGAGCTCAACTAACTAAATCAACGATACATTCGTTAAAATTAAGGCAGAAACCCCCTTGAACAGGCTCTCATTGTGTCACATTTCAGAGTCTATTATTGTGAGATTTTTATCTCAAGCCTCGCAGCTGCTCAGGAAACGCAGGTTGTAAATCATGCAACTTGGAGACATTCCAGGCATGCCTTTGTTCGGGGTTTCTCGGCTTAATAAATTCATTGTACACAAGTCACAGGCTGTAAAATGACACAAAACAAGCCAGTGTCGTGCATCCACATCAACTCAAAGCTTTGCCTCCTTTGAAGTGTTACTGCCTGATTCAGGTGACCTTATATTCAGAAATACAACCCCCACCCTTTTCTCACCTTGTTTGTTTGTTTGTCTGTTTGTGTGTCTTGTCATATCATGCCTCACGCTCACTGAACTGACAAAAGAACCGCGAGGGAGTGTTCGTTTTTTTATAGGTTCCGGTCCCAATATAAACCAGGAGTATTTAAACCACGGCTACTTTCAGAGTAAAATGAGTCACAGTAAAACAAAAATAAAAGTTAAAAGTGTCATTTGTTGTAACTGTTTATGCCTTTCTTTTATTTTATTTTCCCTCTTCCCCTTTTTAAATTTAATGAGCGTATGGGGGATTTGGGGCACGTGCAGGTACGTTCTCAGCCAATCACAGAGGGCCTCGAAAGTTCCGTGTTTGGGATTGAGGCCACCCCCACGGCAGTCAACCCCGCGGCTCGCTTCAGTTAGGACAGTACGCACCAGGAAGTGGGGAAACGAAGCCCAGTCTTCACAAGACCATGACATTGTCGAAAGCTGCACGCTCAGGCTGTCAAACTATGGTAGGCGCATTTTATTCTCTATGTTTTAAGAGCCCGTAAATCCCGAGGCTAGGCAGACGTTTGAAGAAGTTTTGTGGTCTGAAGTCTCTTTCCTGTGGCTGCAATGCAAAGGGAAACCGGACTGACAGGGCGCCTGAAAGCACTGCAATTCCATGTTTTTCTTCAGCTGCTTCAGTTGACGCTAAATATCACACATCGAAAGCAAGTTTTGAGCTATTTTGTAGCTGTGTTGGAAGATAAACACCTGTGGCTGCACAAGCTCCTGGTTCATGGTGTAACTTCCTTGCTTCAAGACAAAGGGCTCATTTCTTTTTTTCACATGTTCACTTTCTATTTCTCTCTTTTTAACTGGCTTTTAGATAATAGCCCGTAGAAGAACAGGAAGAGCTTGTAATGAGCATGTATCAATGCTAGTTATGACAGAATTCTGTGGATATATTATTTTCAGCAGACATGTCTTTTAAAAAGTAATTCTATAGATATAACATGTACAGTATGTTTGTTGGGCTATTCAGAGAGCCCCTCGCAGCATGTACACAATGGGTTTTTGAACCAAAGAAGTGACTTTGGTTTTGCTTTTAGTGACGTCTTTCAAAATGAGTAAGAGGAAAGGCCAACCGTTAAATCATGCGACAACTCTGAAGATCCGGAGAGTGGCAGGAGTGGGGGCCGATGGTGCACCAGGGGGCTCCAACCGTCCGGGACTCTCTCTAAACAGCTTCACCAACATTCCCACCGTGAGTATTTTTTTCCACACAAGCCTCAGATCAAGCTGTGAGTCCTTGCTTCTATCCTGCTCTCTAACAAGGTTGGCTTTCGCCGTGTTTTCTCAGGGAGACATCGGCCTCATTGAAAGCATCACCCTGAAGAACTTCATGTGCCACCACATCCTGGGTCCGTTCCAGTTTGGGCCCAATGTGAATTTCATCGTTGGCAACAACGGAAGTAAGGGCTGGATTTGTCAGTATCAGGCAACTCATCTCAACTCAGAGAAATACACAGTGTAAAGGGCTAATTGGTTGGACGCGTTTTTTTATTCAATCGTTGGCTTCCTTTTTGTTGGCTGGTACTGGACTGTTTGCATGCAGTAATCTGTTTCTAGGTAAACCTAAAGTTCAAAAGTGGCAAGTGAAAAGTGTGATGTAGATAATTTGCAGTGATTTCATCAACTTGTTTAATTCTCAGGTGGTAAAAGTGCCATCCTGACAGCTTTAATTGTTGGCCTTGGTGGAAAGGCCACCGTAACAAACAGAGGGGTGTCCCTGAAGGACTTTGTGAAAACTGGTGAAAAGTAAGTCACAGATCACACCACTTATGATGTTCCCTAATCAGGAATGTCCCCCGGCCACAGTTACTTGCATGTAATTGAGACATTAGGTCATAAGATTTTCTTTGACCGCGCAGCACTGCAGATATAACCGTGCAGCTGAGAAACAGAGGCCCAGACGCGTACAAAAAGGATGTTTATGGCGACAGCATCCTCGTCGAGCATCGCATTTCAAGTGACGGATGCCGGACCTGCAGGCTGAAAAGCAAATCAGGTGATACAGATAGCTGCCCAGCCGTAATAGTGGTGACGAGGTTTTCTAAAGCCATGTCTAAATCTCATGTAACCAGACACCCATGGCACTTGAGACTCAACACTTCAGTTAGATTGGCATTTCACAAATCTGTTTATGGTCTTAACTTTCTGGCAAAGATTAGCCTCACATAAACATGGATCATTTTTATGCATGGCACTGTCACCTGCCTTTTATTTTCTTTGACAATTCGAATGGGTCCTACTTGTGGCTCATTATGTCATGAGTAGGATCCAGGGCTGCTCATGCTAGAATGCTGATCACTGAATGAGACTGGTCTTCAGATTACTGTCAAGTATAATGTGTTTATCAGTGCAATTTAAAACCGTTTTCTTAAAAAAAAAAGATTCAACACATTCATTTCTAAAAATAGAAAGGCTGCTAATACCAAATGACAGGAAATCCGTCATAGTCTTTCTCCTGTGGTGTTAATCAGAAGTTTTTATTTGTCTTTTGTCTTGTCCCTTAGGAAAACTTGTCTCAAATAAGAAGGAAGAATTAACAGCCATTTTGGATCACTTTAACATTCAGGTATTTATTATTGTTGTTTTTTTTAACTCACAAATCCACTTCTTTTATGAACCCTTTGGGTGGTTACTAACATTTGCTGCTGATGGGATCAGTGCTTTAAGGTCTAAGCAACATGTTTGTTCCCTTTATTCCAGCTGGATAACCCAGTCTCCATTTTAAGCCAAGAAATGAGCAAACAGTTCTTGCATTCAAAAAGCGAAGCGGACAAGTATAAGGTACCACACACTCGTGTTCGTCCCACTCTTTTTTTTCAGGCGTGTTTCTGTTTGAAGTTGTGTGAATTTCAAATGTGTGTTTCTGTGATCATAATCTGTAGTTCTTCATGAAAGCAACTCTGCTTGAACAAATGAAAAGAGATTACATCTACATTAAACACACTGAAACGGTAACACGGCAGCAAGTTGAGAGGCAAGAGGAGGTATAGCAAAACGTCTGACTCAAACACACACACACATTTTTATATACATATATACATATATATATATATTTTTTTTTTTTCTCACTTGATTGGTTTAGAGCTTGAAGGACTTAAAGCAGGAGTTTCTACAAAAGAAAGAACGGTATGAAAATTTATCGTCCTTTGGCGAGATGAGGGATGCTTTGGAAAACTTGAAGAAAAAAATGGCATGGTGTTTGGTAAGAGGTGATCTTTCGCTGATGCTTTAAACGAACCTTTAAAATAAAATAAATCGTTGCCTAAACTTTTTTATCGACTCCTAATTTTGAATAAAAAAACATGCCAAAAATTCCTAACAGTAAATGTGCTTTTTCTACTTCAGGTCACAGAGAAGGAACAAAACATACAGCACTTAAAGGAGGAAATTGAAAAGGAAGAGAATAATTACAAACACCAAGAAAACCTCAGACTCTGTCAGGTGAGACACAAGAGGTCCACTCTGTTTCAATGTTCTGTATAACATAATCGATATATGAGCACTTCAAACCCTCATTGCCAAATAAAGTCACTGCTCATCTTTCCCATGTGCCATAGTGAGGTTTACACTAGAGAGGGGTTTATCACTCCTTGTGTCATCTGTTTAGATGCTCTTTTAAAGGTGCCTTTGTCCTTTTTTTATTCCACACAGACTAAAATTGTACAAACGGAGAAGAAGCTGCAAGCCATTAAAAGGAGAACTGACAGTCTACGAGAAGAACAGATATCTCTATCAGAAGACAACCTTAAATTGAAAGAGCAAGTTAAGAGCATAAGTGAGGCTCACAAGCAACAGGAGGTACCAAACTCTTTCTGACCAAAACAGAAAATTGTAATGTACAGAGTAAATGTATTTATGTTGATTATAGTAATGAACAGTTTCTTGTTCGTTTTCTGGATAGCTTGTTTATTTCCGAGCTCTGAACAAACTCAGACAGTCAGAAAGAGACCAAAACCTCCTCCAGGAGAAAATAAACAAAGCAAGAACAAGGTACGAAAGCATTTTTTTTTTTTTTAAAGACGCAGGGTTGCCTTTTTTAAGAAATATTCATTGTTTTTAAATGTCTTTGTTGATCAGCGAGAGCCAGAAGAATGGTGAAGAGACGGAACATGTAAAACGTCAAAAGACCTTGTATGACCTGAAAAGGCAGCTTGAAGATCTGCAAATTCAGTGTACACAGCTCAATGAAGATATCAAGAACAAACATCAGGCGGTTTTTAAAGGAAAGGAAGAACGGGACAAGTTGAGGTACAAGAGCTATCTGCTTTTCGACACACATACTGTAACGGACACTGGATTTACCTTCAATCTGTTTGTATTCAATAGAATGGAGGAAAGGTGCCTCCAAGTTGCATATGAGTCTAAACTAAAGAGAAAGAACCAGCTCCTCGCCAGTCGGTCAAACAAACTAAAACGGTTTGGAGATCATGTGCCCGACCTAATAAATTCAGTCGCAGAGGCACAAGCGGCGGGACGCTTCAAAAAGAAACCCGTTGGTCCAATAGGTAACTCTCTTTTCCATTGTCTGTCGATTTCTTAAGTTTTAATGAGAAGATTGATAAAAAAAAACTAATAAAGAGGACATCACAACCAGCTGGTGGTTCTGAAATTGTATTGTATTGCTCTGATAAAACATTTTGATTGTTCATCACGCTCTAACAAATATGCAGTATTATTTTCCGCTTATCAAATATTGAAACCGATGATGTGTTTGCTCTCAGGAGCTTGTATCAGTTTAAAGGATCCTTCCTTGGCTGTGGCTGTGGAGTGCTGCCTGCGGAGCTTTGTCAAGGCTTTCTGCTGCGACAACTACAAAGACGAGGCAGTCCTTCAGGAGCTCATGTCCCGCTATTATCCAAAGGGAAACCGACCGCAAATAATCGTCAGCCCCTTCACCGATAAACTTTACAATGTTCATGGGCGGTAAGCAGCATTTAATAGCAAAGCAGGTTTTTATTTCACCATCATTTCTTTTCCTTACATGTGTCTTCTTCTCTTCCTGCATTGTGGTTTTACAGGAAAGCGAATCACCCAGACTACCCATCTGTGCTGGACGTAATCTCAGCAACAAGTCCTGTCATCATTAACTGCCTCATTGACATGCGAGGAATAGAATCCATCCTCATAATCCAAGTTGGTGTCTTGCTAATGTGTGCTGATGATAGTTTTGATGCTGTACTTTGTCACAGCCTGGCCCTCCATGTGTTTTGATGTCTGATCTCAGGAGAAAGACAAAGCAAGAAAGGTCATGCTGCATGGCCGACCTCCTAAAAACTGCCGTGAAGCCTTCACTAGGGAAGGAGATCAGGTGTTTCCCAACCGCTACTACACTTCTGAATTCAGCTTGGCTAAATACCTTGGAGGGGATATTGAGACTGAAATAAGGTAACTGATGTTGTTGTTGGCAGGTATGCAAAGATTTAAGCTGCAAAAGTAATGGGACTGTTAAATGTGAAAAGGGAACCGTTCATTGTTTTAGTAGGATTTTTTACAGTTTTGGACGGAAACTTTAGAGAGCAGTGCTGTTACAAATCTTGACTGAAATCCATTCTTTTCAAAGGCTGAAGCGAATTGTGCTATGTTCAAGGATCATGTCTGATGACACTGTTTATGACATAATACAGATATGAGAAACATTTAAGATGTTTTGCGATGAAATCTGTCTGTGTGCTCCAGTTTGTTGGAGTCAGACCTGGAGAACCAGCAGGCTCAGCTGTCCAGGTTTCAGGTTCAAGTCAACTCCGTGACCGAGGATATTGTAAGCATGGAGAACAGCCTGAACAGCACCATCATGACGCTTAAGAAGACTCAGGTCAGAACATTTTCCCCCTTTCTTCTGTGATGTGTTAATTTCCCCATTGTGGGATCAACAAAGTATTCTATTCTATTCTATTTAGAAGAACATGGGTTAATTTAATCAATTTATTCTCATTTCCTTCCCTTTTTAATCTTGTCTGCCTCACTTCCATCTCAAAAAGTGTCCAATTTGATTTTTATTGATGCATTATTGAGAGCAAAACATATTTTTTATCCTTTTATGCATTCTAGGCCTCTGTGAATGAAGTCAAATCATCAATAAACGAGCAGGAGACTGCTAGTGAGGAGCAAACTGACGACATCGCTTCCTTGGTAATCATTTAAATTTCTTAGTTTGTAGTAAGATGGATATTTCTGTATGAACCATGCTAAATGAGAAAGAATTAATGGATAAAATCACACACTGCAGGAAGAGGTCGCTCAGGAGAACCAACAGAAAATCGAGACAGAAAAGCAAGGGGTCCAAGAGGCAAAGACTGAACTCAACAAGCGTCAAAAAAAGGCAGAGGAGTCAGACTCCAATTACTCTTCTGTGAGAGACAAGATCGATCAGCTTTCAGAAGGGATGGAATCGCTGAAGGTAAAAACCTACACACACACATACACAAATTGCTCCTTTGCTCTAATTCTGTGGTCTTTCTACTAAATTTACCCCTTTTATTACACGCATTCTTGATGAAAAGGACGAGCAGCTGAAAGTGGAGGCCGAGTGCGCTAAATATGAGCGGAACCTCAAAGTTTTAGAAAACAAAGTGAAGGCTCACGAGGACAACGTCCAAGCCATGAAAAGCGACCTCTCCGAAAAGGAAGAAGAACTACAGGTAACCAGCAAGGAGAGTGTCTGCCTCAGGCATTGAACGCAGGTTGTAGGTTACGCCATAGATACGATAATGACATGCCGTGATGTGGCGACAGGAATGTGTGGCCAAAGCCACAGAGATCAGTCCGGAACGGCAGCAGGTGACCAGCAGCACCAGGAGCATTGATACAGACATCACACGGCTAAAGAAGAAGATCAATGTGTGCGAGGGCAGCCACGGAGAGCACGAGCAGGTGGTCAGGTGAGGTGCATCTCTCTTTAGACATTTAAATACATGTTTCCTCTCAACTCCAGATGCATTTTAGGAATGTCAAATTCCACACCTAGAGCACCTTAGTGGTTTCACAAGCCAGACTTTGAAATAATCAGCATTCCTTCACATAGATTTTGGGTTTTTGTCAAATAAGTTGTTAGTGCCCAATGAAATTTCTCATACTGAATGACTTCTGTCTGAAGCCAGAGAGGTTTAGGCCATTCCAAATGAATAACTGCCCTTCAACTTCATCAGGGAGTATGCCGAGGCCCTGTCTCTCTACAGAGAGAAGACCAACCAGGTGAGAGATCTGCGGAAGTTCATCGACCGTCTGGACCACATCATGTCCGACAGGCAGAACAGATACAAAGTAATGCGCAGGTAAATGACCCTCCGCCACGTCAGAGCAGGAGAAAAGACATCAGGAATGCGTACGTGCAGTGTCAAACAGACTCTCTCCTCCCGAAGGTCCCTCTCTGTCAGGTGTAAGTTGTACTTCAATAACTTCCTGATAAAGATGAACTGCTGCGGATCCATGATTTTTGATCACAACAACGAAACGCTCTCGATCTCGGTATGTGTGTTTACCATCTGTTTCTCTGTTTGCTTTGAATCATGTTTGTGCTTCATCTGTGTAGAGTCGGTCATTGTGGTATTTTTAAGAGCTCAAGCAGAGAATGACCAGACATCCTCTTGCATTTTTAAAAATCCAAATACAATTAAACAAAGCTCATAACAGCATTTCCTAAGAAGTTCAGATGCAAAGATTTGCCAATCTGATGAAGCAATGTTTTATTCACAGTAGAAATGCTGAAAGTAAAAGATTTCTTTAGAGTGCCCCTATTGTCAGACAAACCTTGTCCCGGTTCACAGGTCAAGCCTCCGGGCAAGGAGAAAGATGGTGCGTGCGACATGAGGTCGCTGTCTGGTGGCGAGCGCTCCTTCTCCACGGTGTGCTTCATGTTGTCCCTGTGGGAGATCACAGAATCCCCGTTCAGATGCCTGGACGAGTTCGACGTCTACATGGTGAGTGCACGACAGGGAGGAGGAGCACACAGAGAGGTGACGTAATGCGACTTGTGCAAAGCAAAAAAAGAAAAGGGAAAAAAAAGAAAAGAATCCCCTCTCCTGAACATAAGCTCCATCCGTTTACTCTGCAGGACATGCACAATCGGAGAATATGTCTGGATCTCCTCCTGGAGCTGTCGGAGAGGCAGCATCGGCGGCAGTTCATCTTTATCACTCCCCTGAGTACCAGGTGGGTTTTGCTCAACTGCTTTCAATCCAAATTTGTGTCTTTGTATGTCTTATGTCTTTGTAGGCAGATAATGTGTTAGAGCAAATACACCCTTCATTTTACATTTTTAGCAGTAAAAACATCAATTCTCATGGGTATAATAGTATAGGATAACAGTTCATTCTTCTCTATAAATCGAGGAAAATACATCATTTTTTAAACAAAAAACTAAATCCTGAATGGAAAGGAGCATTAGCTATAGGAAGAATGTCATATGAAAAAAAAAATCAAAAGTCAGCTTCCAAATGTGTATAAAGTTTAAGAGTGGTAGAAATATTTGACCTAAATCTTCTAGCAGAAATCCGAGTTGTCACAAGTCGGCACAAGTTAGCACACACACCATTAGCAGGAAAGACAGATGATCTCTCAGTAGACAACATGGACAGAAAATCAGCCAACAGCTCAACATTTGGGGTGCACAGACTCTCCTTCCCATTGAAATGTCCAGGATTACAGTATCTGGAATCCCCCTCACTCACCGTGAATGCTCTGTGTGCCCATAAGAGATTTGTACGATTTTTTATTTTTATTTTTCCTGAAAAACCATGCCACATTGGGGAAATCAGAAATTCTCCTCCTGGCATTCCGTCTGTGTCTTCATCAGGGATCCAAGCTTTTCCATATTCTCTGCCAGTGATCTCACACTGCCATGGTGGAGGGGAAAAATAGTCGGAGTCTTCTTTATATCCCTTTTGTTCCAGCTATGCATCCCAGACATCGCCTCTTAAACGCGTCTTTATTTGAGTTTTTTTTCCAAACAGTTATTAGGCTTTGGACTAAAAAATCTGCTCCAAAAGGTTAACAACTTTCCTGTTGCCAAGTCTATGCATTATAACCAGTGTAAAAGTTTCCATGGTCATCTTGCTGTCATTGGAAATCATCATAATGACCTTTTAATAATATTTAACTGACTTTAAATGATAACTTATCATTTATTTTTATATCAGCAGCTCAGCAAACTTTGGCCCTTCTGCTTCATGTTGTCTAATCTTGCCGTCATGAAGTCAAAGGCAGGCCGTTTCTCCCTCAGTAATGTTTGATAACCGATGGAATGATTTGCTGCCTCACAGGAATCTGCCAAAAACAGGCCTCATCAAAATCCACCACCTTCAGGATCCAGAAATAGAAGGGAACCATGCCGGAGACGGAGATGAAGGTGAAACGCCGCGTCAAAGGCCACGCCAGAGGCCGCAGCAGATGTAAAGAATGCTTGTGTGCACAGTTAATTTATATATTAGTATTATTTTTTTGTGTGTATGAGAGATTTAAGTGTTGTTTCATGTCCATATGTGTGAAAACTTGGGATTTCCTTTTATTAAGTCTTGATAGTTATGAATTAGAGGTCTGGCGTGTGATTTATTTTTTTAACCTCTACATTTTAAAGGAGAAAAATGAGGGAAGTTGTGGTTTGGAACTTGAAAACTGAATCTTTTAAGATGCTGTTTCAACTGTTTGTTTTTATTTATAGTAGAGATTGTAAATACAATACTGGAACATACTGAAACAAAAGTATTTTTTTTTAAAGAGTTTTGTTTTTTAATCTTCCCAATAGTGCTCAAAGGTGTTTTAATCTGCTGATCCTGGAGCCTCTTTTTACAAAACATACATGTGATCATTGTGTTCTTCAGTGTGTCTGAAACAGCTCTTAAGTACTGTTTAAGAGGGCTTATTTTCATCTGGAAGCTGACTCTAAACAGGGTTGAGAACTGAAACTGGGATCTTCCTGCATGTGGCCGAATTTTGAGTTCTGACACGTGTGTGCAGTTCTTTTGAAATTGGTTAAATTTCAGGGGAATTGCTTACAGACAGAAATTGATTTCTTGTTCAAATCACCAATATTTCTGTCCTTTTGACTAACTATCCATCTAAATGGCAACACGCTGCTCTTTCGGCTCTGTTTGCCAACCCACTGAGAACGATAGTGTACCCTAAAATTGAAATCCGGGAATCTTTGTAGAAATAAAGCCAGTAGTCACTACAATGTCAGGCTGGCTCAGAGGAACCCAGGCAACGAAGCATCCCAGATGCTATTATGTCTCTTTCTTCCTTGTCACACTGTTAGACCAGGTTAACCTAAAGCTTCTCCTTAGCTCTGTAAAGTTTTCCTCCATTTATGTGTGTCCCACGTGGTTCTATCGGCTCTGCATGACCGGACAGTGATGCACTGTTGTCTGAGGAAGTGAAGATCTGATTTAAGAGTCTGCTCCATGTGCAATAAAATCCCTCCAGATTGTTTGAATCATTTGAAGATGTGTATTTTAATAATTCGAAACACATAGTTTTGAACATTTCCATGGTTTATTCATGCTGTTGTTGACAAACTGCTGATGTTCTGCCAAATTTTGCTCCTGAAAGGCTTTTTTCCCCAGCATTCTTTCACTCCAAATCATGAATCCTGATATGTTTTAGGGAATATTTATTGTTTTTATAACTCATCAGAAGCTCCAAGTTAATGTCCATATTAACTTTCTTTGGAATATTTCGCTGGCCTGAAATTCCGTAATGATGCATTTGAAATGAGATTTAAGTAAAACATTAAGTTTCTTGTGTTCACGTTTTATGGAGCAATAGTCAAAACTTATGTAACAATCATATTTTTTTTCTTTTTTTTTTTTACATTCTCCATATAATTCCCATCTTTTTTTTTCTCCATTGTTTAGGGTTGTAGGTTTTATCCTTGTTTCTGCCAAAACTCCAGCCAATGTTATGATAAATTCCAAGAGGAACCCACCAGATGAAATCAATCATGTTTCAATCAGGCATTCTTACACTGTACAAACAGAGTGATGGTGAGTTAAAGGAAAAACACAACCGCTGACACCTTCAGTGAGGGTAGGAGGCATTTCGCCGGCACAGTTTGATGTGGCTGATGAGACATTTCTATCCTGATGGGAGGAGGTCTCTCCCCACCCGCGGAGCATCAGGGATTACTTTTGTTTGCAAAGCATTAAAAATGTACTGAGATGCTCTTATGTTGGTTTTTCCTTCAGTTTGTCTTCCAACTGCTTTTTTTTTTTTTTTTGTCTTTGTTCCCAGTAACTCCATCTGCCGGCCTGTGTCTTTTGAAAAAAGCCTGTTGGTGGTTTATTCACTTTTAATCACTACAGAATTCAATTTGGGTGCAACACATGCCACATGTATAAAAGAATACAGTCACTTGTATAATGACTTTCTTTTTTTATATATATATATTTAATATAAACATTGACTCGACCAAAAAAGAAAAAAAAATTCTGACATGGTGAGCGGATGGAAATTTAGAAATAATGCAGACACTGATAATGTGAGGGGTTGGTTTTCAGTTTTGATACACAGAACAACGAAAAAGCTCCTGCAACTTCCACTGCTGTAAGTGGACTACAAGCAGACTCCCAGTCCGTGCTTGCATAGCCTACAAAGGGGGAGTCGAACACTGTTGAAAGAGAATTTCTGCATTAGTGTCACACCACCGGTCAACTAGCAGCGAAACCCTCTTTCAAAGGCGTTCTTAAGCGGCTCTCCTGAGGGTCCGGCATCTTTAATGACTGCTGCAAACAGAACGCGTTAGAACATGAGATCTTTCAATAAAAAGTTTCTCCTTACAAAAAAGATTCACACCAAGGAATGCAATGTGTCCCGTAAACATATGTGAGGCTTTTTCCTCCCCTATTTTTTTTTTGTATTTTTTTTGTGTATTTTTTTGCTGCATTGGAAGTGGAGCCCCTCTCACAAGGTCCCTAGCCCCGAGAGTGAGCTCACAGCAACAGGGTCAAAAGCCGAGACTACTCGTTTTGCAGTGCTCTTCATTTCTGTAAACATGTTGATATGTACTCATTAAAGTTAGTTAAGAGTTAACTTAAGTAAATCCTTTTTTTGTAGTTTTTTTTCCGTTTTGAGTCTAAATTAAATAAGCAGCATTAGAAAGAAAGCCAATTGAGGAGTACTGTGTCTATGAAGGCTTTAATTTTGGCCTTTCCTCCTGGTTGAGCGGCATTAGCACAATGTGATCGAAAGGGAATTATGTTCCATAAATATATTTTTGCCCATCCCAGAAGTCACTGAAGCAAAACATGATACAATGTCCACGTAAAAGCTTTTCCCTTGAGATTAACCCACAACTGGAACCCGAATACCTTAAAAAAACAAAAAACTCAAGTGTCACAAAATGTGTTTTGGATGGAGGGAAGCATGCTCCCACATTACTTTAGGTAAACTAATGATCTAATGAGTCACATACTGTACAGCCCATGCAACAATACTAAATGAATTTAGCATGAGGGTTTCTCTTATAGCCACCTAGAAATGCAAAAGGTAAGAGATTATATTTTCTGACACTTAATATATGCATGCAAAGAACCTACTCTTCTTGGTTCCATCTTGTGGAAACATCTGGAACAGACAGGAGCCTTCCTATTCTCCAAGAGCTCAACAAGTCTGGATAGTAGAGACAGTTACAATTATCATAGGAATTATTGTTTTGTTACTATTATGTAAAGCATACAGTAGTTGCAGCAGTGAACACTGGGGATCCTAAATACTGCAGGAACATAATTCAATGCAGTGCTCCACTGATATACAAGCTAAGGTTGGATGAGAATGTAAAGGGTTACTGTGCACGAATCACATTTGCGTGTTTGGAGATAGAAATCTATGATGTCGTATAGCTATTTTCAAAATTATTCTGCATTTGACATTCTCATGCATACAACCACAAGAAGCAAGTCCATTGAAAAATAGTCCAAGCATTGTTTTGTTTTGTTTTTCCTGTGGAAATGGCAGAGAACCTAATGAGACATTAAAACGTGTGCTGCAGTCCAGAGTGTGTGGATACAGATGGGGAGAGGAGCGAGCGGGGACGGCTCACTTCTGCATGTCACACTGCAACAGGAGCACGATGGACGGGTCGCTCTTCGCCGCCTCTTTGAACTCCTCCAACGAGATTTGGTCGTCGTTGTTCTTATCCATTTTGCTGAAGATCTTGTCCACCCTCTGCTCTGGTGTCAGGCCGTCCTCGTTCATCTTCATCATGATCACAGTGCCCACCATTTTGTAGATAGCCTGTGGGTGAGGAGTGGTGAGAAAATGAGCCGGAAGGGTGGTTTGTTATCTAATACAGTGAAGCCGACGTGTCCCATCAAAGATGATGTTAACAAGAGCTGTTCATAGCCTAAATAGGCCAACCACACAGATCTAAACGTCTGTAAGGACACTGAAATGTTCCACATGCTTGTGCTGCTAATCATCTGCAGAAATATAACATCTGAGCATGGTGTTGCATTTATTCCAACTTAACTTGTAAAAGTGCATGCAGATGAACTAATTAGATCACAAAACACAGCTGTGTTTTTACATCAGGTCGCAAAAATGCCTATGGTAAAGTTGAAACAGAAATCGAGTGATTTACTAATCATTCCAGACTCACTTATGATTAGTAATAACACAAAGACAACTGAAAGGGCCTGAATTTGGGGTCTGTATTGCTGAAGTTACGACAAGTGCAATTGTACTTTTCAGTCAGAAGCATTTCATAAGCATTTAAAACAAATGTGTTTTCGAGTTTTAAACTTACTTAGTATAGAGCTGCAGATGTGCATTAGTTTAGACCTCCTGTGCCATCCTTTTTGTATCCAGATGTGTACAGTTTCAGGTAATTGGTTTAAAGGCAGGACTCAGACTCTTTAACAACCCTGTACTCTGTTTACTCTTTTTTGCAACACCAGGAAAATGTTGTCTGGCATTGTCTCACTGACATAAATTAGTTCCTATAAAAAAAGTCTCGATGCTAACAGATATTGGTGCAACACCTGTATATATTCAGTGTTATTAGTATTCCTCAGCGTTAATGCCCCAATAATGTTTTTATATAATTTAATGTGACAAAACACAAGTAAAACATTTTGGCTGGCTCTGTTTTTTTCTTTATGGACTGGAAGTCAGGAGACCTGTATCCAACCGAACGTGAACTGATGAACAGCTCTTGGGTTCCTCCCAGCACATCTTACAGTTCCCTTGGAATGGAGCGTGTCCTGTCTCCTGGGGTGGGGAATCTTACTTAACATGGCTGAATACCTTCTACAGTCCACTTCACAGGGAACTACTGGGCAAACAGACAGCACCCCTGACATTTTCATTTTATCAACACACCCAGACGTGTAGCCCGAACATTTCATGAATAATTGAAATATCTCTATTAATAAGGACATATTTAGTGCTCGGTGTATGTTCTCATAGACCTGCGTGGCTACAGCCGTGGCTACAGAGGTTAAACACTTGTGATGTAACGTTGGGATCAAACTCACACCATATTTATCCCAGCAGAAATGATCAGTATGCTCTGATGTCACTGACAAATATCACATTCACTATATGGATTGTGTTCCCAGATATAGTATTGTGCAATTCAACACTGCTGCATTTTTTGTAATCATGAAGCTGTGTGTGTTTTTGCTGCACTGCAGGTATGCAAGCAACTGATAAAAAAATAGATAAAAAAGAGAGACTGAACTAGTCCCCTGATGAATGAGGGCTTAATGACTTCATAATCCCTCACCTCGATTATCTCCAGCATCTCCACTCTGGTGATTTTTCCATCACCATCCAGGTCATACATGTTGAAAGCCCAGTTGAGTTTCTGCTCAAAACTGCCGCGGGAAGTGATGGACAGGGCGCAGATGAACTCTCGGAAATCAATGGTCCCGTCTCCGTTTTTGTCGAAGGTTCTGAAGGCGTGCTGTGCAAACTTCGAGGCGTCGCCGTACGGGAAGAACTGCAAACGCGGAGGAGAGGGGTTCGGTAATTCGGCGGGCCTCGGCCTGTGGCGCGGCATTAGCCTGATTAAATGTTCAGACGGATAACCCACGGAGGAGAGCGTGGCTGACACAAACCTTCACATAAAGCTGCTGGAACTCGTCCAGGTTCAGCCTGCCGGTGGGGCAGTCCTTCAGGAAGCCTTTGTACCACTGCTTCAGCTCGTGTTCATTGAACTCCGTGTTCTTCACCAAATCCTCCATCACCTCGGGAGTCAGCTTGCTGTTTTGCTTCCCCATGATTCCTGTGATGCGAGAACATGTGAATAATGCATTTATGCACGCTTGAATGATGAAGAACCCAACCCAAACCATTCCCCCCCCCTCCCCATTGCGTCTGCTTCAAACGCAAGTGCAAAAAACAGATTGTTTTTTTTCTCCCGTTGTTGTTATTTTTTTCTTCGTTATCATCTTGGACGGCATTATATATTTCCCAGATTGCTCGCGCTCTATTTCTGTCGCCCCCTCAGCCTGTCGGTGCCTGCCGTTGGCCCCGGGTAGCGCTGACCTGGATCGCCACCGCCAAAGCGGATCCAGGTTGTCAAAACGTTCGATGGCTGCTATCGGGTTTCCCCCGACAAACGCCGTCCCGTGACATGACAACAACAACAACAACAACAACAACCACGAAGCCCGCGCCTGCCTCCACAAAAGATGCTGCTGCAGTGAGGCCACACAGCTGAGTGAGGGCAGCACGCCGGAGCCCACAGCAGGCCGGCTGTAATCTGGATCACTGGGGAATGTAGCTTATGATTAAGTGGTCTGTAAGTAAAAACAGCTGTGGAAAGGAAACAGTCCCCACCAGCCTGGATTAATTCGCCGTCCACATTAAAGGCACTCGGGGACCGGTGATGACTTAGGCAGCCTCTCAGAAGCCTCGCATTCATCAATTATTGATTCATGATGTGGCAAATGACATAAGGTGGCCAAGAATAGGCCGCCCCCGGCCCCACCCCAAAATATTATATTCTAAACCAGCTGGAAGCCGGATAGGATTTGTTTATGGGAATGCAGAGTCATTGAAGGGATGTCCACAACTTGAGAAACAGCGTATGGTCCACATCTCTGCAGCAGCGTGGCGGTAAAGGCTGGACAGCTCCACCACAGACAGCACTGCATTGGCTCGGGCCTTCCACACAACAACCCTGCACAAATGTGCGCTGCAGCCCAAATCGGTGCAAAGCAGCGCGTTTAAAGCCCCATCCCCCGGTGTGTGCAATGGACCCAAGACGGCGGAACATCTCGTCGGCTGACTCCCCAAAAAAAAAAAAAAAAAGACAGCCGTGAATGACCTTGAGGACAAACATTTTTTTTCCCCCCTTCCTCCTCAGGAAGATGACAAAACAGTTAGACGGAGCGCCGCGCGCTCACAGAACGGCCTGACATCACGCGATTGCGGCGTTTTTACTGAAATATCCGCCACATATGGCGCAGGCCTCAGGTGCGAAAGGCACGAAAAGGAGGCAGGAGAGGCTGCTTTGTTGCACGCTGTGGGCAATGACAAATGAGTTAATGCTATTAAAGCTAACCACCACCTGAGAGAAGGGAGAGGGAGACGCTGCTGCATTCCGATGGAAACGACGCAGTGAGAGCGTTTTGGGATGTGACTCCCCTCCATCTATAGGGAAATCTCTCCCTGCGCATCGGGGCGGCAAAATGACAGAATGTGACAAGCACACACATCTATTTGTAAAAACATATATATATAGGCTATATGTGTATGAAAATCAAACAAGACAGCCCCCTCGGTGCTTCCACGGAGCCAGGCTGGAGGCGTTTTTAAAGGCCAATTAATTCATGACCATTTGTTATTTTAAAAAAAAAATCCTCCCTGGCTTATTTCTGTTTTCTCTGGATGTTTCCAGGCAAAACACACAGTCTACATTTTTAGGGATGCGCAGGTGCCACAGAGACAGCCTTCTCCTTCATCCCCATTCATTCATTCATACAGATGGAAAAAATATGGAACATAATGCGCTCACGCAACATAAGCCATTCACCGCTGGAAGCATGCACGATCCGGGATGTCACGGGGGGGGAAGAAAACACTCAAAAAACGACATGCACATGTGCGGGGCATTCGCCTCTTACCTGAATACGGCCAATATCTGGAGATTCTCTAGCGGAATAAAGCGGCTCTGGCTTCTGCAAAGTACAGAAAAACCCCCCCTTTTGGAAACGTTCGCCCAAAAGGGATTATTCTAAACACCGTTCGCCCTCCTTCGCAAACACACACGGACACAAACACACGCGCGCGCGCCCCGCTTAATGAAATGTCTCGATTTTCCCGACGTTATTCCAGATGAGGCGCAGCAGGGACTGATCCCACGCCAGTCTTTGCTTGTGCGACTACAGGAGCGCGGCGTCACCCGTGTGCATCACAGCCTGGTCATGAGCTCTCCGTGGCGCTGCCGCTCCGTTTGGCTCCGGCTGGATCCTGTCACGTTCTCACCCTAAACCTTCAGCACGATGAGGATGAGGATGGTGAAGACGGGAACAAGTTGAATTGTGCTCCGTATAGGTGACCAGTGACCAGTGAGAAAGATGGTTTATCTCGTGCACGTTTTCCGTCCAAAGACTCGAGAAACCAACCTGGAAAATGCTGGATTCTCAAAAAACAAGACAAGATCTATGGACCCCTTGTCGACAGAGCTCATGGGTGTAGTTTTCCTTATACCTTATTTAGGATTTTGGATATTTTAAAAGGTGAATAAACGATTTCCTTAGAGTGGAAAAGCTGTTTCTAGACAGATTTAATCGGATACTTGACTGTAAATGGATCCAGTTTTTAAGTCCATCAGTTCCTCCAATTGGCCTCCAAAACAAAAGAAATCATGGAAAAAATAAGTAAAATTAAATAAAAAAAATATTTATCAACCTAATCCTGAAAATAGACACTGAAAATGTTAAAGTACATCTTTTCTTATTGTGAATCGTTTCCCACCAAAATAGTTACTCCTTCATGTGGTTCAAGATCAGAATTCTTTCAAAGTTTATGCTATCAGGAATCAAACAATCCTTCTGACAAAAATGACTCAATGGCTCATTCATATAAGGTGTCACATCCTGTATTTATCTTTCAGCTTAGGGTTCCTTTAGTGGTGTGGAAACTAATTGAGGTCAGAACATGGGCTTTACTTTTTAACCCCAACCAGACAGCAGTTGACAGTAGCATTGTAGATAGAAGGTATTTGAGCTCTGTTAAAGTAATGTTTTACAAAATTTCTTTATTTAACTGCTGCTATGCAAATTAAGCCCAAAAATGTTTTAAAAAAAGAGAATACATTAATGTTGTAAAAAAAATAGCTGGTGCAGTATCTGATGGTCAAACTTACTTCCTAAAGCCAGCAGTTGTGCCATGGATAATTGCAGCATCTACATCCACTTCCCTGAAAGGAGGACTTTTGACCTGCATTTAAGCCAGCTATAATGTTTTACGAGATATGTATATCTGGCACAAACACTTTATTTAGCACAGTTACACAGATTTGACAAAAGGGGAAATGGCAGAAACCTTTGACACTATTTGGCTATGTTAATCTGCCTTTAGTTAAAAAACTTGTGAGGTGCACCTGTTTTTTGATTAATGGGGACCCTCGAGAGCCCCAAAAGAAACCCTGAAGGCTCCCTGGACACTTGTTTGAGTGCCATAAAAATAGGCCACCTTTGTTAATTTTATGTGTGTTGAAGAACAGATGAAGCTCCGAGCCTAAACTATTCTTGGAATTGTGAACCCAAATCCAAGTCAGGATCCATTCTGGAAGCTACGAATGAATGGATGCAGACACAGTCACCTTGAAAACCCCCCAAAACTGTCAGACACAATCAATACTTAGTTTCTTAATTTAATGCGCACACAAAGAACAGCATACATAGAAGATCCCCTTTAGATCCCACAAACACAAATGTGAACATATAAATACAACAATAACGTTAAGCACCAGTGTAGAGTACTAATTCAATGCAGCTTCCTGTAGAACTCTTATTCAGAGGGATTGTTCAAATGAAACACCTCGGGTTGATCTCACTAGGCATGGCTTACATAGAAATTGGTCACAGCAGCATTCATTTACAAAGGCTAACTGATTTAAAAGAATGCATTCAGTGCACCAAAAGTTGTACACAAACATAATACTGTTGCATACACCCACTGACATTATCTTTAAGGTTTTCTTAGTGTAGAATTCAAGTGTTTCTTGTGTTTTGACAGCTTCTGTATCAACACTGACGCTCTATCAAAAAAAGAAAAAAAAAAGAATATACCATTAGAAAACAAGTCTTTGTAAGAGTTTACAAGAACGTGGAGATAACTGGCACAACCTTGCATATTGAAACATAGATATACCACGTATACAATGCTTTTAACTTTATATACTGTTTTCCATACGAGAGAACTGCCGCCTATGTAAGCTATTGTTCTGTTTTTTTATTTTATATATTGTCAGTAATATCAGAATTATGCTTAAAAAAACAATGAGAAATCCAGTGGGAACAACTTCTTAATTGTTTTACTCAGAATGTGAAAAAATAGTATCAAAATAATCCACTAAATTTCTCACTCAAAAACAAAGCTGTATTCAATGCACCTTTTCGACCAAGATATGTTTTCAGCTTGTTGAAAATGAGCAAACAAGATCAAATGGTCGCACTGAAAGTGTGTGCTGTGTTCGTTTGGACGTGAGAAAAAATCATTTTCTCATTACAGTGTGATTTGTGTGAAAAAAGGTTGTGTTTCTGAATCTCATGGTTGTAACGTAGCACAAAAAAATGAGAGCATGACAAAGAGAAAAGGGTGAATTTGTGATTATCTTTATATGAGGAAGATGCTTTGGTCTGTGAGCCAAAGGGAAGAGAGGAAGGTCTCCAAGTATTGGGTGGGTTGCACTAGTTTTTCTGGTAATTTGTCTGATTTAGTTGAGTATCAAGGCATGATCTAACGAACAAGTTGTACAATTAGAAAGAAAATATCTCTGGAAGTCTCAGCTTCAAGGAAAACTCTGCCAAAAAATGTTTGTTGTTTACCTCAGTTTGAGCATTGAGCTGGATCTTCTTGATGTTTTAAAATCCATTAGCTGTGGACATTTGCCAGGAAGACTGATAATATACTGTAACATGTGCCAAGTTAAATATTGATTTGTTTCCTTTATTTTGTCATAGTTAAATTAAGAGCAAAGACGGAGTTGATTGAAACAAAACCTGTGTTTGACTTCACCTCTGGTATCCTAATTTATTTGACACAACTCTTGACAATGGAGACTTTCTTCCCATAGGCTCTAAGACCATGGGACCCCCCAAAAAACGCCTTTTAAATCCTCTGCTCCAGACTACGCTTTCAGAACTTTGTCTGCTTTAGCTTGTCGATGTGGAAGCAAAGCTTCAGGGCTGGCCCCAGCTTCAGTCCGAGGTACTTCATGATCATGTCGCTCTTCAGGAGTAACAAAGCGTTTCCGTCTATTTCCTGGTTGGGGGATGGGGAAAGAGTTCATGTCAGAATTAAGGCTACAGCCCCTGTAAATCAGCAGCGTAAAGAGGCCGCACGGCAAGAAAACATCCCACTTACGTGTTTCCTGAAGACGTCGGCGTGAGGGCCGAGAGCGTGGGGATCTGCGTCCCTGATGAACCACACAACGTCCTCCACAGACCACGTGGCTGGGTCCTTATTGGGTGGCGCCTTGGACTCCTGGGATTCTGGGGTTGAATTGTAACCCGCTGTGAGAAGGAAAGGGGACTTCTACTGTCGAACTTATGGGGGGTAAAGTAACTGTGATGGTGGTTTTGTTCTGTGGCGAGCCTCACCTGTCCTGTTGCCCTCTGGGAACGTGTTTGGGCTGGTGGCTGACTGCCGGCACATGCTCACCGAGGCCGAGCCGCTGGAGAACTGCTGGGAGGAACGGAACCCGTAGGAGGACTGTGGCGTGTAGGACGAGCTTATGGAGCCGAAAGCCGAGTCGCCCGGGTCCACGGAGTAGCGCTTGCCATCTGACTGGTCCACGTGGTAGTCCTCGGTCATAGATGCTTCGGCTACGGACGAAATGGAGGTTTTCTGCCAAAGGCCACATCTATGTAGATCAGACGCTTCTGCTCACAACCGTGCAACTCACCATCTGACTGGTAGGAGCCACCGCTGTGCTGGGTAATGGGCTGATCACTGAAGAGGTTCTCACAGTGCAGGCTGCGGCAGAGCTTCTTCAGGAAGCGCAGCACATAGTCGATGCTGTTCACCACAGGGAGGCTCAGAAGGTGCTGCTTCCCATCAAATGTGGCTGGAAGAGCAAAACAGACCGTGCATTTTCTTGCTAATCGAGTCTTTAACCTTTTTCTAACGGCAGTTCTTTTGCCAATCCCAACCGGGGGGGATAATTTAACACAGAGCAAAGCCTGGGTGAGGACCACACCTGATATTTTCTCTCCTCCATAGCCCTGCGTGAGGAGCGTGAAGACTGTTTTCTGCTGGTAGGCGCTGTCGATGCAGCCTTGGACGGCCTGCTGCAGCACCACAGAGGGCCTGTCGGGTCCAAAGTGGTCGGGAAGCTGCTGGATCTTCTTCCTGTCCAGGTTGGGGCCTGTGTTGGCCTGCTTGTTAATGTAGATACAGACTGAAAGAGGGCAAACACAGCAGTGAAATTGGAGGAAAAAACGACAACTGGAGCCTCGTAATACCTTTGGCATTGAATGTTGTGCCCAGTCCATCAGAGAAAAGGGATCATCCACTTAGTGTTTTCCTGGAGTTTAGAGTGGTTAGTACCTGTGAGCACCTGAGGCGTGGCAGAGTGGGGGATGGTGGCTGCATCCTGAGGAATGGAGCTCATGTCAGGTTCGGGGGTGCTGCTTGGTGGAGAGATGGCCAGCGGTGTCATCACCATCCTGGGTTTAAGCTGTAGTGGATTTATGTGTATCATTTATACTGAATCAAGTAAGAAGGAAGACGTATATTGCAAATGGATGCATTTAAACATCCATACGAATGTAGGAAAATACATTGTTATTCTATATTTCTCAAATGAATGAAAGAATGATGGAATCGCCTTTGTTTTAACGTGTGTGAACTCTCTCTGTTACACCAGGGTCCCACAAAATCAGAAAGGCACAGAACCTGTGAGTGTCTCTGTGCACATGTGCATTTTTAAACAAACTGCGCCCACACAGCACACCTCCACCCCCGTTTCTTCCCCATCTGGCTGACCTTGAAGCCCGGCTTTCTCCCCCTCTTCTTGGGCACTTTGAGCGGAGGCAGCGAGTCAGGGTAACGACTTGGAAAATCCATCTTGGCCACATTGCGGAGCGGGGGTCTCCCTCTCTTCCTGCCTGGTATCTTCCCCGACTGGCTGGGAATGAAGGAGGGAGCCACTGCAGCTGATTGCATTTCGCCGTTGTTGCTGTCTGATTTCTGTGCCGTTGCAGCAGGTACACTCATTTGGAGCTGGAAACAAAGGGAACAACTCAGCTCGTGGGGAACACATTAAAACCTGCACTTTACTTGGACGTTAACCCACACGTCAGCCTCCTACACTTTGCTGCACTTTGCATGCACCCTCCTCAGCGGCTACACACCAGAGAGCAGCATTAGCATCAATTTAGAGCAGAGACAGAGGAAGCAGAGTAGACTGGACAGGAAAGGTGTGTGACAGCAGCATCTGAGCACTAGGAGACGGTACAATCTGAGCCCAGCATTATTGTTAGAGGGGCAGCATTTAGCGCAGCACCACAAGAACGAAACAACACAAAAGGGAGCAATAATCTGTGTGGGGGGGGGAAACAGCACCTCCATCCAGCTCTGATAACACACCATAAACCTGAAAGAGAGACAGGGGTAGATATTACCTGCTGGCTTCTGCTGTGAAAACCCAAAGCCAAGACTTTTTGATCGCGGAAGCCTAAAGGCTACTACGGAGCTTAATCCTTAACAATGAATGAAAAGCCATCTTTCTTTTGCTGGATGCGACGTTTTCCTCGTCCCGCTTTTGATGAACACAGTGCTGCTGCTGCTGCTGCTGCTCGGCACACAGGCTGCAGACATCTCATTAGACTAATGCATTCAGCAGTGGCAGAGGGAGGGGGAAATTGACTTCACCATGGCTACCCAGCTATGAATTACCATTATGACAGGTTCAACCCCGATCCTTAATAATCATGTTTAAAAAAAGAAGCAGCACTGAATATTGTACACTTTCCTTGCAGCAGAATGACTAGCCAGAAGCGTGCATCTGCAGTTCATTTCTGTTAAATCCTCTATATTTTAGGAGGATTTGTAAAAAGACAGGAAATGTAAACAAACAATAACTGATTGCGGGCTGTACTCACCATCCAAAGCAGATGTGGAAACTCGGAGTGTCCTCGTGTTCTGTGCTGTAGCTCTGGTCACCAATAGTGGAGCAAGGGTTTAAAATCAAGGCAGATTCCACTGTATTATTCTGTGTGTGTGTGTGTGTGTGTGTGTGTGTACAACAGACAGAGACAGACAGTGAGCGAGTGACAGTGTGTGCTTCTGTGTGCATTGAAGAGAAAGGGAGGGTGCAGGGCTCCTCTGTTGTCATGGCAACAAGCCCATAAGCCGTATAACACCCTGACAGTTGTGTGCCATGTTTTGTTTGCAACTCTGGCTCAATGCTGCTGTGGAGGCGCAATTTCTATTCCTTATTTTCAGGAGAAACTCGTGTTATTTGAATTTTGTCTCCATGTTTTAGTTGCTCTGTGGTAGTGTTGTATGTCATGATTGACACATTCAGAGCATCGGTGAGTAGTCACAAATTGTCAAGCGTATTGTATCTGCAACAGCTTTACCTCTCATAACATAGTTATTGTGTTTTATCTGATTTGGATTTTTTGGGGGGAAACATTTGTTAATTTCTGCTTTGAACACATTAAGAACAAGTGGTTTTCTTCATTCTTACATATATCATTGGAAATTGGTGTGTCTCTATATCTTTAAAACAGCACATGCGATTAAGCAGTTATTCTGCTGTTTTGCAAAGAAAAACTGTCCATTTGAGAAGAGAAATAGGCTAATATGAATTATTCAGACTTTTCTGCATGTGGATTTCTTATATGCGTTTTGAATGTCAAGCAGTTCTGATGTACATTTGGCATTGTTTCTCAAACCTAAAAGATCTTGTTTTCCCCATCAATCAATATAAACCCCGAAGATAATATTGAGAGAAATCAAAGACTAATTTAGCATATTTGTGTGGTTTTGTTTTTTACTCAGGTGAAATTGATTACTATGTTTTGCTTAATTCTCTACTTCATATAAATTTTTTTTATTTTCAAAATGTGTACATTCTTTAAAGCCTTAAATGTTTTACTCTCACTGTAATCCTTCTTAACTATAATCATGAAACGATGAAACACTATTATTTTAAAAAATTCTGTCACAAAGCACTTTTTGTCGCCCCCTGCTGGTTGAAGCCCAAACAAGCTTCCGTTTCAAAATCTTTGTCAATAAAGTTTCATTGACAAACTTTAAAACCAAGATGGCGGCGTGCTTACCGCTGTCTGTAAAGATGTCACCCTCAGCTTTAGTGGGTTTTAGGTTTCTTTTTAAGGAGCAGTTCTGTTCCCGACAGCTGTTAAAGTCTTTGACAGAGTTCTGCAGACGAGGTGAGACTGTTGTGTGGCACTTTGAAGTGTTTCTTCTAGTAATTTTACCTTTGAATTTCTATCCAAGACAGGAACTACTCTCATTCACAGTGCTAGTTTACTTTATATACGTCAATATGTTCATGTGTACGGTATATTAATGAGATTTATTTTTATTCAAACTTACCTTGTTTTATTTATAGACCGGTTGAATTTGTTGTCAATCCGGTTTCCTCTAATCTCTAGTGTTTTCTCTTGAAAATGTCTGGCTATTAGAAGTAGAACTCGGTTTTATCATGGTCTAAAAGCTACTGACGTGCCTTGACTGTGTGTCGGTTGGGTGTGTGAGGTTATTCGGTGACAGCCAGGGAGGCGGTGGAGGAAATCGGGGTCAGCGGCACCGGGTTCAGCGGTCCTCTGGAGCACTACAGCGGGATGGTCAGAGACGGGAGCATGCGGGAGGATGAGCATCAGAAGTCAGTGCTGCAGACACTGGACCAGCTGCACAAAACGCTGAGAGGATACAGCAACACACCCACTTCCATCTTCTCCAGGGTAAAGCAATAGGCCTGCTGACGGCTGATTATTTCCTTCTGCTTGTAAAAGTTGTGAGAATGAGGTTCTCTATCTTTTACAACATAAGTGCGCAAACTGCTTTGAGATACTTTTGTTTACCTCAAATGTTTTTCATTCGTATATTTTCTATGCTCCCTTTGTCATTAGTTACCATTTTAGTAGCACGAAACTATTCCTTTTTTTCCACATCAGATGAAGCTTTTAAAGTTTAAATATTCCACAAATTCCAATACTTTTTTGTCATACAAACCACAATTTTGTGACTATGAACATAAGAAGGCAAAGGGTTGCCATTTAAAGCCACTCGAGGGGAAATCTGTGAACCTCAAACTCCCCCATCAGAGGGTTGCTTTTCTATTCTGGACCACAAACAAATTCCTCAAGTTGGCTGTATCTTTACAGGGTTTTTGGACAGCGGTGTGACACCCCGTACATGTAAGGGGAAACCAAAGGGCACAGCACTTTTGTACACCTCACTTACAGTTAAATAGGCCACAAAAACTGGAGCTATAAGCGGTCGAACATTTTAATTTGTCATCTATTTTTCTTTTTTCCCCCATTTTTTTTAACGAACAATATCATAGGTTTGATGTATGCTGATTTTCCTGGGAATGTCTTAAAACTGTGTGAAATTCTGAAATGTAGGGACCCAGCTATGTTACAGAGAAGTTTATCTTTGAATTTCTAACTTCCGATTGCTCTGAACGCAGTATCAATGCGCTGTGGAAACTGTGATGTGTTTAGTGTAAATGCAGCTGTTCCTCCTTTGCAGATCGCAGTGTGTTCATCCTGTAAAGGTTTGTCAAAGTCCCTGCTGTTTGAACTTGGATGTGGGCCTTTTACACGATCCTGCACCGAAACGTCTCAAAGATATATTGGACAAACGTGTTTTCTTTTTTTTCTTTCTTTCTTTTTTATAATTTACTGTTGTGTTCTTCACATTGCATTTACATATACTTCGGTTGGAAAGAAAAATGAGCTGTCACTGTCACAAGGGGATGGGTGTTGCACTGGAAGGTCACAGGTGCTATTTCACAAGCAAAGGGTTTTTGTTTCACTCGTGTTTTCCCTTCACATGAAAAAACTCTGCAGTTACACTTAGAGATTTTTAGTGTATCATGTCTAAGGTTGGTGATTAAAATGTAGAATAAGGATTTTTCTAAGAAATCTCAACATACCGCACACAAACTCTTCACTGTTCCTGAGCATTGATTGAAGTTGTCTCTGGCAGAAATCCATTTGGTTTTATTTCTCTAAAAAGAAAAACAGATTGTATCTTAATCTGTTGATGAGACATATGTACGCACTACATTCTTTGTTAAACTGATTCCTCGTTATCTTTTTGTTAATTTATCTTCTCTGTTTCCTTTAGTTTTTTACTAAACCGAAGCCCCCGAAAGGCTACTACATCTACGGTGATGTTGGTAAGACGAAAAGCCAACAGTTCTATTCTTAATTGAACGTTTTTTGGTTTGGTTAACTTCCTGACTCTGATTTCTGGGGTTTTGATTATTTTTTTCAGGAACAGGAAAAACTATGGTGATGGACTTATTTTACTCACATGTGGAGACGGAGAAGAAAAAGAGGGTCCATTTCCACGGCTTTATGCTGGACGTGCATAAAAGTAAGCTTACTTTTCTGTCTGGTTTCAATCTTTGGACCAAAGGAGTTCATGGAGTTATTCCTTTTGCTTCTCAGGGATCCACCGGCTGAAGCAGAGTATGCCCAAAAGGAAGGCGGGGAAAATGGCCAAGTCATACGACCCCATCGCTCCAGTTGCAGAGGAGATCAGTGAGGAGGCTTGTCTGTTGTGCTTTGATGAGTTCCAGGTAGCTGAAATTATTCTTTAAAGCAGCGGTTCCAGTTAATCTTTAGGCTGATCTGTATCTGCTTCTGGTTTTAGGTCACAGACATCGCAGACGCCATGATTCTTAAACAGCTCTTTGAGAATCTCTTCCTGAACGGTGTGGTCGTCGTGGCTACTTCTAATCGTCCCCCTGAAGGTAATCAGTCAGCGCTTCTCCTTTGCGTATCTGTGGGACCGCCGCCTGTCTATGAGTCAAATAGAGCTCATACCATTGAATCAAAAGCAAATATTTATAGACTTCTGTTCTCTTTCCCAAGACTTGTATAAAAACGGACTGCAGAGGGTCAACTTTGTGCCTTTTATCGCCGTGTTGCAGGTGAGAAGGTAACCCGAGTTCACCCTTGCTTCCACTTCATTAAACAGGCACACATAAATGTAAAACAACTGTTTGCCCCCTCTTGCAGAAATACTGCCAAACCCTTCGCCTGGACTCCGGGATCGACTACCGCAGACGGAACAGACCCTCCGCTGGGAAGCTCTACTTTCTGTAAGAGCTCTATGTTTTAAGTTTCAGCCGCTAAACTGCGTTAAAGCAGACGCTGTCTCTGTTAAACGTCTCCCCTCTCGCTTGAACGGCAGCTCCGGCGAGCCCGACGTGGAGGCAACGCTGGATAAGATGTTTGACGAGCTGGCTTTCAAGCAGAATGACAGTAAGGGCCGCTTATTACAGCTGCCCGTCTCATGTCTGTATCGTCCATCCTCACGCGGGTTGTTTGTCTGCAGTTACGCGACCGAGAGTTATGAACGTTCACAACAGGAAAGTCCGTCTGAACAAAGCCTGCGGGACCATCGCAGACTGTACGTTTGAGGAGCTCTGTGACAGAGTAAGTGAGCCTGAGGACTGTTTGGTGTTACAGTGATATCAGTTTTTGCATTACTTTAGTTGTTTTTGTACTATTTTATGTCACGAATCAAGTTTTTTTTTTTTATTTGCTTGTCGCTTGTGTAATATTAAGGTTGCAAACCTATACCCCCTTTTTGTTTTTTTGTTTTTTCAGGTAAAACTTGTATTAAAAGTAATAAGAAAACAAAATACTGTCATTCTTGACATTCAAAGTAAGAAAAATTAAAAAGTTTGTAGATGGGAAGGTCAGTAGGGAGATGTTGTGGAAACTTGAAAGCCGTCTCCTCCAGCACAAAATGTGTATGTGTACTGAAAAACAAGCATGACTAAAGTCAGATTTGACATTTAAACGTGAAACTTTAATCCAACAACTGGAAACCCCTGCTCTGTGACTCTTTCAGCCTTTGGGTGCCAGCGACTACCTGGAGATGTCGCGGCTGTTCGACACCCTCTTCATTCGACACATTCCTCTGCTGACGCTCAACAAGAAAACCCAGGCCCGGCGGCTCATCACGCTGGTGGACGCGCTCTATGACCACAAGGTGCCCCGCCTGCGCCCGTCTGCCAGCGCGTCAGACCCCCCCCCGCCAGCCGATCTAATGGCAGCGTCTGCTCCGGTTCCAGGTGCGGGTGGTGATTCTGGCAGAGAGACCCCTGGAGGAGATTTTCGTACAGGACGGGGATCACGGCCACGACGAGAGCCACATCCTGATGGACGATCTGGGGCTGAAAAGGGTGAGGATCTTGCTTTCAGGGCAAAGCACGTAGCTGAGTGCAGGTCAGAAGTGTGATCACTGGTGGCAGCAGAAGCCACACGGTCATCCCGCCGTCGCCCACAGCTGCAGAACATCTGCATTTGGGATTATTTAGGCTCGTATGAAAGCAGGTGAGGAGATCACACACGAGGAGCCGATGCCTCCAAAAAAGATGTTCTAAGAGCAGAGCAGATGAAATGAATTTGTTCATGGGTTCTTTCTAATGGGATCCGCTTGTTTTGGTTTCTCAATTTAGTTTCTTCAAAAGAAGTGGAAAAAATCTTAATTATGACCGACTGAACATTCGGCCCCTGGACAAGAAGCAAAGATCCATTATCTTAATGGAAATAAATGCATCCTTAGGCTGTGTTTAAAATGACTATCCAGAAAGCTAATGTCATCCCTGACATGAGGAAATAACCCAATCCAAACATAGGATTACCTCTATTTACTCAAATGATAGAAGAAAGCCTGGATGAAGCGTGCACACAGGCGAAACATTTCTATCTGTAGAGGGAATAGGTTTGTGGAATGCCCTGCTCCAGCAGCCGGATCAAAGAGATTTGAAGTGTCGAAGGGTTTGTTGTCAATGCAGTCATCCTAAAGAACTCAACCGAGTTGAAACTCCTCATTTGAAGCCGTGCTCTTTACCACAGAGACCAGGCCCCCGCGTGTCTGAGTAAGCTCTTCACGTTTTCCACCCCACAGGACGAAGCCAGCAGCCTGTCCATCTTCAGCGGAGAAGAGGAGCGGTTTGCCTTCCAGAGGACAGTCTCCCGCCTGACTGAGATGCAAACGGAGGAGTACTGGTTGGAGGGGGACAGAAGCCTAAAAGCGCGGGCGTAACGCCGGGAGAAAAAGGCCGCCACCTTACTCCACGGACTCTATCACTACCTGCCAAAAGCTACTCAAATCAACATTGGGACTCTCTCCTCCAGCAGAGTGCCTGCAAACGTTGCACAGAGGGTATTTATTGGAATCTGAGGATCATTTTATTGCAACACTGCACTTTATGCATGGGTTATAAAATGAAGTTTAGGCTTGTACATTGCTTTTAAGTCAGTGTCATAACCAGGTCCATGTTGTTTTGTATCTCTAGCAGCTGGACACGTTTTTTTAAATCGGAATCCAAGAAGGTTTATACAGAGATTTTTAAGGGATATTTTAATCTGAACTGGGATAAATTCTGGTGTTTATTCGAATCGTTTATCCTAATGAGATGACCAATTCTACCGATGCCGCCTGGGAAATTGTTGGCAGAGACCAAGTAATCAAATCTGGTTCAGTTCATCCGTTTTGTTTTTCTAAAAATGGGAAACATAAACGTAGATGATTATATCTTTGTTTCATGTGACTTTATCTGTCGATATGAGGGGCACACTTGTTTAATTGGTGGCCTGTTTAGATTAATATTCAATTGAATCAAAGAAACTAACACTTAAAGTAATATCGTCTCTTTAAAAATGATGCTATTACAAGACGGCCAAATCAGAGAATGATTGGAAGAATGAACCATTTGGCTCTTCTTCGAGGGAAACAAGGCACTGGACAGCTCAGCAAAACCTAAAGGACTGGAAAACCACACAGAACTATGTAAGCGGATGATCAGAGAAGAACCAAAAAAACAGATTTAACGCATCCAGACAAGAACGCTCCTAAAAATAAAGGTCATCTGAAAAACTGCCGCCCACTGTGAAATGCAACGTGTCATTTGTTAAACACGGGGGTGGTAGTGTTATGGCGCGGGTGCGTTCATCTTCCACCAGATTTGGGTCACTGGTGTTTGTAGAGGATAAGTCTGCTGACAGATGAAATCTGAGGTGCACAGACTGACGCTTCCTGCTCAGATTCAGAGAAACGCAAAACTGATAGGATCTCTTTCTTTTTGTTTTTCCACAGTGAGGAACGGTAATGAGTCAAACCTTGAAAAATATTTTTTTAGCGGTCAAAGCACAAACTTGCTTTTTTATGCGACTTCAGTTATACCACTTCATATCTCCACACATTGCCATATTTGGAAGATCTTGTACATGTCATACTCTTTTTTTCCCCCCACAATTGAATCAACTTGAATTCATTTTAAACTTTAACTTTTAATCCATCAGGACTCATGGTTTAAAGAAAACAAGTGCAGTTTTGAAACGATCAACTTAAAAGCTCAAACAATAAGCCATAATGAAAATAAATGAGATATTCACCAACATGAAACAAACAGGAGCATTTATATGCGTTCGCTCGTATGAAGGATTCCTAAAGGGTTTTCTTTTGAGCAGCAGGCCTGAAGCAGCCTCTGGCTGAGGACACTGAGGGACCACACTATGCAGCTTCTGCCTGGAACAACAACAAAACTGCCTAAAATATAGTAAGTGAGGAGGTTGAGCCCTGCCCCTTGTTGCTGGCCAGCCTCCCTCATTCCAGTTTGCTTCCTGTCAACCACTGACACTCCTCAAACTGATGCAGTTTTTCGTTTGCTAGATTACTGGAGGGCTGAGTAATGCTGCTGCTCCCTGCTCACCTGCTGGGGGTTGGAAACTGGGATTGTGCTGACACAAACCAGGGCTTGGATCTCTCAGTTTTTAAAAGGTAAAAACGATCTAACGTCACCCCCCTCCTCACCACCTAATGAACGAGCAGGAGATGTCCGTATATAATACATCTCGCCTGAGTTGAGTGAAGCCTGCTGGGAAATTGAAACGAAAATCCGAGCTTTGCGACGTTTTTCGAGAGGCTGGACAGTCGAAAAGAGGTGATGTCACCGGACATCCACACTGTCGCTTTAATTGGAGCGCAGTCCAGGGGGCAGGATCGCGTTTGATTTTTTCTTTTTCTTTTTTTCTCTTTCTCTCTAGTCGTTGACTCAGAGCGTTTGCGCCATCCACCAGCAGCAGCAGCAGCAGCAGATTGAATGAGGCGTCCTTGCAGGCTGCTGTCCGCTGCCCGGAGGACACGGCTCTGGCTTCCCCGAGACGCCGGAGATGTGCAGGCAGAATGCACCAGGGTTCCAGAGCTCTTCCTAGGGCGGATCTGAGCCTCGCCGCGTCCCTCTTTCGGCTCCGGGGCCTCCGGGAGCCTCCCGCCCAGCCCCGGCGCTTCTCCGGGGAGCAGCGCGGCTCTTCGGCGGGTTTTATCTGGAGCTTCGAGGGGGAAGAGAGGGACACCGTCAAAGATGGCAGCTGCGCGCGGAGCGGGGGGGCTGTGATGCGATGGCAGCGGATGGAGCGCGTGTGAGTTCTTTTGTCGAGTCGCGAGCGCGGTGCGGGACGGGGGCGCGTCGTTCGGATTCCTTCGAGGCTCCCCAGACTCCCGCTCTCTCTCTCTCTCCACGCCAAAAGTAGAGAAGTAGGACCGCAGCGCGGGCTGGCCGGGGTGTGGGCTGCGGACCACAAAGGGCGATGCTCTGTTAGCGCCGCGCGCCGCGCACGGACGCCTCGCGGGAGGACAGAGAAACGGACACGTGCTGGGACTGTTGGGCTGCAGGCGGGACATTTGCATATCGCGCATAGTAAACACAAACTCCCCCCCCCCCCCCCCCCCCCCCCCCCCCCCCCTCCCATTCCCCCAGAAGCCTGCGCTCAACATTGATGGAATGCGACCCGAATGATTTTGTAACCCTCCGCGCAGCCACCGACACACCGCCACCGACATGGCCGAGGCGGAGCACGGCGGCGCCGAGCCCCCGTCCGGCGTCCAGATAGACCCGGACTTCGAGCCCCAGAAGCGGAGGCGCTCGTGCACCTGGCCGCTGCCCCGGCCGGAGTCCGGCGCGGGCAAGCCCGGGGCCGGCGACGCTGACGTCATCCCCGAAGAGGAGGACGACGAGGAGGAGGAGGAGGAGGGGGGGGGGCGCGAGCGCGGAGGGAGCCGCGGCGCGGAGGGCGTGCTGCGGCGGCGGCGGCGGGACGGCCGCGGAGCCCGGCCGCGGCGGACACGGACACGGACACGGTAGCTCCTTCTCCCGGGCTGCCGAGCCCTCCTCCTCCTCCTCCTCTTCCTCCTCCTCCTCCGCGCACGCCCCCGGCGCCGCGGCCGCGTGCGGCTCTGCCTCCCAGCAGCTGAGGAAGTCGTCGGCCCGCAGGAACGCCTGGGGCAACTACTCCTACGCGGACCTCATCACCCAGGCCATCGACGGCTCCCCGGAGAAGAGGCTGACCCTGTCCCAGATCTACGACTGGATGGTGAGGTCCGTGCCCTACTTCAAAGACAAAGGCGACAGCAACAGCTCCGCCGGCTGGAAGGTGAGAGAGAGAGAGAGAGAGAGCACATGATGGGGATGCTGTCACCACAACAAAGACCACTCTGTGGTCCAGGCAGCACAATGCACACATGGCGGCCGCTGGTGTGGGCACAGAGCTGGGTCCAAACACACACACACATAGAGGGTGGTTTTTGTTTGTTTTCCATCTCTTTTTTTTTCCAGATCCATTAGCAGGCATTTTAGGAAAACCAAATGCAGGGAATCTTATGTGCTGCCTGAACTTAAGATATGATGTCAGTGGACGCACGCAGCTGCAGCCTGAATTTACAGCCACTGCATCCATTTAAAGACCCCAAAAAAAACAAAAAAAACCACACAGAGTAAGCAGGTTTGAGAGTCATGAGTCAAAACCTGCAATGCAAATAGAATCTCACTCTCCTAGTGTGGCCGGAGCTGCAGCATGGGCCCTGCTTCTGTTTGATTTTTTTTTTTTTTTTTTTAGGATTAGTTTGGTTTTGGACTAAACCAATTCATCTGTCATGGAATCAAGTCTGATGAAAGCTTTGAGCTTAGCGGGGATTTAGATGGCGAGCGGGGAAATAGGTTGGTAATCCTGCCCAACTGTGGCGGTGAACAGTTTCCAGGGAGATGCCTTCATGACTAAAATGACACGGGCGCAGGGGCTGGGATTGTGCTCCTTCAACCTCAGGGGCGCTCCACCGGAGGCGTAGCCGTCTAAAGTGTGAGCCGCAGATCACCCAACCACGTCCACCCTAATCACCCATTCATCTGCACCCAATCGGCTGCTTAGTTTACACTTCAGATTAGCGGTGGTCGCTTTTTTTGGTTCCTGTTTGGAGCTCGCTGGAGATGAGAGGAGGAAAAAGGGTGAAAGCCCCAGATGTGCTGACATCGGCATGTCTTAGGAGAAGCGTTGTGGCCGTGTGACACGCAGGGACCGGCCTCGGGGGTGTGGTCTGAATGAGGCATGTTCAGGACGGACCTGTGGGGTTGTAAATTCAGCCCTTTAGAAAAAAAAAACACACACACACCCCACTCAGCAGGCTGGATTAGAAGCAGCTCTGTTGAGGCCGAGTTCTGGTCACCGCCGCTGTCCGGCCAGCTCGACCTCGCCACCCGACCCCTTGACGCCCGGCCGCCTGGCCTCACGTGGTCCGGCCGCCCACGGATCAATGGGCTGACCATCAGTGATGTAGGCCAGCGTTCCTCTTTGGACCGGGGCCCCGGCTGACCTGGCACGGCTCCAGTCCTTCCCCCGCTCTGTTTATCCGTCATTTCAAAGTTTGGCCTGCTCTGTAGGAGCCCGGGCGGCTGGATGTGGAGCATCCGCCTCTTTTAGGAGCAGAGGCGCTGGCAGAAGGGTCGCTTCTTTCAGACCCGGCTCTGGAGTCATCGTATGGAAGGTCTTTGGTCATTTTGTGGTTCTTTATTTCTAGATTTCCTTTGTCATGCTGTGGACACATTGCCATTGACCTTATTTTGTCCCCTCAATGGGTTTTGGGCTCTTCTACTTTGTTTTAGTACTGAACACAGTGGGCAATAGTTTGATTGTTTCCAACCACCTTTTTTTTTTAATCCTCTGATCATAAATGTTAAGTTAGGCACCAAATGCTATTCCAGAGTGTTTGGCATCCAGCTCAAAGCTGTAAGTTTCAGTGGAACTTTAGAAAGTGAATCAGAGTGTGATTAATCAGAATGAGAATGTTCACCGTGACTAAAGCTGAAATCGGTTTAGCATAATTTGATGTTACACAAGTTGTGTGCCGACATCAGGCCTTAAAACATGGAGCTTTGGGAAGAGGGTGATGGTTGTCGATCGTCATGTGATCTACTATTGGATGGTTTTTACAATTTTTGCTAACCATCTTTTAATGGGCTGGTCACTCTGAGTCTGAGTCCATTGGCCTTTTGGAGGCCACTCCACCCAGAATGGTTTCTGTAACTCAAGATTAGGAGCATCGTCCTGGACCCTTTCCCAGTTTGGTGGGCCTGCGGGCTGCAGAGATAAGCGCAGCATTTTCTACTTGTGCTAGCAAAGCGCGGTCTGGGTGTGCGGGCTCCGGCCGCTTAATTTTGTGCAAGCTCGGGGAAAATCTCCGGGGGAAATCCTGTGGTCGTTTTTTTCTGAGCAGCCAGAAATGGGTCACAGTGTAAAGGTCCAAAGCGATGTGGTGTGTAAGTCACTGGAGTGTTTTAGTTGTCCGCCAGGTGAAAAACACCTTCAATGTCCGTATGATTCAAGAAATATGCAAGACGTTAGGAAATCTTGAAGTAAGACAATGAGAAGGTTTCTGGCTAATATTCAGTGTTCAGAATATAACTCCTGATGGAGCGGTGGATGTTTATATGCGCACTTTGATCCCCATCAAATACTTTTTTCCCCCCAATTTAAAAAGGAATATTCACACATTTATTTTCACATTAGATTATGATAACAGTCTTAGTTTGTTGTGTAGACTGAGTGAGTGAGTTCATGTTGCATCTTTCTGAGGGTTCATGAAAGAAGAAAAAGAGCACAAAATGTGGACTTAAACCCCCCGAATCTTATCCAAAACCAACTAGTTTCAACGGGTTTCACAGGTCAAGAGTTCTGCCTAAGGATCTTTCTGGTAACAGATGAATG